TGAAATCCCTAGACCCTCGAAGGCCCTAGAGACTTTATGCCCTAATTACCTTAACTAAATCCGCCGGACACGGACCACTTGCTGGACACACATGGGTAGTTGTCAACGCTAAATCATAGGTGCCGTTCTATATTAAGGACCCTAAAAGGGACCATAATTTTGACAACCACCCGCATAAGAATCGTACTAAGGAGCTGTCTTGTAATTCAGGGTTTAAGTAACCACGGTTTAGGGGTTTAGGAGTTTAGGGTTTACCTATAGTCTCCATTGTAGTTCCTTTCTGGGGTTACCTGTTAGGATCGTTAGTATAAAATTGGTTAAACCAGAAAAAGGAACTACAATGGAGACTATAGGTAGGGTGTACTCTCTGAACCCTCTTGCTCCAGGTCACTATACACCGTAATGCAGGAACCTGATTAAGAAACCTTGGGCCTTTGTTGCGGTTCCTTATATGAATCCTACTATTGTAGGAATTCTCTGAACCCAGAAAAAGGAACTACAATGGAGACCTTAAACCCTAAACCCTAAACCCTAAACCCTAAACCAAAACCCTAAACCCTAAACCCTAAACCGTCTGAACCTTCTTGCTCCAGGTCACTTTACCAGAGCTTCAGTCTGAGGGTCCTCAACCCGATCTTGCCGAGGAGTTTCATTACTGGGAGTCGGCGCCTGGGTTTATTCTAGGTGGTCCTTTAAAGGGATCTATAGGGATTCTATAAGGGTGTAGGGTTTGGGGTTTCGGGTTCATGGGTAGTTATAGGTGGAGTGATAAGTCCTCTAATAGGGGTCATAATTACGTTAATTACCCTACTTACAACTCCACATATCACTACCCATGAATCTCCAAGTAGAGGTTGTATGAGGGGCTTAGGTAAGGGTTCTATACGGGTCCACAGGACCCAATAGCTGGGTACTTAGGTTTCGGGTGGTAGTTATGTAGGTTACAGTTTTCCAAGAGTGCAGGAGTCTTAGGGACTGGACCCTCAGGAATAGGGGTACAGGAGGGTGGGGTTTAGGGTTTCAACGGTTTGAAGGGTTTAGAGTTTAGGGTGGAATCACTGGCAAAAATCCCTGGAGGGGCTGACATGCAAGGGTGTTGAGCTTGCACCGTTGGGGCTTGGATCTCGCTTTCGCACAAGAGCAAGATGTTATTATTTGCATGCAGGCGCCGTCCCAGAAAATCAAGACGTTGGGCATGAGCATCCTGTGTCCTCGGTGGGTTCTGGCATACCACGACATCCCGAGGCTAAGTTGCGGCTTCCCGTGGTTGCGCATCTTAATTTCTGAGCAGCCTGTTCAAGAATTCATTGCCCTGCTGGTAGCCCTAGTATTAGAGCAGGTAACCTTTAACCTTGTTGAGTAGTGTAGTCCCTATATATAATTTCAACGGTTAACCTTCAGTTCCCCATGATACCCGACAAGTAGGCTGAGCAGCCTGTTCAAGAATTCACTGCCCCTTTGGTAGCTAGCCCCGAAGCCATGAACCTTCCCATCTCCAAAACGCCAACAGGCCAAAAACTCGGTATCCTGAAGGGTCCAAAGAACCCAATAACTAGGTACTAAGGTTTAGAATTTTAGCTATGTAGGCTACAATTTGGGAGAGTAGATGATAATGTTAGGTACTTGGACCCTTAGGGTATATGACTTGCTGGAACGAGACTCGACGTCGACCTCTGCAGACAAGCGGATGGCCATCGGAGGGGTAAGGCAAGGGCACCCGTCCTGTGGGCCGATGGACCTCACCCTAAAGAGTCCATGTGCCCGTATAGTATATGTATATACGCACACATATTTATTTATTTATATACTTTTATATTATCTCTTTATATATATATATATATGTTTTATATATATATATATATATGGTACCCCCCCCCATGTGCCCACCCTTTCCTGGCAGGTAATTAACTCGACTTCGAGCTGCACCAGCCTCCTGGTGTTCAGGGTCTGGGGTTGCTGGAGCTTCATGAGCATCTAGCTTAATGGCATCATAATCATGCCTGTATGCCGTCATGAGCATCTTATGCGTGAGCGCCTTATTGTAGAGTCTTTCGTCCTTGTCCAGGTTATGAGAAGCCTAGCACAGTTCCAGCAAAATCCAAAATCCAAAAATCCAATATTTTCGCGGAGATGCCTGAAGCGGGTTTGGATTTTTGGATCTCTGGATTTTTGGATTCTTGGATTCGTTGAGAAATCCAAAAATCCATAAATCCAAAAATAAGGAAATCCAACAATCCAAAAATCCAAAACTGCTTCCGGCATCTCCTCGAAAATATTGGATTTTTGGATTTTTTTATTTACAGGGAATTGTGCCTGTTGGCATATATACTACACTATGTGTTACGCGACTGTTGTCCAGCGCTGTTCTCGCGTCGTCCATGTATGTTATGACAACATATGTGATTGATGATGAGAATATGGAAGTACCGGTGATGTGATATGACATAATGTTGATTACTACTGCTTTTACTATGTTTGGTGAAGCTGTTGCAGTTGCTACAGCTGGGCTTATGTACATGAACTAACGTTTCTCTTTCTGCCAGCATGTGCAGACCGCCATGTGTGCATGTTCTGCGCATTCCACACCATGTGCAATGTATATGTTATGTCGCAGTTGTTGAAGCCTCAAGCGACAAGCAATCATTCCTTCCCTGTCCTCATGTCGTGGGAATCCTGAAACGTCACTATGACCGATGTTCGTGAAGCCGTCGCGAAGTTGAAGCTATACAATATCGACATGCACCACATCGTCGAATCTGCGGTGGGCCCTTTGACTACCCTCGACTTGCCATTGCTGGACTTACCTAGCAGCGGGTTCCTGAAATGCTTCATTGATGTGATCGTGGATGTGCTTAGTTTTCCCTTCACTGAAATCAAGCAAATTATGCAAAATCAGTCTTTCAAGACTCTGCCAAAGCCCTATGGTCTGGCCAAAGAACTGGACGCTCCTTTTCGCATTGACTTGGCTGTACTCCCCCAGCAAAGTGGCAAGTTTACGGTTGTCAAGATCATCAACCTCACCCAGGGCCTCCTAAGACCCCGTGAGGAAGGTAACCAGGGCCTGGTTCCGAATCTACGTGGTCCCCAAGTACTGGTTCCAAAAAGTGTTGGTTCCAAGCTCGGGCTTGGAACCAGGTCGTGTCCAGGAGACTTTGTGCAGGTAGCACATGAGATGATTCTGCATCGAAAATGCATCGTTTAACATGCAAAAGTGCCATATTCATCGTCAAAAATCAACATCGAAGCAGAAAAGCAGCTAAGGAAGTACAGGTTTGGTGCTAAAAGCACGCTCCAGCCACGGTGCTGCGGAAATAACCGTGCTCTCAGCTACAGACCCGCGCAGCCCGCACATGTTTGGGCTGATTCCCCCCCGCTATGTGCCCGTGCCGTTGCCCTGAAATCGTGTTCTCGGCTACAGACCGTCCCTCCGCTCGTTGTGTTACGGGAGAGTCGAAAAGAAAAACACACACGGGAAAACCCTCGCTCTCTCTATATCACCCTCATCATCCTCCTCATCAGCATCAGCTTGCCTGCACAGACCTATTTTCTGACATGCACACACTCATCGTCGCCATGCCATGACATTTGTGTCGTCCTCCCTAGAACTCGTCATCATCATCGTTGCATCATCGATCGGGATCATGATCATGACGACATACATCTATATGTTCATCATGTTACCACTCAACAGGCCACACCATCACACACCATTATTGTCATCACCTAGGCTCCTCTTATGCTACGGAGTACATATATATATATATATATGGCTAGATTTCCGGGTCTCTCAAGGTTTGGAGTGCAGGGTGGCCTTGTTTTGGGTGCATGGGTCAGCAAGGTTCCAACATGGCTTTTGGACCCTGGCTTCGAAGGGCTAATTATAATTTGCAGGACATAATTATAAGGGCAAGGGTTTCGTTCGGGATCTACAGGCCTTACGAAGGTCTAGGGCTTCTGAGCGTTCACAGCTTAAAGCTCGGCTCTTCTTGTACTAGGCTTCGAGGGCATTGCAATTGACTCAGCTAGCATAGAGTGTTTGGGGTGTTGAGGTAGTCTTGAGATCCTTTGGACTCTCGCACCCTCGAGTGCATACGACAAATTAAACTTAATGGATTTAAGGGCCGAGGGTTGAGTCGATCGGTGGCCCTTTTTTGCAGTGCCGGATCGGAGCTCGAATGGTTGCCAGCCACAGCATGTACCTAGGCTTTCGATCGAAAGCACTAGACCACGTAATACCCAGGAAAACTAAACCTGAACCCAAAACCTTTAAACCTCCTTACTATATATATATATATCCCAAACTTCGGAAACCCCCAAGCCCGCAAACCCTTGTGACTAATGGTCACTGCAAACCGGCGCAGTGGGATATAAATTAAGTTGGGATCATTCGTACTAAATCCTCTTAAAAATATAAGATTTAAAACTTTATAATTACATGAGGTATAGGTTATAATATAGTTTTATTCAATTTATAAATTATTTTAAGAGGATTTAGTACCAATGATCCCAACTAATGCCAAAAAATCAAAGTTGGAACAGGGTATGTTAGGAGGATATATAATTAGCTAGGATCCTTTCTGTACTAAGGGCATGAGGACGATAATGATGTTCCAACTTTGGATTTCTGGCATTCGATAATCTTACAAACCCTAAACGTCCCCTATAATCCCGAAAACCCTCCATATAAAAAGACCCACGAGGGACGACTCCAGATTCGAGTGGCAGTCGAAGTGGCACCTGGAGTTTCGCCTCGGATCGAAAGGGATCTAAAGGCCGGGCTGTGATATATAGCTAGCTAGGGTTTTATCGGGGCTTTGGGTAGCTAGGCATTATTAAGCTTGGGTATTTTGCGCGATGATATAGAGGCCCAATACGACCGTATTTTTGTGTTACTTCATTAATTTGGCTCTGGATGTGCAAGCACCAAAAGCGATTCCAAGAATGGATTCCAGACACACTGCGAAGAGCGACTCTAGTGTCTCAGGCTTCGTTCGACATCTTCAGGCCGATCGGAAAGAAGCCTGATATAGTTGCAAAGATTTTAATTCTGAATTTTCGAATGGTGTTATTATATATAGAAGGACTGCATGAATTTCGGCCCAATCCCACCTCAAGAAATACCGCTTCAACATAGAAACCTCGAAGTTTCTAGCTGTTGCGGCCACAGCCTTCTGTGCCAGAGGCTTGAGGAGTCCGAGGACGTCCTCCTCTGCGTAGTTCTGGTAGAATCTGGGATTGTAACGTTCCCGCAGGGATAAATACAGTAGCTCATCCAGCGCGTGGAGTTTCGGTCGCAGGAAGAAACGAAGCTGCTTTCTGGAAGCGAATATCAAAGCGGCTTCTCTGTAGAAACGAAGGCATTGCTGACCTGCAGGGAGAATTGTCATTTGCGATAAATATAAGTATCCGATTGCAATTTCGGGGTGCTGTTTGCCTCGACTGTAGAGCTGCTCACTCTCGCTGGCACTCAAGTACCGGCCCATACTCTCCAGATCATTCTGCACTTCGCTCATGAGGAACCTTATTAGTTCAATTGAACAGATCCTGCGACCTTTATTTTCTGGTATATAATCAACTGCAGACAAGCATCACACAGCTCGTGATGATCGTGTTCAAGTCGCAGCGATTTTGGAAGTCATGCTGTGACTCTTCGTTCCCACGCTGGCAGATCTTCTGTTGAATCTCTGGGTCGCAGAGCACAGCCTTGCGTGATGATGTGGCCAGCACGTACAGCTACAGTATATTATCCAAGTACGGCATTTCGACGTCGCAATGCAAATGCTATAATGAATGCGAAGCAAGTGGCAGCACACCAGGCAAGGACGATCCGACAATTGAACGCCTTGTATCCCAAAAATGGGTAGTCCTGCTCCTTCACGTGCAGGCACTTCATCGTGAAGACACGCCCGCTGCATGCCAGCTTGTTCTTGGATAGCCAGGATTTGAAATTCATAAACCCATGTCTTAGCTGCTCGTCCATTTCCTCAGCAGCTGGGCAAAAGATTCTGTGCTCGACCATCCAGAGCAATGCTTCCGCACAGAGAGTCTGAAAAATCCCCAATGCCAAAACATGCATCGCACAGAAGCGAATGATGCCCGGGTGGAAACCCTCACACAGCACCAGAGGGATGGGAGAATCGGGCATCGACTCCACCAAGCACTCTTCGAATGTTCGACGAGGGAAATCGGATCCAAAGAGGACGAAGCAGAGCTTGGCATGGTGCTTGGCGTTTCGGGTCGCACGGCACAGATGACAAATGTGGCGTGCCTGCCACTGTGTACGCAGCTGCCAGAAGATCTTGTGCCAGTCCCAATCTCCTTTGAATTCTGCCACTGCAAACTTGCGAGACAAAGATCCCTTGAGCTGGCTGTGTAGCTTTGGGATCTGCAAGCACGGATCCTCCGGGTTCGACTGCGGTCGCCGTCCAGCAAATGCAGCTTGCAAAGACCAGCAGGTGCGGTGCAGGATCGGTCTCAGTGTGACCTAATTGCAGATCCGGTTCCGTGGATTCGATTCGCCTGTATACGTACACATGTTAGATTTACAGACCTTGCGACAGAGAAAGTATGTGATGATCATCCGAGATGCAGCACCGGCACTTCGGTACGAATTCACCACGAAAAACATGTAAGTTTTCCGCCAGGGTTCTCCTGTGGACGATCCATTAAAAAAAAATAAAGGAAATATATAGACTGCAAATATTACAGCCTGGCCTTTAATCCGAAAGAGCGGGAATGTCAGCAGCAATGCGGTAAATTTGTCACCCTCACGGGTGAACTGCGCAGCATCCCCGTAAACCTCAGGGTTTGAGTAACTAGCTGTATGTAAGTCTCGAAAGTTTTTGGGCCTATAGGTTTTCAGGAAATCAAGGAATTCCCTAGATGATCGCTCTGCATTCCGACGAGCGAGCCTCGCATATTCTTGCTTCAAGGATTCGGATGTCGGGGCGATGTAAGCTTCGAACAAGGATGCACGATTTAGCGGCAGGAGTAGACCTCCGAGGATCCTAGTACATGATCATAGTCTCCATTGTACTTAATTACCGTACAGCACCCGCTAAATAGATATACCTAATATATATATATATATATGTATATAGCTATATAGTTATATATTAGAGCACGAAAAGTAAGTACAATGGAGACTATATTTAAAGTCTAACTAGCGACCCCTACGCTTAGTTCGTTATTGTTCCTCCAAGAAGCAGAAACTGGCACGTGGTCGTTGCCAGCTGGATGCCGCTTGGCCCATTCCACATCCAGCTGTCTGAAGTGCTCCCAAAAATTCCTAGGTTTAAGGGTCCAGGGTTAGGGTTTAGGGTTCGCTAGGGCGTTGGGTTTGGAGTCTTGCAATTTTAATAGTAAATTATATACGTATGATCATGAGGACGATGTTACTAATTATCAGCAAGTCACTGAATTTCCGTGTCCTCAATGTAAACCCTCTCGTTGACCCACAACCACTCCAACAGCTCGTGCGGGTCGAACATAGGCAATGAGACATCTATAAGTTCATCCGACTTTGCAGAATTGTTATCCAGCACTTTGGTGGGCACATAGCTCAAAGCCTCGGGCAAGCTCTGATTAATAATTACCTCCTAGATACGAGTTGGGGACTTATAGGTGTATTCATCTATTATATATTATACTAATATATTATTAGTATAATAGATGAATACACCTATAAGTCCCCAACTCGTATCTCAATACTTATTATAAAACGGTTACCCCCCAGGCCCTAATTGGAATGAGCTAAGCGGCAATGGGCAGTCTCACGAACCGAAAAAGATCCCTGGTGGCGTTGCCTCTTCTCCCGAACGAGGCCAGCTTCTGTGTGCTGGCATGCATGTTTTTGTAGCCCGCCTCCTTCCAGTCGAGGGCAGCTCAATGAATTTAAGAATTGCACAGGATTCCAAGCGAGGGCTCGGGTGTACATGTTGAGGACTGATTGATCAACGTTATTATGGACCTAGCGCGCTTGGAGGGTTTTCGGCTTCGAAGTGTACACGCACTTCACAGAAATGTCACACAAATCGCCTGTTCTATAATTATGTAGAGAAATCTCTCCTCTGCCGCAGCTTTGGCAGTTTTCACTGCTTTCCAAACTGAGTCATGTCCTTCACCGACTTGTCTGAGCCTTAATAACATTGGATTAGAGTTCTATTTGATCGCGATCTCGATTCTTGAGAAGTTCTTTCGAAGCCAAGACACACATGAGCAGCGAACGGCATGTTGCTCTCCATCGCCCGGCTGCCTGGAGCGACTCCAATATCAACTCCAAGTCTCGAATGAAATATATATATATATATATATATATATATATACATATATATATATGTATATATATATATATATATTTCAGTCGAGACTTGGAGTTGATATTGGAGTAATAATAGTAAACAAGCCTAGCCTCACAACCTCTAAGCTTTATACTGACATCTTGTAAACCCATATCACTCGAAAGCCAGAGCCCTATGTGTATAATTCCCGACCATGACCAGCCTTGCAAACCCTTCATCCTCTGGTGTCCTCTGCATTCCGAACGTTGAGGTTGTTTTGGGGATTATTTAGGGTCTGGAGCAATAGCATCCATGAGAAACATCACAGCAGCTGGCCAGCATATGCAAATTGCAATGAATCATTGCGGCAGGCCTGCCGGAGATCGCGATCTTTTCGTACCGAGCTCGAGGCCTGGCCGTGTTACTTCACGGGGTATTGGTTACTGGTTTTTTAAGTACTAGTGTACCTCGCCTTCTCGAGATGAGGAGCTCGGCATTCTAGATGCTGAAGGTTCACCAGGGTTGAAGAGAGATCGTGATCTCTTGCGTCTAGGTTCAGGTTCACGAGGGTCGGATCTAGATCGTGATCTCTTGCAACCTGGGTTCTGGAGTGCTCTAGATATGGAAATGGAAACTGTGGGATTGCAGTAGTCGCATTACAGCAGGCACAGCTGGAACACTCTGGCTTATAAGCCATGATGAGATCATGTAACCACAGCCCAGGAGCAGTCTCGAGTAAATCTAGATTCAGGCACAGGTCGCCCAGGTCGAGGTTTAGCCGATCGCGATCGGCTAAACGGTGCATCAGGGGTCCCCGATCCTCATGATGCTTTCTGGCTTTATAAGGGTTTTAGACTTTGTAGGGTACAGGGTGTTTGCCTAGGGTTTCGGGGCTAATTAGGCTCGAAAGGGTTTGAGGTCTCAGGGCTAATTCAGTTTCTAGGGGTCGCATGGGGTCCTGCCGTTGCATGGGTTCGTCAATGCTAGGTAGCTATAGGGCAAGGTTGTATATAGCGGCGATATGTTTCATGAGGATCCGGATCATTTGTTTGAAGGGCAGTGCAACCGAGTACCAGAACAGGAGTGGAACAGGTGTATGAATAATAATCAGACCATATTACCTTTTAAACGCTGTATTTGATTATTACCCCATATAAACCTGCTTCTTCAAGCTTGGTGACGGCTCGATGTCCGTGTAGAAACATCTGCAACAGCTTTGTCGTCAGCGGAACCTGCGTAGGAATGGGTTTAGGGTTTATACGTTTGTATGGGTTATATGATATAGATCAGATGCTGTACGATACTGCTGAGTGACAGTCTTTCAATGCTACAGCATGCAGGTTGGGTGCACGATCACGATCGATCTGGATTTTCCCGTCGAGGCAGCGCCGCTTCGATCAAGCAGGTTTTCCCTGAAGCCTAAAAGGGGCTGGATGGCTCCGGGTTCGATTCTTCATCCTAGGAGCTGGTCTTAAGATTTGTTTCCCGGGCTCTCCAATGAGATGTGTGGTCACCACATCCTGATATCAACAGTGGACCCTGACCTTGCTTTAAGATCAGAGGCCGATCCCATGTCAGGTTCAGCCCGACATCAAAACAAAGACGCACACCCTGTACACTGAACCAGTGCACTTGCATCTTAAGGGCACTTGGGAAAATCTATGCTTTTGCCTTTGGCTTCTTGGAATCCTTCTTAGCAGTCGGGTTCGCTTTCTTGATGCAACTTCGGATAGGCTCAGCCAGCTTCTTGAAATTCAAGAGCGCTTTCAATAAGGCCTCATGATGAATTGGAGCACATGTACATGCTGTATCGACTAGCAATTAAAAAGGCAGTCATGTATTAAGCTTGAGCAGAAGAACCTCGGTGGGAGCCTGCAAATCATCCTTCTTTTTGCCCAATGCGATAGCTACCGTGGCTTTGGCTTCCTTGAGGTCCTGCAGGGCGGGCGCGAGGTCGTCCATCATCGCATCCATCATTTTCTGGCCCCTGGGCTACTAGGGTTTTATTTCGGGACTTATAGGTTTCGGGTTTGGTGTTTTCGTGTTTGGGGTGTTCTGGGGCTTGATAGGCGACTGAATGCCCTGGGAGAGAGAGAGAGAGAGAGAGACAGAGAAAAAGAGAGAGAGAGAGAGAGGGGCTTATAGACCTAGGTTTATGGGTTTTGTGGTTTCTGGGTTTATGGCTGAGTGCAGGGGCTCAGGTTTCGGGTTTGGGGTTGTCGGGGTTATAATATATAGGATTATATAAGTATTATAATTTACGATTTTGGGGTTTTGGCTGAGTCTTGGGGTTCAGGCTTCGGGTTTGGGGTTTTCGGGTTTCGGTGTTCACACTCGAACAATCCGGGGTTTAGGGATTTCGTGGTTTGGGGGTTTAGGGCTGAGTTTAGGGTTTTAGGTTTCGGGTTTGGGGTTTTCGTGTCTAAGGATCTATGGAGGCTTAAGGCTTTTGTGGTTTGGGGGTTCAGGGCTCAGTGCCCTGCAGAGATTATCAGGACTGTAATTCGTGATCACATCTGATATTGTGTCGTTCGAACATATAATAAGACAAGTGGCACCCCCGCTTCCAAGAGGGCTGTCTCGAAACCTTCCTGCTCGGTGAGCTCGTTGTTGGCTTTGTTGTTGGCCTGCAATACTCGATATCTTCCTAGTATGGTTTGGCTGCAGGGTTGAGGATTCACGAGCCTGCTGGGCTTGCTGCTTCCATGTTTTTTCTTTCTTTTCTTTCTTCTCTTTCTTCTCTTTCTTCTCTTTACCGCTGCAGGTGTGGCCAGCATGCTGCTCGTCGAGCAGCTTTTCCCTCAGCTGGGCTGGGGGTATTAAACGGTTTTATTAGGTCAATTAAGGGTTTCAGGATATGGATCGGCCGTAGATGTAGACTTTCGGTTATTAGGGGTGCTAGGGGATAAGGACCCAGACCCTAGGAGGTTCGCCCGGTATATATGTGCACCACATGGGTGATTAGAAGCCCCAAAACCCTAAGACCCTGAACCCCAAAGCCCAAAACCCTCAGGAGACTCTATTATAAGCTTTTGGGTGCCGGTTCCCAGCGTGCATGTTTTGAGACTCTGATGATGCTTGTTCGGGTTTCAACCTCTAATAATATGCTATGAATACCTCCTAAACGCAGCTTTGGGGCATTGCATCAAACATGTCCTCTTCCTCGACTTGGGCTGTGCACTCAAACTCCGCTGAAGTCTCGAACTTCTTGCGCTTGTAGTCTGCAGTCCGGGCATAGTTCTTGTACCGATACATGTCCTGAGCTGCTATTGGGTTGTATTATTTTTGTACTATTTGGGGTCGGTCCGGAGTGTTGTGCAGTTCTCGCTTTGGGTATATAATTTGCTGGGCTTCAGGGTATTCAGGACATTTGGGGTGTCGGGGTTTAGGGTTTAGGGCTTCCCCTTAAGAACCCTATAGTTATTTAGGCCCTATATAATATACACACCACAAAACTAATCTTGGAGTAACATCACAAGAAATGCGAATGTCTCCCAAGTGACTTCTCTCAAAGGGAAGTCAGGATGCCTCGGGTACTCGAAAACATCTATATGGGGCAACGTATGGCTTATGTAAGACAGCTAGGACCCAAGAATACAATGTTTCGAAATATTGGTCCAGTTGGCTTTCTGATAAACTTTCCAGTGGCATTGGGATCCTCCTTCTTGTGGCGGGCCACTAGGTCGTCAGCTAGGTCCTGTCCTAATTCGTCCACCATACGCCGATAGCTCCAGAACTCGTACATGTCTTCGGATTCCTCCGAGTTTGAGCTCCTGCGTGAACATGCGCATACAGCTATATTAGTGTGCATAGGATAGGACATAACATAACACCGGCAAGTGTACCGTACATCATTGAATGCATGGCCTCATTCGCAGAATCAGGGTCGAGGATTCCCATGCACCCTTACACCCCAGGAAGTGCAAGTAGAGGGCGTGCATCTTTTGGTGACCTGGGCTGGTATCACTTCAGCAGGCGTCCGCAAGCGCATCCCCGTTCACGCGGCATGCGAAAGCGACACGGTCTCGACTACACGTCGACCGATCACGGAGCTTCTGGAAGACCTGCTGCACGCGTAAAAACGCGACTGCGGAGACGCTTGGAACATCAGGCTAAGCTCGGCAGGCGGATCGGGACAGCCTATATACTCGATTGACAATCGAGCTGTCTTAGCTTTCAAGCACTGCAACGCCGACTGGGCGCTATCCAGGAAATGTGCTGGACATCTTCATGCCAATTATTGCCAGTGTGGCTCTGCTTCGCATGAAACATGCCCTCAGTCACAAGCCGGTTCGCCCCGAACCTGTAAATTATAATGCCCTTTCAAACCCGAAACTCTTAACCGCCCCCCGAAACCCTAAGCAACAACTCCGGACGCCCCTTAGGCCCAAAACCTTGAATCCCTGAACCCTATAAACCCTAAACCCCGAAACCCTAAGCAACATCTCTATTAACTCTAACCCCCGGCCCGCCCCCCCCCCAATGTGTTCAAGCTGCTGCCCTCCGCTTCCAGGCGTTTCTCCAAAACTTCCGGTGCCACTTCGCCGTCTAGGCCAGTGCGTGTTTAGGAATGAGCAATATGGGTTTAATAATAGATCTGGATTATATAGGCCGTCTATATATAATTAGGGTATATTTGCAAGCTTCTAGGCTTGAAGCTTTGGGTGCCAATAAGGGTCGTCTTTGAAATCCATATAAGTATCTATATAGTTATATGTTTATAAAGTTCAATAGAGTAGCTAGGGTTTCATGTTATACCAAAATTAATAAGCAAGATTCCTTGCAATTGAGGGCTTAGAATGTGCACGTACGGTTTAGGCATTAACAGAATGGTATATGTGCATGGTATATTGCAGAAAAGTCACTCCTGATATTCCGGTAGAACCTCATGTACAGCGCATGTGGCTTGAGAAGCCGCCCACGCTTGTCACAGCGCCACTCATCTCCGGGACCACCCATCTTCTGCTCCTCCTTGACTTGGACTGGCTTCGTCGTTGCCGGGTCCTGCTGGTCTGTGTTCTTCGGGTCCTGCTGGTCTGTCTCCATCGGGATCGGCGCCTGCTGCTGCTCCGGTGTGACTGTGTTCTTCGGCTCGGCCTGCTGGTGGATCTTCGCGGGGATCGGCGCCTGCTGCTGCTCCGGTGTGACTGTGTTCTTGGGCTCGGCCTGCTGGTGGATCTTCGGGGGGATCGGCGCCTGCTGCTGCTCCGGTGTGACTGTGTTCTTGGGCTCAGCCTGCTGGTGGATCTTCGGGGGGATCGGCGCCTGCTGCTCCGGTGTGACTGTGTTCTTCGGCTCGGCCTGCTGGTGGATCTTCGGGGGGATCGGCGCCTGGTGCTCCGGTGTGACTGTGTTGTTCGACTCGGCCTGCTGGTGGATCTTCGGGGGGATCGGCGCCTGCTGCTCCGCTGTGACTGTCTTCGTTGGCTCCTCCCGGTCCATCTTCGGGCGGCTCGGCTCTTGATCTTGGAGCGGGCATGCAGCAGGTCGGGACTGATCCAACCAAGACGTCTGCTGCCTGTTCAAGGCTGTATAGACCCGGTCCTGCTCGTTCTCATCCTTGCGGTCCGGCTCATGCGTAGTGTACGGTGCCAAATCCACCGATGGTCCACGCTGCAGCTCTTCGTGCCAATCCTCGTGGCTCCAGGACTTCCGTGACCAGGATCGGCCCCAAGGGCTAGTCCAGGAGTCCCAGCGGTCCCAGCTCCAATCGGTCCATGACTGAGAGCTCCAGCCCTCATGATGATCGTCCCACCACGAGCTCCAAGCATGCTTGCCTTGGTCATCCACCTGCTCGGCTTTGTCGTCCTCAGTGTCGATCTTCTCGTACTCTGCTTCCAAGAGCTCCTGGAGCTTGTTTGACAAATCATCATGTGCATCCAGCTGGGTCTCAATCTGGGTGTCACCTGCGACGCATGTAAAGAAAAACATAGTACACTGCTAGAGTAGAATTTAATACTAGTAGTACAGTAGTACTCCTAGTACTACTATATAACTAGCTAGCATATATATATATATGTATAGTAGTACTACTAGTACTAGTACTAGTACTAGTACTAGTACTAGTACTAGTACTAGTACTAGTACTAGTACTAGTACTAGTGCTAGTACTAGTACTAGTATTAGTACTAATACTAGTTCTAATACTAGTACTAGTACTAGCACTAGTACTAGTACTAGTACTACTACTACTACTACTACTACTACTAGTACTACTACTACTACTACTACTACTACTACTACTACTAATAATAATATACCACTAGTACGAGTACTATACTAGTACTAGCCTACTAGTCTTACTACTACTAGTAGTCGTAGTAGCAGTACTAGTAGTACTATAGTATTGAAGTAGTAGTAGTAGTAGTAGTAGTAGTAGTAGTAGTAGTAGTAGTAGTAGTAGTAGTACTACTACTACTACTACTACTACTACTGTACTACTAGTACTACTACTAGTACTATACTACTAGTACTACTACTATATACTTATTATATACCTGTGTATATATGTTTAACGAAATCGCTGGATCGGCAAAACACCCGGAGCCGCTGAAGCCCAAAGCCCAAAACCGTAGTACCTTATTATAGTCCCTATATATTATTAAACCCTTGCAAAGCCCCAAAACCCTAGACCCTTAAAGCTTTCGGACTTCGAATTCAGGGAAATGCATTTATCGGCAAGAGCCAAGGATTCCCCTTAATAAACCCAAAACCCTAGGCCCCAGGTGAGAGATTGAGTGTCGGGCTTCAGTGCCTGTTCGGACATGATGGTTAGGGTTTATAAGCTGGTGTGGCTCCAAGGATGTATATGTTCAACATAAGTAAGAAGTACTAGTTGTATTGAAATTACACTCCACGACCAAGCCTTCCAGGCCTTTGGCAGGGGTTGCAAAGAGCTGCTTAGCCGGTGTGGTTTGCGAAGGCTCCAGCTTTGGGATCGTAGGAGGCTCCGGGCTTGGCATCGGTTGGTCCAGGCAGGTCTCGGTCTCTGCATCTGGCTCCTCCGTGACCTTGTTCAGCGGTGTCGCCGGTGGCTTCCTGGGTGCTAGAATGCTAGAATATACTTGCCCCATATATATATAGGATTATGTATATAACTTATATACGTAAGTATTTTGTTAATAATATACATATTATAATATATATCTAGCATAATGTATAACTCCTGGGTCTATACGGGTCTCGAGCAGGGCATCACATTGAAAGAATCGAGTGTAATCCTGGGCCCCTGTACATAATGTAGACTTCGGAAAACCTGCAACACATGGTATATTCTATTGGCACCTAGGGTTTTCAGCGCCCCCTCCTAATAAGAATCGGTGCAGGCATGTGTCAAGAAAGTGCTGGCTTCTGCCACTTCCTCGGTCTTGCTCTTCTTCTGGTAAGGGCTGCGGATGGGTGTCCTGGGATCATGCGTTATTGCAGGTGCCGGCATGTATGTGATAAATTTTCGAAGAGTTATGTATATTGCACTGCGACTGAGCATCGATTTAGCTGTGCCCGGTGTGGGTGGCATCGACATCTTCTCATCCGGGGTCTCTGGTGGTGCTTGTTCTGCTTCGGGGGTCTTTGCAGGAGTGGCCGGGGCAGCTTTCGGGGCAGCTGGCTTCGGTTTCCCCTTCACTTTAGCCAGCAAAGCAGCTGCCGCAGCCATGTCCTGCGACACGTAGTTCGCGCGCTTTCCCATCCTGTGCAAGGTTATTTTCGCTTAGGGAGCCCCACAAGGAATTCACGGAACCATCCCTGATTTCACGGTTCCAAGCCTTATTTCACGGTTCCAAGCCTTATTTCACGGTTCCAGCCCGAATTTCACGGACCCCTTTTCTAGGCCCCAAAGCACTTGAACGCGGAAATACCCGAAGCGCAAGCCCCAAACACCGACATTTACGCAATATGGCCGCATGCCTTAGCTATTTGAACCGCTCATGCGCAAATCTGCAATCGAGAGGTCTAGTGACTCGGCACAAATGCCCGGATAACTGGGTTTCACCTACACATTGGGCATACACGTTGATATTATGTGACTGTTACCACGGATTGGCACAGTCAATCTACATTATAGATATAAAATTATAACATGTGTGTATGTACATGTAAACATAAATAGCAAATGTATCTATGTAGCTATATAACTACATGTTCCATGTATACATATATGTGGCAAAATATCTAGATCTTGACATAGTATATATACATGCATACATATATATATATATATATATACATACATACATACATACAAACATGTTACTTACGTGTGTGTATAAATGTATACATACATATGTGTACATATATATATATATAATATTGTATATATATATATATATATATATATACAGATAAGTAGGTAGATGCAACACATATATAGGTAGCTATAGTTTATGTATTATTAAACCCATGCATTGCCTACCCAGGCTTTGGTAATGGTCCAACGAGCAAGCACAGTGTGCGGAGCCAGGAATTACTCCGGGGTTCGTGGCTTTTAATCTTAATTAGGGTTTAGGTTTCAAGGGTGGTTCTAGGGTTAAGGGTTCTCTAGCAGGATTATAATTGTAGGGTGCATGCTTGGTTGTTAAATTGATCTAGAGGCTGATCTCGATTCCCAGTTGGGGTCCTCCTTGGGCTTGTGGGGTCATTATAGGGTCTCTATATAATTAGGGTAGAGTCGGGGTAGGTATAAATTAAATGTGAGTCCGAGTCGTCCTTTTCCTGAACAGCAGATTGCGGCACCACATGCCATAGTTTGTGCTTTGCATAGTCGTGCACGATCTTGCACGAGGGGATGAAGTCTGGGTGCTTTCCATCCCATAATATTCCTAGTCACATCAGATTAATTACGGCGGCCCAGGTAGATATGCATGACGTCGGAAAGATTGGCAGTGATATAGTGTCATTTCAATCTCGGTGCGAAGTAGCTAGCATCGGACTGTACGTAGGTGTTACAAAACACCCGGGCCCCGTCTAAGAGTTGTCTGCATACAGCAGCCATTCACATGCCTCGGAAATATCCCGAATTACATTGCCCTCGAATGATCTCCTTTTCAGAGTCTTCGGTCTAGCATAGGCTTCGGGGGATAGGCTTGGTGTACCATCCACGTAGCGAAATCTTCGTTATATGGGAAGACTAGATCAGCCATGCATTCCAATCCCAAGGACAGCCTCGGGGCTGTGGGTTTAGGATTTCTTCTAAAGCATTTCTAGCAGTCAGGCTTCTGATTGGAGGGTGTCAAAGACAACACAGCTACAGGAAGGCATGTTACATTATTATACATATATATATATAGCTAGGCATGATATCTAGAGCTAGGGTTTGTAGTGCTTCGAAGTTGGCGAGCTCGCCCGAAAGATGGAGATCGATTTCCGAGAGGGGATGAAGACCGACTGTGGTGTGAGTGCACTGGCCACGAAACGGCTGTGGGCGGACACGATAGACATCCAGTCACTAGCCCAACTGCTTTCGCAGAGGCTCCCCCAACTACTTTCGCAGACGACACCCTAGTACCCTCGATTTCGAAGGGGTGCGCCACTGTCTGCGGCGGAACTTCAAATCCTTGGAGTCACTACTGGTCTGCACTGCAAAGACGACTTCTGTGGAGACCCATGATCGGGACATCTCTTGGGGCTATATGCCAATTCTATTCTAAGCCCTGCACCCTAAACCCATATACCCCAATGCTGCCTTACACCGACATCCAAACTCACTCCGTGTGGGCTGAACATAATATTATCATAATACTATCGATCAGCAAGCTATTAGACCCTAAGAGTCCCGAAACCCAACATCGCCAAGCAAAACCCTAGACTCTCAAATCGAAATCGTCAGATCAGCAAGACCCTGACAATCCCCAAATGAACACTAAAATTAAAGCCTCAAGACCCTATCGACCCTTGAGTCTTATCTTTGCGAGGTGTATTCAGATCGCATCATCGGCAAGAGCAAAGGATTTCCAAAATTCAGTACCCGAAAACCCAGACCCTTAAAGCCTTATCGTTTGGGACTTATAAGCCCAGTCGTACATCACTCCAGGAGTCCCTAATATAAATCCCTAATATAACCACATCACCCTACTGCCAGCCCCTAAACCCAAAACCCCAAAACCCTAGACCCTTAAAGCCTCCGGGTTGAGGGAAATCGTTTCAAGTTTCATCGGCAAAACCAATAGAGTCCCTAAACCCAAAATACACCTAGATCCTTAAAGCCTTGTCTTTAGGTGGAAGTGCGAATGAATCATCTGATCGGCAAGATCTAGGCCGAAGAGCCCCCATTAAGCCAAAAACCCAGGTGCTACACCCTCAAACCAATAACCGGCGAGATCACCCCAGGATTAGAATCCCAAAATCCCAAAGCCCTAGTGGTATTTCATCAATCCCATAAACCGCCGAAACCCTGGACCACTAAAGCCTTATCAGGGAACTTCAGCGAATTCATCTGAAAGGCAACAGTCGAGGAGCCTCTAGGATCTATATTATATAACCAAAACCCTACCACCCAGACCCTTGAGGCCCTATCTGTAAATCGTATCCCTATTCATAAAGCCTTAAACCCAGACCGTCGCAGCCTTACTTAATATCCTGTCGTGGTTCAGCGGAATCATCTGGGCAGAACTGTAAAGCTGACATAGAAGTTTCCATATATATTACGTGTACTGTATACGTAGTTACTGAACCAGCCACAATTCCCGCCTTGACTCGAAGGTCTGCTTCTCGAGAAGCAGGATGGCCAACGATGGTTCGGAAGGCCAGGCAAAAGTCGTGATCTCGAGCAAGCAGCAATATGTCGAGAGTCTTCCATAGGGGCTACATAGGGCTGATGCACATCATGAGGTGCATGATACAACGAACGATCACTGAACATATTGTGACATGCACATTTCAGCGCCGGGGAACATCAGGACGAGCGCTAAAACTAATTGGTTGCCATCTTGTGTGCAACTGTGACATCAGATTGACCTAGGGGTTAGGGTTTAGGAGGCCTAGGGTTTAGGGTTCAGGGTTCGGGGTTTAAGGCTTAGGGCTTATGGCTTTTAAGGGGTATATAGGGTTTGGGGCTTCGGGGCTTACGCTGATTTTTGGGTACCTGTAGACTCCAAAACCCCTGAATAATGGAATCCTATATCTAGATATATATATATATATATATCTAGATGGTGTATATATTTATACATATATATCTATTATGTGTATATATACAATAAATACACACATTCCTTAATCAGTGGTTTTGGAGTCTCTAGCATAGGTATAGGTGAGGGTTTAGGCCTTAAAACTGGGCTGCGCAAGCATCCTCGTAGCACTCGATTCTACACAGACTCACACAAGATGGACGAGCAGGCCAAGGCGAGGTCAGTATTTCCTGGGTTTTTTTGTTTCTAATTCGGGCTTACGGAACCCTCGAGCTAAGATCTAGGACTCCATAGCTATAGACCCAGGAAAGAAAGGACCGGCTTTGCATGCTGTTGCACGAGCTTGAAGTAGATGGGCCAGGCAGGCTAGACATTCCTATGCCAGGGGTAGGGTTTCGGCTGTAGTGGATCCGGATCTAACCCATCACCCCAAGAAACATTCGGTGACACAGACACGATCCGCCGTCAGAGGAACTTTGAAGTACTTCCTTACCCATTTCCCTTGTCGTTCAGCATCAAGCAAAAATTCGACAACCGGCTCCTTGCATCGGCAGACAAGCATGCACAACAATGTAATGTCACCTCCAAGCTTCATTGTCTGCACCACACTTAAATGCAAGTTAGGCTCAAGCAAAGCATCCTGCCAAAGCAGCTTCTGCTCCTCGTAATTTGGGTGCAGAGGTGTCTGTAGCGTTTTAAATAATATGTTTCTGGGGATGATCCCGAAAAGCATAAAACACTTGCCCAAAGCCCCAATTCGAAATTGTTAGTGCTATAATAGGTACATGTATAGCTAAGTATAGCAGTTCACACTTTACCAGAATTGTCAAGTGTTCTTCTAGGGATATTGGAGGATGGCACGTGTCGTCCAGTGTCTGGCTGTCTGATCTAGCTGCATGCCAGGCCATGACTCCCTGATGGATGGTGTCTCTTGAGAGGGTTTAAGGTTTCGTGTGTAGGGTTTTGACCGTACAGACGACCTGACCCAAAACCCCTAGCATAAACTAAGGGACTCAGCAGAAAAAGCTCAACAAGGTCTATTGATCTAGCATGCTTGAATAATGAGGCAGCTGTATAGTAGCTCTGGCTATGGTGGGTATCGGGTCCTAGAACATGATCAGCGACATATATATATATATATAGCAGGGTCCATGCATATCTAGACACGACGGGCCCGGTTCTAATTGCATATGTAATAAACTGATGAGGTCTTCAGAACCCAAGCTTCGGTCCTAAAGTCCCGGCCTCCCCCAGCTCCGGAACGTATTCGTTCGCCAGGCTGTTGTCGGGCATCGACGGTCTGGTGTTCTCCTGAGATCTTAGAGTGTGGGGGTCGTTATGGGGTGGTTTATAGTAGAAGCCAGAAAGTTGGAACATCAGACTATATAAATAAGGGATTCTAGCACTAATCCTCCTAAAGCCATGTTCCAACTTTCTGGCTTCTACTATATTAGGTTTTGCAGTTCAATGCCTGAGGGCCTTGGGGTGGGTTTGCTTAGTGGCCGGGGCGGTTTAGGATTTTTAAGGTTTTGTGGTTTCGCGCTCAGACACGGGACACTCGCCTCGGTGTTGTGTTTTGGGGGTGTAGCCTGTATAGGCTTTAAGGTTTAGGGTTTTGTATGGGACGAAGTTCCAGGGCCTCCAGGCGGGTTTGGTTCAAGCCTCCTAGGTTTAAAATGAACTCCAGAAAGTTGGAATATGGATTAATGGTAGGATCCCCTATAATTTACCTTAAGGGTTACGATAATGATATTCCAACTTTCTGGCTTCTACTGTAGGGGTTTTGAGGTTTCGGGGTTTTGGGCTAATTTATTTCGGGTTCTAATAAATTGGGCTATATATAGCTACACATGTACAATTGCAATCTAGCCGCCTGAAGAAGCTTTGCGTGCTCACAAGCCACAAATCGGCAAAAGTTATATGGATAAGCCTGGGTGTTCTGCAGCTTGGAGCCACCGGTCCTGATCATGAGGGCTGCATTATTATAATGTAGATGGGTTAGCTTTTCAACAGCGTACTGAAGCATCGATCATGGTGATACAGCGGCTGAGTTGCGTGGTTCGTTTGCCTGTGGTCTTGTTGACACCCTTCTTGTAAACGCCTTCGGAAGTCCACTGGTGCCGGCTGCGATCCCCTTTTTTTGTCTTGGAAGCCCATGAGAAATTACCGATCCAAGGCCTGAGCTTGGTTCATATTTCGTCGTTACAGCACACAACTGCATTTTCGAGCAAATCACTCTACAGGCAGCTAGGTGGCGCATTTCCCACCACCACAGTTCTTTTCATAGACTTCGCACCGAAGAGGCCCATCCAACTGAAGACACAACCGCATGAATCACGAGTAGAAGAAAGCCTGTTATAAGCGCACAATATGTTCAGGCGAGCCACAAGCGGACGGCTTGGTGCTGCCCCAGTCGGAGGCGGTGCATGTTCACAAACAAATGGATCATTGCCGGAAGGTAGAGCAACACTGAAGATGAAGGCTGTTCCAGGACGAAGTATACACCCCTGGCTATTCCGAGCATTAAACCCAGAATGGTTCTCGTAGCTGTGCAGTTTCCCCGGACACATGTTTCCGAGTTGAGGTCTCCACGGGGGTTCCACTTAGATTTCTTTGTCTTCGAAGAGCACATGAAAACATGAGCACCGCATGGAGGAGCTGCTGAAATCAACCCACCACATCGTATCCGCAGGATGCTCTGTAGCATGCAGAGAAAGCCAATCCTTACATAACAGAGCAAATGGAGGGCTCTATTTTAGCAGTATTCTGCATGCCCCGAGAAGAATGCAGACAAGCATCGTTTTCTCCACATCATGGTCGGGGTTGATCCGCTCGTTATCAAATCTCGAAGATCTGAAGCCCCTGCGGCCTTCAGTGTTCTAACAGAGCTATATGGCTACATATACTACCATTAAAGTTTGCACAAATTATGCAAGCATGGTTCTAGCTAGGTGCAATCGAAACACGGAAGGCACGGTGAATACCTCCCCAGCCACAGAAGAGGTCCAAGACATCAAGCTCCTCATTTCATATGCACATTTAAATTTGGTATAATAATAGTATACAGCCACATTGCTAAACCCTAAAGCCTAAACCTTAAACCCCAAAACCCAAACCCCTAAACCCCTAAACCAATTGGATCCCAGAGGCAAACCCGAACTTTCAAGCCCTCGGAGCCCCCTCTAGAAGATGACCTTGAACCCGGATCATGTGTATGCTGTGCATGTGCCTCGATGGCAATGCAATATTCGGTGGATTCAGTTGTTTCTACAATTTCTACGAATTTTCCTGAGATCTTCAGCCGATCCTACAAGACGATTATTCACTATATATTGCAGCAGTATTAAGTAGCAGTGCAGCAGCAGCAGCAGCAGGAGGAGTAGCAGTACCAGTAGCACTAGCAGTAACGCAGCAGCAGCAGTGCCAGCAGCAGCAGCAGCAGTCGTAGTAGTAGCAGTAGCAGTAGCAATAGCAGTAGCAGTAGTAGTAGTAGTAGTAGTAGTAGTAGTAGTAGTAGTAGTAGTAGTAGTAGTAGTAGTACTAGTAGTACTAGTAGTACTAGTAGTACTAGTAGTACTAGTAGTACTAGTAGTACTAGTACTACTAGTACTACTAGTACTACCAGTACTACTAGTACTAGTACTAGCTAGTACTGTAGGATTACTACTACCTGCCGCGAGGCTCCTGGTTGCCGAAGTGAGCAGCGCTGCACTGCGTGATAAAGTCCAGGGCGTGGATCCTGAGCCAAGCACCGCTAAACCCTACACCCTTAAACCCTAAACCCTCAATGTAGGTCTTCGACACAGATAAATCGTAGATCCAGCCGAGCAACAAAACACCGGGAGCTCCCAAGGACAACAGAGTTACGACTTCGATACGAGAAATTGAAAGCACCATGGCGAACGTCTGCTGTCGATCTACACGGCAGCACAAAGCCAGCAGTCTTTTAAGCCCGACAACATGAAGAGCACACAGAATGAAGATGTAGCATGCATATGCCGGTCGACATTGAAGTAAATCTAGTGTCACACCTGCAAGCGATGCCCCAGCAGCTCTTCATCCTCATCATGCGAAGTTGTACCCCAACTTGAGCACATGTACATGCCGGTGTGTTTCAACACACACCCAGCTGAGCACATGCCTGCAACGACCCGACGATAGAAGCAGTATTATGTAGTCTTCTCTAATGATGAACAGACCCAAGAGAACTACCATTAATCTTCCCAGCTTGTCAAGGAACTATTACTTTGATGTTTCGGGTCTCCACGATCAGTCCTGCACTTTCTGGCCGGCTGATGCTAGGCATAAAAAGCTAGATGCACTTAATATTCCCCGCGCTTGGCTCGCTCGAACTTGGCCCTGACTTCGTCAAAAGGCATGCCAGCCTCCAAGCGCTTGGCCTTGGATTTCGAAGACCGTGCGTGATCCATGCCCTAAAACCCTAAACCCTACAAACCTATACGGGGTTGAAAGGCTCATGTATGTATCAGATGGATTCCGATCATGATCAAAGAATACAATCCCGTAAAGCTGTCAATCCGAAGACTCGATGCAATGATCTTCTAATTATATAGGTCTAGCAACTACAAATAGATAGGGGTCTCGATTAGCGGGGCCCGGGGAGGGGGGGGTTGGGTTTGGGGCCTTTAGGGGTTAATAGGGTACCGGTTTTGGGTTTAGGAATTTGGGGGATTGGTTTATGGCATTCGGGGTTTAGGGTTTAGGGTTTTGCCTACGCAGTCTTAAGCCCCAGCCACAGCTGTAGCACAAATGTCGACCATGTTCTGCATCGCAAGCCTGCACGTCTCCGGCATCATGTTGCTGGGCCCGGCAATGTGCAGTACCTGCCGATCGACTCAACACATTATTGTAGGCCCAGGTATATTATAATGTTTCAGCTTTATAAAGTATGTCCCGATACTCGAGAATATAGTTCAGTATAACGACTTTACGATCCCATCCATATACTTAGAACAGGGTGATCTGGGGTTTGATAATGTGCACATGGTTTTATTCCGAGACGTATTCTCGGCCCTTACATTACGTGTATATGGGAGGAATGGAGACCACATGGTTACACACGGACCCATGTGTACTGTATACATGCATGTATACATATATATATATATATATATGTGTCCATAAATGTAGGACAAATGACACTATAACCGTTTTGGAGTCCAGACTATAATGTAGACACACCAATAGAGACGACACAATTTTCGTGTAATGTGTCTATATGTTTTTCTCACACCCAGACATATGAACGACACATCTTTTACATGTGTATGCAAATGCGTATATATGTCTATATATATATGTACATGTATACTGCTCCCCAAAATATAATCAATACCATGGAATCCCCAAGCTAACCACTGCTCCAGCCTGCTTCTTCGAACTCAGCCCATCAGTCCGCGAGACCAAACCAACACATGCTCGGCTCCAGTATGGCATCACCTTAAGTAACACAAAATTGCAGCAGCTCCGGGTTAGTTAATCCTTGTGTGCGTGTGTGCATGTGCCACCGCATATATATTGCTGTCCAGTCACATAGTAGTCCTTGAAAAGAGGAATGTTGATATGCCCATAATCAGCCTTTGTGTACCTACGCTTGGTCGGTCGGGCATCGTCATCCTCTTCATCTTCATCTGCTGCTGGAGCTGCTGTCTCCGTTGCTTTGGCCTTTGCTCGTGGATTTGCTTTCGACTTTGCCGCTGTTGGAGTTTCTTTCTTTTTTCCTGCTGCTGACATATCGGAACCAGCAGCAGGCTCCTCGCTGGCAGCGCTAGCCCTCTTCTTCCCACGGCACCTCCTTCCCAAGCCAGGCTTCTCCCCATTGTCATTGACATCAGCTTGGTCTCCTTCGCCTGTTCCCTTGGCAGGCTCTTCCTCCTGGTCATTGACATCAGCTTGGTCTCCTTTGCCTGTTCCCTTGGCACCCTTGTCATTGACATCAGCTCGGTCTTCTTGGCCTGCCCCCTTTCCCTTTCCCTTTCCCTTTCCCTTTCCCCTGCCCTTTCCTTTCTTCAGCTGTTTCTTCTCAGCCTCGCCTTCGGCCTCCACCACCTGTGGTCGTTTCTTGCTTGCACTCTCGGCTGCTGGAGGCTCTGCAGCAGCATCCTCGCGATCATGCTCCCGAGGATCCTCCACATTTGGGGCATCTGTCCTTATCGAATGGGGTTGGAAATGCACACAATCACCAACAGAAAGTGCCCCCCACACACACACAAGTACACCAACACACACACGCACACACACACACACGATTGTGCAGATTGCAGCCCAGCATCGTTGACTTCGCACCCCGTCCCCTGCCTCGGCCTTTACCCCGCCCTCGGCCAGCATTTGTCTTGGCGATGGCCTGGGCTTTGGCTGCAGCTCGCCTCGGCAACGACATACATGTACATGTGTTTGACACACACACACACGTTACATACACATGTGTGTGTGTATATATATATGTGCATGCTATATCTATATATATATATATATACATATATACACACATGGACATATAAGCGCACATACATGGATACATACATCATGTACACATTTATCCATATGTGTGTGCACTCTACAAGCCTCACAGCCCAATAACATATGTGCTCATCTACCAGATGACCGACATCCGAACCATAATGTGCTTGGGCCCGGCCTCATCATACTTACAACTTCATATATTTTCCTGTGCAGGGGAGTGACAGTTTGGTTTGAACCTCGGGCAAGTTGGCATAGTCGTCGTCTTTGTCCTGCCTGAGATACCCCTTCTCCTTCAACTCTGCAAGCTTTGTAGCCACATTCCACTGGGGTCGTTCTCGAATAAGCGGCTCGTTCGCTGCCTCCGGAACCATTGTATATATATATATATATGTACATTGATATTGTGCACCGCAGCACTAGACATGACTCAGTTCTAGTGTCCTACATGTATTATATATATATAACCATATTTATATTTGCAAATCACTTTATAAACAGAAGGCCTCGGCTGTGCGAGTGGGCTGGGCATCTGCTGGCCGTACCTCGGGAACTCGCAGCAGTCGAAGTAGAATCGATTTCAACCCCATGTAAAACTCTAGTGTCGAATCGAGTACATAGTATATAATGTAGCCAGGGCACCTCTAGAGTCATGTTTGGGCTGGCTTCTGGGTGTGCATCCGAATCTGGGGTCGTCTCGGGCTTCGGAATCTCGGAGTCCACTGGGGTCTCGGGCTTCGGAATCTCGGAGTCCACTGTGGTCTGGGGCTTCGTGTCCACTGGGGTCTCAGGCTTCGGAATCTCGGAGTCCACTGGGGTCTCGGGCTTCGGGTCCACTGGGGTCTCAGGCTTCGGAATCTGGGACTCCACTGGGGTCTTGAGCTTGGCCTTGGTGGGACAGTCCACGAAGGTCTCGCGCATCACATTGGTCTCAGGCTTCGGAATCTCAGAATCCACCGGGGTCTCGGGCTTTGGAATGTCCACGGGGGTCTTGGGCTTCGCGTTGCTCTCGGGCTCGGGAATCTCAGAGCGAACCGATTCAGGCTTCACATGGATCTCGGGATTCGGAATCTGAAACTCCACAGGGGTCGTCTGGGGCTTTGCATGAATCTCGGGATTCCCAGGAATCGGAGACTCCAACGGGGTCTCGGAAATCGAGTCGCAGCTTGTGGGTAAGGCTTCGGGCTGTGCATTCGAAACCGGGGCCTCGGATCTCTCTGGGATCTCAGGCTTCGGAGCCTTTGTTGAGCAAGAGCGCGATATCCCAAGAAACTTTGGCACCGGAGGCAAAACTTTCTTCGCCAAAGATTCTTGGGCAGTAGACAGCAAATCCGAAGGAACTTGAGTGTCACATGTATCCATGTCCGACCCTGTATCTGCTGGCTCCGCTTCGACCTCGGATTCCTCGGCACCTGAATCCGAAGATGTGCAGCTCGCAGCATCGTCATCCCCACCATCTGCATCTGCAGCAGCCAAAAGCGTCAGGATATCTTTCAATAGCTGCACCTCTTTTGACCTTATTAAGGCTATCAACACACACACACACACACACATGCACATGTATGCATTTGCATTGATAAATCATCACATGAATAGATCTCACCAAAACACAATGATCTCTCGGGACTCTTTCTCCAAAGTCTGATTCCATACATAGCCCTGCTTCTCAATGTAGCCGCTTGGATCTCTGTCCAGGCCTGGGCAGATCGAGCAGAACCTCTAATCCGAAACGAATTGGCAAACTCCAAACAACGGCCTGCCTGGATCTCTTTCTTCTTTGACGTGACAGGGAGGACAGCATACTCATCCTGGATCCATTGGAAAGCAGCCTCGAGCACACTGTGATGTTTGGAACCCCTTGCATTTCATCGGTACATCTCACACTGCATATGGGCCGGGTAGCACTGCACAAATGCTGCATGCAAGTAACTCTGTATTTCGTCAGCACCGGCTGCTTTACACCGAAGTTGGCATACAACTCCTTTAGCACCAAAGCTGCGTCTTGCACTGCCTCCTCGGAGACATAATCCACCATCTTCAAGCAGGAATAATCCTGGCATATTTTCATACATACATACGTACATACACTGCACTCGATATAATAAGTCGAGGGTCTTCATCCTTGCGCATCTTGGCAAGCAACGAACGCTTGCCGTCGTCATCTTTGGCAGCGATCCATTCATCCAAGATTCCACAAAGAGTTTCAAACCTGGGAATACAAGGACACATATATCGTGTGTGTAAAGTCGAATTGCACAAAACCACATATACACCACACATGTACATATAGAGATGAGTCGCTGCTCATCACCAGGATTATCATCCGTGGCGACCTCCACGGAGTCATCCCGTGCTTGCCCAGCCATTTCGTGAAACGGGCTGTGCGCACGGCAAAATGCACAAGTGCACACACTAGCTACACTGCTAAGCAAAAGCTTCGAAACACTGGTTGCATGGCATCCACAAATCAAACAGTGTGCTGCCCAGCCAGATCGTGAGTCACTGCTGCATGCACAATAGCTCCGGGGGAGGACGCACCTGCACGGCCATGCTTCCGAAGCTGCTGCCGAATACGCCCGCGTAGCATGCCCGACACATCATCAGGACGAGCACATGATGCACATGCCCACGGGGAATATAATTGAAGTTTACAAGTGCATATTATATATATTCTTTATTATAAAGGGGGCATATATATGTGTATAATACCGGGTCACAGGGAAAAGGCGGTTCCTCTAAAACTGCTACTAGCATCTGCCACCTTAGAACCCTCCAGGTCGATACTACATCACCAACCCTTGTAGGGCGTACATATATATATATATATATATTACTTCCTGATCACTTGCCGAACATGTTGCGATCTAGCGGCTTGGGACATCATGTTCGCTGCCTCGATAACATGTGCACAGCATGCAACAGACTTTGCATGTCATGAGTGTGCTTATAATTTATGTATGTATGCATGCATGTACATGTAAAAGATCCACAATTTATCCGGATAAACGAATTCATCTCAACAAAACCGCGAAAACACACCCCGAAGTGTTTCGGAAAGTATGGGTAAACACACAATGTTGTTAAAACAAGCCATATATTGCTTCATTATGTATCGACAAGTACACATAACAACACGGAAACAACAGCCATATCTAGAAACTCCATAATCCACACTGGCCACGGGGGGGGCTTGGAACTGGTTCCTCCTATTTTGGTTTTTGGGGTCTGGTTACCTTAAATCCGGGTTACCAATCTGGTTACCCGGATTCCGGGTAACCGGAGGCCCTGGGTCAAAGATAAGAAGAACACAGTAGACCAGATTCGGGATCTTTGTCATGGTAAACCTTTTGTTGTGGATTGGTCTGGCAACGTGATCACCATGAAAAAGTGTTTTCACTACCTCTTTGAGCTATTGGGTGAGTTTCAGTGCCGCCATCATGTACTTCGCACTGAAGAGGAAGGCAAACCTGAGCAGGAGAGAAGCCTCGAAGAGTGGGACTTCGGCTTTGACTTCATTGAAAACAAAGGTCCTCGTGAAAATGTTCGTAACAAGCTTCTTCGCTGGGTTACCGTCCAGACAACAACCCGTGACTCCCCCATCTACCGATGGCCCCAGGCACTGGTGGAGAAAAGCTTTGGCAATCTCGCTCAGGACGGTGTACTTGCACAGGTACATGAAGTCTGGCCCTTGACGCTGTATGATTTGGACGCCCGGGTCTTGAAAGCATTGGGTACTATTTTCTCCTTTTTGACAGAGAAAGCACTTGGACTGCATGGCACACCGGGGGCGGGCAAAACGCCAGTCGCGCGAAGTGTGGCTATGGCACTTTCACGGCACTGGATTCATAAGTTGGGGAAAGCAGAAGAGATCAACCCGTCGTTTCGCCAGGCGTCCGAATTCGATTTCTTTCGTGGTTCTTCGCTAGCATGGTCTTGTTTTATTGGCTTGCCTTCGTTATGCATTGTATGATTGTATACGATGACATCTACACCTTGCACACGATAGCACGAAGGACAATCAGGCATGCTAACCAGACCTGATATTTTCGATGACGGGTGCCTTTGTGAGCAGCCTTTCAAAAAGGTCAAGGCGTTTACGGATGTTGGCAACCTTGAGAGTATGTCCAAAGAGCGGTGGGGAGCCGCCAAATGGGTTCGTGGACAAGCACGAATCTATTGCTCGAACGACTTTGATATCAAGACGGAGCCTACCTTGGACCAACCCCTCCTCGACATCGAGAAGGGCATCCCTACCTATGTCTCCCACTCTGCCTTCATGAAAATGCTTGAGAGTGCTTGGTACAGCAAGGAGGCGTCCGATGCGAACATCATGGCCGTGCTCAAACGCACTCACATCTTTGTCAACACCGCCAAATGTCTCTAAATTCGGCCCGCAAGCGAAACCCAAGGCCCGGTACTGAGGATCCTTCTTGGAGACAAAATTGATTTCCTTCACGTCGACTCTCGTAAGGTCTACGACTACCATCGGAAGGGCGGGTTGGACTTGCCGGAGGACTTTGCGATGAAGGTGGAATGGGAGCGGAATTGGGTCACAAAAGCCATGGCGGGTGAAATCGACTTACCTAGACGTGCTACAATCATTCGGCGTAGCGGCCTTTTTGGTATCACTCCATCCGCATCGGTGGCTGCTGAATCCAATGTCGATGAAGACCGTCGTCGTGTTCGTAATCTTCTTCCACACGAACTTCGAGCCAAGTGTCCTCACTCTCATTGAGGCTGCAAGCATCAAAGAGGACATCCCCACCAAGCGAGAGCTCGCGATTTCGGCCGGTGAGCAGTTCGCCAGTAACTTGTTTTTTTGTGACATCTTTGTTTTCATCCTTTGTATGTAATGTAATGGGTAGCAAAATATGGACAGTAATGCCAAAGACTACAAATCTGGCAATGATGTTTATGATGATTTTTGTTATTATTGTGTTTGGGTTTGTTGAACATAAAATGCCAATGAAAAGCACGTCGTGTCGCGGCTGACAATGTTGGCAAGATTATTGAGGTGGATGACTCCCCCCAGCCCAAGATCAAACAGGAACATACCTCATCTTTCTTTCGCACTTTGTCAACAAGCGGCATTGCCATTGATCTCGCGGAGTCTCCGAAACAGGAGCAGGAGTCCACCCAGGACAAGAACTTAGAGATGGAGTTTCAACGTGTGATAGAGGAGGGGAGGATCTACACAAGGATGCTGGCGACGAGATGGACTGTGCAGACAACGATGTGGCCATCGACAATCAAACGGACGCGGACAAGGAAGCCAACCCAAACTGATGCAGCACTTCCCGCGATTTTTCACGGCAAATACAGGTCTCACACGTTTTGTTATCGTGTGAACCAACCATGGTTGTGAAACTCAGTCTGAATGATATGAAACACAAGGTCACTACCAGATGGCAAAATCATGTCCACAACCATCGCTTGAGTGACGACAGAGGTCCGGCTTTGAGCTTTTGCAGTCAAAAAACGCTTGTTTATGCCACGCCCTGTTTGTTTACACGCGCTCTTGTCTGTATCACTGCACGTCTTGCATTGCATGCAGTCTTGAGGCTGAGATTCCAGATATCGTAGCGCAATTGCTTCGCTTTTTCATTTGCAATGGGCAAACCGAATGGCAACTTCGTTCCCAAGAAGGGCAAGTTGCGCAAGGTCATGAAGAAGCCCGCGGCATCCAAAGACGCTACATGGAAATCCATCAAGTACGTCAGGGAGGCGACGGAAGTCACATCACGCGGACAACGTAAAGATCCAATCAAATGGAAGAGAACACTACCACAGCTACTCAAGGCAGATGACAAAACCATCATCAAGCTGCTGATTGCGGACAAGATCCTACCACGATTGGAAGGAAAAAACATGTCCTACGTGTTCTACAGGAATACTCTCCAAGTTGTATGCAGACAAGAAGCGCAACAACGTGTTGAAGCACAGGTGCAACAACAAGCAGTGTCGTGCCCGTCTCAATCCCCATCACTTGCACCCGCTTTTCACGGATGGGCAAGGACTGCAAAAGCAGAGCTTGCAGACACAGTCCGCCGTTCTTCTCCTGAAGCTCCTCAACGTCCCCCAATCCGCCATTCACATCGTCATGGGTACGAACCACAAGGCATTGGAGGACTTGGAAGCTGGGTGTTTCTTGTATTTTTGTTGTTGTTGTTGTTGTTGTTGTTGTTGTTGTTGTTGTTGTTGTTGTTGTTGTTGTTGTTGTTGTTGTTGTTGTTGTTGTTGTTGTTGTTGTTGTTGTTGTTGTTGTTGTTGTTGTTGTTGTTGTTGTTGTTGTTGTTGTTGTTGTTGTTGTTGTTGTTGTTGTTGTTGTTGTTGTTGTTTGTTGTTGTTGTTGTTGTTGTTGTTGTTGTTGTTGTTGTTGTTGTTGTTGTTGTTGTTGTTGTTGTTGTTGTTGTTGTTGTTGTTGTTGTTGTTGTTGTTGTTGTTGTTGTTGTTGTTGTTGTTGTTGTTGTTGGTTGTTGTTGTTGTTGTTGTTGTTGTTGTTGTTGTTGTTGTTGTTGTTGTTGTTGTTGTTGTTGTTGTTTTGTTGTTGTTGTTGTTGTTGTTGTTGTTGTTGTTGTTGTTGTTGTTGTTGTTGTTGTTGTTGTTGTTGTTGTTGTTGTTGTTGTTGTTGTTGTTGTTGTTGTTGTTGTTGTTGTTGTTGTTGTTGTTGTTGTTGTTGTTGTTGTTGTTGTTGTTGTTGTTGTTGTTGTTGTTGTTGTTGTTGTTGTTGTTGTTGTTGTTGTTGTTGTTGTTGTTGTTGTTGTTGTTGTTGTTGTTGTTGTTGTTGTTGTTGTTGTTGTTGTTGTTGTTGTTGTTGTTGTTGTTGTTGTTGTTGTTGTTGTTGTTGTTGTTGTTGTTGTTGTTGTTGTTGTTGTTGTTGTTGTTGTTGTTGTTGTTGTTGTTGTTGTTGTTGTTGTTGTTGTTGTTGTTGTTGTTGTTGTTGTATGTTTAGGCGTCTAACATTATAATATGCTATAGCATTAAACAAGTGTTCTGCAACCGTGTTCGTCAATAGTCTCATCATAGCATGCTTTTGCCCACTTAGGAGAAAAACTTTGCAATCTTCGGAAAGACTTCGTTGAAAAGGAGGATGAAAACGTGGGCGGACGTTGAGGCCGACGAGGCGACTTTCGACAAGAAGGACATATCCCAGGATCCTACTTTGCAACACTTGGTTGTCAAAAAGGGTGAAACCATCATGTGGGAGCGGTGAGTCCCGCTTCGCGGCATCGGTTGAAAACGTTCGCTTTTGAGAGCACCGTCAGTGGTCAGTTTTGTTGGCAAACTTGTTTGCTATGTGAGTGTGTTTTGTGTCTTTATATGTGATTTACGGGTGATGATGGCGATGATGTGGACGATGCTTTTATGTTACGATTGTCGGTTCTATGTTGTGTGTCTAGTATGACCATGAAGGTTACGTTATTACTCATATGCTTCTATTGTCGCTCCTCGTCTACATGTCTTTTCAAATAAGAACTTTCAGATCGTCTCATGTCTTCTATTCTTCGCAGTTTTCCGGCACAAGACGGTTATCGCAGCAATGTCGGCGCCCTTCGTTCGCAAACTGCCCATGGATGTTGCAGCGCGCATTTTCGAGTTTGGCGAGCGACTGCTCGGGCCAATCCCAACCGCACCCAGTAAGTGGGAAGTGCGCGTTGGTACCCTCCCGAACGGCCGCCCATCAAACCATAACAGTATTGATTTTTTTTATTGTTTGAGTCTGTGTCGCAGGTATCGGTATTTATTGAGCGAAAAGATTTATTCATCAGGTGATGTGGTTTATCGCTACGACGATATCTTCTACAAGTCCACGCCGTAGGGTGACATGGAACTGAGCACAGAAGATATGTTTGCTTACTGGTCCGATTAACTGTCGCTCGGGTCAAAACAGTGATCGCGTGCAATTACTTTCTGCATGCATCATGAGTCTCAGGCATGAGTGCATTGCAACAGCTTAAATACAGGCCTGTTGGGCTCACTTGCTTGGCTGCACTTATTTGATCAGGTTACGTTGCTTGATATGTCTATATTGCTCCTTACATGTATGATATCACACACCCAAGATACTGAATAGAAACACGGTAATGTTGTGTGACACCGTGATCGCTTGGTAAAGAAGTAGCCAGGTAGTGTTGTGTGCCATGGCGACTGCTTGATACAGAGGCAACACGGTCTGATCATGCAGTTCCTGATTCGGAGAGGCTCACTGCAAGTTTTGCGTTCAGTTCATCGCTGGGGACATGCCTTTTTCATGCTCGAATATAGAAATATTGCAGAAAGGGTGGGCGCATGGGGGGGGTAGCATATATATATATATACACCCCAAACCCTAAACCCTAAACCCTGCACCCTGAAGAGCTTGACGGAAATCCGCAAGAAGGAGGCCCAGCAAGTCACCACGCTCCCGCAAGCAGTCGAAGATGCTGAGCCCAAAGGGTCCAAAGTACCTTTATAGTAGAATGTAGGGTTTCTTAGTAATAGTCATAGTAATAGTATATAATAGTAATAGTAGTAGTAGTAGTAGTAGTTGTTGTTTGTAGGATTGGGAATTACTATTGTGATTTGGGGAAGTATCCTCCATTACAGTACCTGGGACCCTTCGGGGAGGCCAAGATTATAGCTACAGGGATGTGAAATCCCCCGGAGCTTAACTGATTGCTGTTCCCTAAATCCAATACCATAATATAGAGGCCTAGATAATTGCTTATCCTAGTTTTGGGATAGTGATAGTATTGATATACCCCCCCCCAAAAAAAAAAACAAAGCATTCTTCTAATTATTAAGGCCCCTATATAAACCTTCATATCCCCAATTCCAGCCCAAGATGCTGACCTACAGACAGGATGATGCCGATGCATCAGTTCAGGACAACTTGCTGGAGAAGGAGAAGGAAGACTTCCGGTGGGTTTAGGGTTGAGGGTTTAGGGTTTGGGGTTTAGGGCTTATAGGTTTAGAGTTGGGGAGTTCCGAAGTTTTTGGGTTGGCAATTTTGGGGGTTCAGCATTTGGCGTTTCATTGGCGTTTAACACAATAGCTAACTCCAGCTCTTGGGATTCAGGGTGCACGGTTTGGGGCATCCTGTTTCGGGTTCACATAGGCCCATACGGTCCGAAGTACCTGTATAGGAGAATGTAGGGTTTCTGTGTCAGGAATTACTATTATGATTTGGAGAGGTATCCCGCATAACAGTACTTCTATAGATTCATTCAAGGAACCCTATGGATCCCCGCTTAAGGTATCCCCTAGAAAAGTACCCTTTGGGAGGATAAAGACTTGAGGAGCAAGGCTATGTCTCGGAAGATGTTCGCGCAGACAGATTGGCAGACCAAGGTAGACGACTTGCCGTCGCAGTCCGATCAAGCGAAGCAGGAGGAACTTGCGGCGATGCGTGGTCAGATGGAAACGAAGCTGGGGGAACTTGCGGCCCTGGCAGCAACCCTTAAGGCCAGTCATTGCGATGCTAATTCGTTACCGTTACTGACAACGGCTTTGAACCGCAGATATGATGCGGCACTGGCACGGCAGGATTCAGAAGCCAAAGCCAGGGACACCGCCACGCAGTTCCATGCTGCGCAGCAGCAAAGGAGTACGTTTGAGTTGACTGGACAGTCTTGTCGTTGTCAAGGTCGCACGGCTGAGATCGACGCATGTCCGGCGTGAGTTTGTCGTGGTGTTTCTGTTGAAGTTTACCACAGTTTTCCTTGCATGACTTCGCCAAACGACGGAAGCCTTCAAGTTCTGGACTCTGGATGATTAGATCTGTGTACGGACGGGCACAAGACGGGAGCGGACCAATTTTGATCCCCAGGGTAGTAATAGTATATGACCCATTAATGCGAGGGTACAACCCTTAAAGCAGAAGGTTTTGGATTTGCAGGTGGTTGTAAACACAATATCAAGCACCCGGAACACTATTCGAATTAGTAAGGCCGCTATATACGCATCTTGGAGATCCTATTTGTCCAACCTTGGCAGGGTTTTTGGGGTTTGGGGTTAGTGTGGAGCTGAGAGGTTGCAGGGTGGACGGAGGTTATGTTCTGCCGTAAGGCTCCGAAAAGGGTCATGGGCTCTCTGGGGGCTTTGGGGGCTAAGGTTTGGGATCACACTGCGAGGGTCCAGGAGCCTTAGGGTGAATCCTGTGGTAGCTCGCCTTATCATTCATTATCTTGGCTCCTGCAGCGCCAACCTCAAATCTGCAGCTTTCCCCGTAAACCCTATACCCCTAAAGCCCTGTAACCCAATAAATCAAAAGGGGAAAAGGAGGGACCCGCAATGGGGACCCCTTATTCCATAATGGGCTATATAATGGGTATATAATGGCGATATTTCGGATATATACCTAGGGGTCGTTATTAAGGGTCCCTCCTTTATCCTTGAAGCTGGAAACTTCGCCCAACCCCGCAGTGGCCGATAGGGTTTAGGGTTTGAGGTTTAGGGTTCCTCCGACTGAGCCGCAGCCGATCTTAGACGTAACGCTGGAGTTGCGTGCGGTGCATCCTTGAAAACCGTAAGGGTCCAACGTGCCCAAAATATTTAGTTAGTATATACTTTGACTTGAAATTATATAAATATAGGTGCATTGGGCCTGTAAAGTATATACTACTTGGGCACATGGAATCTTAGGGAAAGCTACAGAGCCTGCCTATTGACTTGAGAAGGCTTCAAAGCACACCCCGGCAATGTCTCAGTTCAAGATGCTGGTTGGGTTCAGGTTCAGGCTTTGGGGGGGCTTAAGGTAAATGGCACCTCAGGGTCTCTCGTTTCTCGAAAATGGACTAGAGTGATGCACGCATAGGCTTTAAGCAGCGGTAGCATGAGAGGGAATCTGACCTAGGCCTAGGCGTAGACATATGGTACGGTCGCCCGAGTTCTCATGCCCAGGACGCGGTGCCTTCGGCAATCCAGGCGAGACTTTGCTGCTGCAGTGGTTTGCCTATTCTGAATGCTACAGGGTTCCTCGAGGTCCCCACGAACTCCCAAAACCCCATGGTAGAAGCCCAAAGTTAGAAACACGATAGCTTCAATCCTTAAGGGTGGTGCATATGAAATCCCAGCATTGTCTGTCCTTAATCCGATTTCCAACTTTCTGGGGTTCACTAATATCGGGGCCTAACTTTAGTATACGTATATTGTAATTACAAAGGATCCCCAAACCTGTATTCTAACTACTATTGAGGGCCCTACAGTATATGTCAACCTAGACCGTCAGCGCTGAATCCAAAGCCTCGCACAGAGGAGTCAGAAATAAGCATGTGGGGTAAAAACCCGAGACAAGAGCTGCCTACAGATTCAGTCTCTGTTACCCTAACGGTCCATGTACCCATATGGCATATGCTTTGGGCCCAATGTACCTATATAGGGAGCACTTTAAGGCCAGTGTATATACTATATGAGTACACGGACCCTTAGGGTTAGATTGAAGACGATTGAACAGGGTGCAGGAGCTACTCTCCCCGGTCTTAAAGGAGATATTTCAAGTAGAACAGAGAACCCGAAGCCCTGATTCCGAATAGTCGCTCACAGAAATCCTAAAGCCAAACAGCTGTTGTTAAGTCCTAAATACTGCCTTGCAACTATAGAGCCTTATCTCGAGCCACTGCAATCCCAAAGCTACAGCGCCCTAAATCCTACAATCCTGATATCTCAACTTTCGCAGGCCTCAACCTAGCAGTAGAGTAGGTCACCTTCAACATTTTGGGGGGGTACCATAATCCCGGATAGCCCCGACATAATTGCAATGTACTCCGAAAGGTTAACCTTTGGTTTCCCAGGATACTCGACAAGTAGGCTAAGCACCATACCCAACCCTATCATAACTACACGCTTCTTTATTGGCCCGGGAGTTCATCAGCTACGGCAAAATATACTGCTGTGGAACTTCAAGGTAGGCCGTAGTTACACAGACAATCAACAGATCCGCAGTGAGGAAGTTCGCTTCTCTTGATAGCGACGATAGTGGCGAGCTGGGTTACCGGGAGACGCTCGGCATACTGAAGGTGTAAAGCTTGAGCTTCACGGCATACTATAGGGGTATGGACAACCTATGGTATCCCCCGTTGCAGTCCTCATAAAATCATACGATATAGTATCCCACAAGCCCTATTCTAACAAGTAAGATGCCTATCCCCCTAAAGTAGTTGTAGTGTAACACATTTCAAATCCCTATTCTAAGGCTCAAGACTCCTTTGCCAGAACCTTGTAATTCGTCCTTGTAGTATCCTTCGAACCTTTCGAAGGAAACGTTGAAGGATACCTTTTTTCAGGATGAAGGCCACTTACTTTGTTGGGGTTTATTTCGGTGTTCAACCCTGTACCCTAAACACTGGGTCTGTTGGGTGTGTGGGTGTGTGTACTTCGCTTTTGCTGCGGAGTTTTCGGTTAGTTTGTCAGGCTTGGGCTTGCGGTTTCGGCTTGCAGGATACCTTTAGGGTCCTTTAGGGCTGTAGGGTTTAGGGCGCAGGGTAGGATTTTGAGTTCAGCACTCAAAACGTCATGTCGTTTGTTCCAGGGATTCCAGGGTTTGTAAAGCTCTTATGTAACCCCAAACCGCCTTCGGCCCAAGACCTAAACACGGAAGCCCTTCAAGCCTAAGCCCTGAAAAGACGAGGGTTTGGTTGTGATATTTGGCTGTTCACGTCGGTGGCAGTCTTGCCGCCCGGGCTTTCGGATTACGGATTCTCAGGGCTTTGGCGCCTTGGGGTTAGGATTCTTCGGGCTTTGCCCTAGAACTTCGGGGTAGGGTTCAGGGTTTGAGGTTTGAGGTTGAGGGGGTTGAGGGTTTAGGAGGTAAAAGCCAGGGATTTACGGGTACCTGGACCCCAAAAGTATATATAATAATAGCCTTTTTGTGGTTTTTTGGTGCAATTATTTTACCTACTTTTGGAGGTCTAGGTAGGCGCCTTGGGCGTGAGGGGAAGGACATTCGGGGTTCGGGGTTGGGCACTATGTTGGTTACCGAAAGTAATCTGAAGAAGCAATTGAAGCTATTTTAAGACCCGAGTGATCAGCTACAGCCCACGGGTCCAAACTGCCAGCAACCACCTGGGGTCCAATCTTTTCGTTGTCTTCAGAGCTTTTCAACATCATATTGGGCACTGTGTGGATAGGCTTGGGCGTTGAGAATCTGTAGAGTTTAAAATATCAGTATTTAGAGCCGAAAGCCTGTTTGCTTCTTCGGCATCTAGGCATTGTGCTCCAAACGTGACTCGGGTCCAGAGGTATACCCGTAACCCTCACCCGGTAAGTTGTTCTGGTATCCTCAAGTTCAAGTAGCTCGTCATAGTCTTGTACTGTAGGGGCCTTAGAAATTACCTACACTGTTTTGCGGGTGCCTCATGACAATTACAGTAGAATGGGCCCCAAAACCCTGCTCGAATTATGAAGGCCCCTAAAGTATATCCGTAGCGTCAAAGAATGTCAGAAACTCTGGACACCCTACACCCCAAGCCCAAAGCCAAACTATCTCAACGTTGGTCCTCCTCATGAAATTTCTTTGGGCCGTTCCTGTAATGCCAACAGAACGCCCATCGTCCTCGTAGGATTTGGGAGTTTCCGAAAATTAGGAGTACCTTATCTTGGGGTCCTTAAATAGGGATCCTACTATTTATTATAGAAGGGTCCCGTAAATTTTCGGAAAGTCCCATTTAGGGTTGAGGGGTTTCGGTATCTTACCCAGATCTGATGTCTTCAGCTCTTTAGCCCAAAGCTTCTCCAAAGCAGGGCCAAAGCAGGGCTCTGCCCAAGTTTTCTGTAAACACCATCCTCGCTCGTTTGCTCAGAGGTTAAGCTGGGTCCTTCCGGTTACTTGGAGTGGGGTTTTGAGGGAACTTCTTTACGCTGAGGAGAGGAAGGAACCCGGAGAAATGGCAGAACTACTTACTCAGGTCCTATTTTACGGGGTTTCTGAATTTGAGACTTTGGATGTTGCAAGATAAAGGGCTGGAATGTGCTTGCATGTTTGGAGTCGTGCGTTGTAGGCATTCAGGATGTGGAGTTGCGTTCGGCTTGTTTATAGGGAAGCGGAAACTATGAACGCGAGATTTGAGGTTGTTTTAAAGCAACTCGGATTGTTTTAAATCAAGGATGGTTTCGGATTGTTTCAAGACAATCTCTTTCCGATAAATTGCTCTAAACAACCCGAGACAGCGGCACATTTAACCCACTTGAGCGGCAGCCTTCGCCGTGGGTCACTGGTGTCGAACTGTTGCTGCCCACTGACATTCCATAACGGCTGAAGGATTAGCCCATTCAAAGACCCACCAGCATAGCCTTGCTGCGCAGTGTAGGGAATGCCAACGCCCACCGAAACAGAAGGATCTTTGACAGTACCTCTTGAATAAATCACGATTGAATGGCCATAAATTTAAACACTCGGCAGCTAGCTTACGGTCTGGACGCGTTGGTCTGGAGATCGCGAAAGGGGGTTTGCGAATTTAGTTCTTCTCGGAGTTGCCTCGTCTAGTTTTACTTCGGCAGTCTGCCCTGTTTTAGGACCCGCGAACCTTTTCCGACTGAATTAAAATCTAGCCGCTTCGGAACCAGAGGCAGCCACAGTCGAATCATGAATTGGTCCGATAGCCCATTGAACCAAATTCTAAACCCTAAACCCAACGAAGGCTTCTGCCGCTGCTGAAGCCGGGCGTACCATTGGCACAACTGGAGGTCGGCCGGCCAAGGTTCGTGCATAGCAGTATTAGTAGCAGCTGCAGCAGCAGTGGTAGTGCTGGTGGCAATGGCAGCAGTGGCAGTGGCGGCATTGGCAGCAGTGGCAAGTGGCAAAGCAGTAGCGCAGCAATAGCGTAGCAACAACAGAAACTGTAGCATTACCAGCGCTACTGGTGTTATACTTGTGTCATTCTCGCTCTACTAGCAACCAGTTCTAGAAGGACAGGATGAAGATGAACAAGTATCAGCAGTATGCATTCGCATTAACTTCCGTGTTCGTTTCAAGCTTCGTCTTCGTGTGCGTATTCAGTTTTGTGTTCACAGCCGTAGTCGTAGTGCGTAGTCGTAGTCGTAGTCGTAGTCGTAGTCGTAGTAGTAGTAGTAGTAGTAGTAGTAGTAGTAGAAATTACTAGCAGTACCAGTTACTACAACAACTACAACTACAACAACGAAAACTACTACTACTACTACTACTACTACTACTACTCCTACTACTACTACTACTACTACTACAACTGCTACCGCTACTACCACTACCACTACCACTACCACTCCCCCTCCCACTACCACTACCACTACCACTACCACTACCACTACCACTACCACTACCACTACCACTACCACTACCACTAGTACTACTACTGCTACTACTACTACTACTGCTGTTGCTGCTGCTGCTACTACTACTACTACTACTTCATCACTACGACGACTTAGTAAACTGCTACTGCTATTCCTGTTCAAGCACCAGGCTAGTGCCTCAGCTGTTCGTCTTGGACTTTGGAGGCGAATCCCGTACGATTCCGAATCGCGTCGTTCTCCGCAGAAATATCTGTCAGAAAATGCTATACCCAAGTCTCCGCAATTTTCTGCTTGGGTCTTAGTAGGGATTGGGAAAATGGGTTATTGGGACGACTCCTAAACACATACGAACTACTATAGGGATCCATTCCCCCATTGCCTGCTAAGCACCAGACAGTTCTTGCTTGCACCGGCGGTTCTTGCTACCCCGCCGACCGCCCGGGCTGAACCCTCCGTACTCCGTTTATAGCAGCCGTTGCATTCGTCGGCCCGGAACCAAGCGTGTAGCTAAACATCTCAATCGACAGTTTCTCCATAGGTACTGCCCCCATGCAGTAAGAGTCTATAATAGGGCTACGAATAAGGTCCTGATATATCTATATTAGGAATATTATTCAACTATCACTGAGTGGGGGCCGTACCCAAGTTTCTCCCGAAACCCTCAGCTGAAAGTTACCCTTACACTGTCAAGCATAACCCCCAAGTGCACAACAGCAACACGTAGCCGGTCAGGCAGTAATGCAAAGCTTGGATACAGACAGCAAGGACCTCAGGACGTCATCAGGATTGAGGTTGTGGGTTTTTGGGGCTTAGGTTGTTACCCATAGGCCCCATAGTAGATCCTTTTTGGGGTTCATATCTTGAACTCTATAAGTTAATCCCAAAAAGGAACTACTATGGGGCCTATGGGTGGTGCAGATGAGTGAGCTGTGTTTGAATGCGGTTCTGGTATAGGTGGTATATGGGTTCAGACGGAGGTAGTCTTGCAACTGCGCAGGGCGGATCACAGCAAGATGCAGGCAGGACTCTGTCCACAGGATTTCTGACACATTGGGTTTTGTGTTTTAGGGTCGTGCATGTGTTTTGTTTCCGGTTGAAGGGGAACACGAACGCGGCTGGCTACCACAAATGAAGATTCAAAGTTCAGAGTTGCTAATGGGTCACTGAAGCACATATGGCCATATTTCGAATCTCAGCCCGTAGCATTTCCAACACCGTCATTATTAGTGGAGCCATTGCCGCTATCAATAATCATCCACTGCCTTAAGCAGTTTTTCAGTCACAGCACCGAGCCCCAATTTCCTTGATTTCGGCTGCAGCACAGACTGCAGTGAAGATCTAGGCAGCGGTGGAGTTGACGTGCTCGAGTACGCAGGCAAAGTCAGGGGTTTAGGGCTGCAAGGGAATTTTGGGGGGTTTAGCGTTAACTATAGTCTCCTTAGAGATTATTTTTAGTTTTGTTCATATAAAACCCAAGAGAATATTAAAAAAACTATTTTTATTATTATGCTTCTAGGGGGGGTTTAGTGTTAAGGGTTTGGAGCAGTCTTTGAGTTTCAGATCGTAGGTTGTCAGCTTGGAAGACACCGGAGAGCCGCAAGACAACCCGACTCTGTAAATCAAAAACAACCCAAGGCCCCAAGGCACCGTTTCATGCGGCTGACTATTTACTTATTATTACCTCTTCGTTGAGAGGTGGAGTCCTTTCAGCTCAGCCGGTCATTTTTCCGAACGCTTATTTAGCGACCGTACGGGCGCATCGTCTTGAGTCTTGTTGTTGGACTTTTCAGTTGTTGATTGTCGGATGCCCGCGTTGGTGTGTTTCATGATTGTGGCTTCTCCTTTGATTTATACCACTTCACTCTGCATGTCCAGACAAATACATAACTCGGCTGCCGCAGCTTATCATCCGCAGATTGCTTGTGTTATGATAGTTTGTTTACTTACTTGTTCCATATCATGATGCGGTGCTGCCATGTCTTCATAGTTTTGTGCATGCTTCAATCGACACCATTATGAGGCCTTGAGTGTCAAGGTATTGTGTGTCTAGGAGTTAGGGCATTGGCACAGTGATGCTGTGACACTAGTCTGCCATGTTGTTAAACTGCTGCACTGACTAGTGACTAGTTTTCATGTTTGCTTGACGATATTATTCTCCGTGGATTCTCGCTATGTAGTTGGTACTCCCATACACATGCAGAGCCCCGACTGTAAACCCTGAACCTATAACCTGAACCTCAATCACGTAAACTCTGAGCTCTGGACCTTATGTCCAATGTAAGGGACGCAAACATTTCCCCGGTTTGGAGTTTCTCTGAGTTTCAGGATCTCTTTCCAGGATGTTTTGATCCTGCAGCACGCAAAAAGCAGCTCTGCTGTTGTGTTTGTGGTGGTGTAAACAAGGAAGTTTGTCAAGAAGAGGTGTTCTTCGGCATATAGGACGGAAGCCGACCGGAAGCAATCACTGACAAGCTGATGATTGACTTTGAGACGGTGTGTGTGTGTGTGTGGGGGGGGGGGCGGGGTGTTCCTTATTATAACTGTAGAATGATTTACTCATTATTAAGGCGCCTACAGTAGCAGGATGGTTTGGAGCATTACGATTTAGGGGTTTGGTTTAGGGGGATTAGAGGCATTGATCTTAGAGCGCACCTCCCGAACATGACACGACCTTGATGGGAACGATGGACTCCATTTGGGCTAGGCTGAGTAAGTTCGTTAGTACGTCATGATCACCGTCCAGAATCCTTAAGTCTCGCCGGCCCTATAACGTCGCTTCAAGACACCCGCAGTAATTCCATCTCCCCCAAACTACCCAGATCTTTCAATATGCACTCACAGAAATACTCCTTGAATCATGTTAGGGATCCTACTGCAATTCAATTCCAATCCTTAATAAAGGGATGTTGGAAGATCCAGGAAAGCCAGTTGCTGAAGTGGAGCTTTAGGTCCCCTAAACGGTACGGCACGCTTTTTCAAAGGACTGTAGACCTAGCAGTAGAGTATATATCCTTTGACCTGTTGTGGCACTGTAAACCGCATATAAGCTCGAAGTTTAAATTGCAGTGCCCCTAGGGTACTGGACAACTAAGAATCTAGAGAACCATCCATAAAACCCTTACTCCAAACCCTAAACTACCTCGCAGGTGCAATGACGCAGCGGCCTCGGAAGCGTCAGCTTCGCCCCACGACATTACCCGGGCCAAGGCCCTGGAGCCGAGAGGTTGCCCTCCGGATTGAAGTGGTCTGAGGGTACCGGGACACAGACCCAAACCCTAATGTAGAGTTTATAGAGACCCTCCAAACAACTGGGGTTAGGTAGTTTAAGGTAGGGTTTAGGGGCCAAATTTTGCAAACCCTATTATAGGCGTCCAACCTGAAGGCCAAGAGCGTGAATAATAATAAGCATTTTTACCTGCATTCGGGGGTTTTGCTAGGGATTCTAGGGTTTAGGGCGTTTGGGGTTTACGCGTGTCAAGAATTACTACCATGACAACTTTGTTAATTGTCACTGGGGTGCGTGGATTGAGAGGTTCAGTGGTAAGTACAGCTATGAGTGCTGCCCTTTGCGCCTGATTAACCCCTTTAAGGCCTAAGCGCAGAGTAGATGGGTGCATGGACCCATCGGCCTCATATGCGACCTTACATAGCCGAGGTAGATAATGCTCCAGCGCCCCGCCCGCGGGCTGGCGACGCGGAACTTCCTTCTCTGGCGCCGGCGATGTTGAATGGGCACCTTCTCAGCAGGGCCTCGGGTGGAGATTAGTCAAACCCTCCCTTCCTGTTTCTTGCTGAAGGGCCAAGCAGACGGTAATTCTAGGGTTTAGGTTGTAGGGTTTATACTCAGCAGCCTCGTTCCCTTAAGCAGGAAGTTTCGAAAGAGCCCAATTTTGCTGCCTGTGGGTCATGGGTCGACGTGGACGTCGCAAGTGTATTGCTAAACCTCTGCACTGATAAACCCGTGGCAACACCACACCCGGCGTTTAACCAAACTAAAAATTATTGCCCAAAGGGTCCAAAGTACCTTTATTGTAGATTGTAGGGTTCCTATAGTAGGAAGTACTATTATGATTTGGGGAAGTATCCCCCAAAACAGTAATTTGGACCCTTTGGGTTGATCCTCAACCCTAAACTCTCGCTGCTCGCCAGCGAAACCCAGGCCTGGATCTAAAATCCCCAAAGCTATCACAAGTCTGAAGAGAATGCATGGTTTAGGGTTTATAAGGGCCCTGTCTCACTTTGACCCTGTAGTTGAAGCTTCCTGGATTAGCTTGGCAGAGGCTTTGACTACGATGTAGGGTTTAAGGTAGGGTTTCTGCCGTAGCTTGGAAGGGCTTTAGCCCTAAGGGTTTACAATTGTAAGCCGCACCGGGATGATTGCAACTGCCACACCAATAGCTGTGAAATCAGCACAGCTTGCAATAGCTTCTGCCGGAACCGACAGCTTCTGAACATCCACCCGTGCTTTGGTTTTGGCCACAATACCGAGACCAGAAAAGTTCATTGTTTTCCCGCGCTTTGTCTTAGTGCTCATTGTGAGTCGAGTGCAGCCAAATTCTGCAGCCTCTTCTTGGACTCAAACGACGTGAAAGCATTCACGCAGCGAAGCTCCACAATTAAGCTCAAACTTCAAGAAAAAACTTTGAATCCTAAACCATGCACACAGTTAGGTCCACACCTGAACGCCTCCATGGTCTTCTCGGCCGAGTCGGCGGCACCATGGCCTGTGAGCTGAACTAGGTCATGTCTCCCAGTGGGCCCTTTTCCCTTGTGTCTTGGGCTCTTGCTCCTTATGATATGCAGACGGAACCCTAAACCATCCTAAACCCAAAGCCTTAAGCCCTGAAAAGCTTAAGTTCTGAATCTTCACATTTCAAGGGCTACCGGGGAACCTAGCGAAGAGACTGTTGGACTATCAGATCTCAGTCTCAGGCTTCTGCACAACCTGTCTATGGTGATTATAGTATAGTATCGTAGATCAAAGTATTTTGTAGCGTAGTATAGTCTAGCCACGTGCAGTATGGTGTAGTAGGCAGAGTATAGTACAGTATGTAGGATAGTATGGTATCGTAGAGTAGATGTTTTGCGCTAGTAGCGTGACAATTCTGAAGCTAAGAGAAGGAGGCGTATTAAAAGCAAAAACACAAGTTGAACCATCATCGCAGCAACAGCTTGGACCCATGGTCTTCGAATGACCGACGAGGGTTGTTCCTTAATTTAAACTAAACCTAAAACCCCCTATAAAGCCTAAAGCCTTAAACCTTAAGAAGGCCTTCTTTGGGCACATGGGCGTGCTACCCAATAGACCTAGCGCGTGTTGACATAGTCACCGATACATAGTTCCTATTAATTGTGGGATCCTAGCCAAGCCAGGAAACTGGTTCACCAAGAACAAAACAGCGACTTCGTTCGAAGACTACAGATATGAAGCCACTGCAGCAGCCTACTCACCAACTTCTCGCCTTTACAGCTGCTCTAACGATCAACTCTTGCAGTACCTGGGATCCGACAAACTATTATTTTAAGGGCTCCCTCTAGCTATCCGATGTTGCAGGATTTGGGAATACAGGTAAGTCTCGTATGCTGCTCTTGAGTCCTAAACCCCAAACCCTAAACCCTAACCTGATGCCTAAGCCTACGCCCTTCTTGCCGAGGACGCGCGCGGCGTCCCACCATTTCCCTTCCTCCAGAGGGTCTCACAGCAAAGGCAGGGTTTAAGGGTTTATAGGGTTCAGGGCCGGGCAAGGCTTGCTCCAAAATAGGGGCCTTCGCAATCGAAATCTTGGGTTGGGACTGGGACAGCTTAAAGTAAAATATAAGCTTTGGTATCTTAAGTAGACAAGCTTTAGGAGGAGATGCTACTGCTTATTATTGTTCAGACAGAGGTTTTAGATATGATGGACCGGTTCTCAACTTGCTTGCGTCCCATAGGAGCCTGAATAAGTACCAATACTTTTGCTTTCGGGTTCCTTGTTACCCATACTACCGAGAGCCACAACCCTATTCATATTCTTCCGGATGAAACTTGCGCATGCTGCAAAAAATATTTAGCTTTTACACTGAAGAATCTCATACGTGGGTGTTCTCGCCGATGTGACTTGCCTGTTTAGTTGCTTGACACTTCTTCGGTGAATACAGTATATACTTTGGCCCTGCAGTACCAAAATAGGGACTACTTTAAGGCCGAGGTATATAATTTGGGTTCATGGACCCTTAGGGCAAAGTGTTGACCATTTCGCTCCGAGCTGAGCTGATGCCTAAGGCTCCAAGGGACCTGATAGTTAGGGTTCTTTTGAATTAGTTCGATAAGGGGCATAGCGGATTTTATAGTGGGTTCTAAGAGTCCAAAGGACCTGATAGTTCATTAGGTTCTCAGGTTTCGGATAGTAGTTATGTAGGGAACTATTTGAGAGAGCATATGATTATTAGGTACCTGGTCCCTTGGGGGATTGTTTATGAGATGCACATGTCATCTATAGCTTCCATCGCATCAGGCTTCCGTCCGCAACCATCCCACAACCCTCCTTATTATTAATATGATGGATTTTCGGTCCTAAGTACCTACAGAGTGCAAAGGCCGGTTCCTATAATGGGAATTACCCTGTTTTGGGTATAGGTACATAGCATCCTTTGGGTCAGGCCCGTACATGACGTCCGTTTATACTCTGAATTTTCGGGCCCCTTCTCGGTCCCAGGTTACAAGGATTCGCAACCTTTTTAGCCTTTTGAGGGTTTTAGGGTTTTGGGGGCTTTAGGGTTTTAGGGTTTTGGGGGCTTTAGGGTTTTAGGGTTTTGGGGGCTTTAGGGTTTTAGGGTTTAGGGTTTGCTTATCGCGGCAAGTGTTGAGGAAGCATATGTCGCATGCTGCTTCGATCAAAATCCTGCTCAAGACCTGGAGCACAATACTACTGTGGATGGACAATATCCTGCATGACCCAATATAAGGAATATACCATAATTCCCATAGTTTAGGGTCCTTAAGGTCATGCAGGATTTTGTCCATCAACAGTAGCGCATGCTGAGCATAGTCAAGCGCTCCAGAATTCAAAGTAGCATCGGTGGGTCGTAAGTAGCCAAGTAGCATCATCAGCAGCACCCATCTACACTTCCATGGTGAAAATTGGTCCCCGGAACCATAGTAGGAATGGTCCTTTGGTCTGGTGCCTCTTTAATTTCGGAAGAGTAGTATACATTCACTGACCCGTTGGGATACTATTAGATTTTACACGGAGTTATATAACCATCCAGGCTCTGTGTAAAATCTGTTTCCGAACTCTCACCACAGAGCTGCCACGCAAAGGATCACGCTATTCGCGACTATGTTGTGCGATCTTGTTTGAGCCCACGCCCCATAGCCCTGGACCTTAAAGCACTAAATTTAAACGGTCACCTAGCCCTGGAGCCTGAACCTGCTCATAGGCTATGTTCCGACTTTGTGGGGCTTTGTACTGGGCCTTGAACCCTAAATCCCACAAAGTCAATCTTCCATCGACTGAAGCCTGCAAAAGGAGCGAACAGCAGCTCACCGCGGCTTCTGCTTCAACTACCGGAGACATGGCCTAGCCTTAAAGAAGCCTTTCGTGGTGGGGTTGCGGGAAAAGGACGGGGAGACGGGAAGGGGAGAAGGAGGGATGGACGTATGAAGGGATGGAGAGAAGGAGGGATGGACGCAGGGATGGAGGGAGGGATGGCAGGGTGCAGTGCTTCTTGTTTTTCGTCGTGGCGGTGGTCATGATGACGACGGGGACGATGATCAGCAGAACCCTGAAGATTACGAAGACCAACAGCGAGAGCAGGAGGATGTAGTGAGAATATGCCCCGTTCGGCCCATGAGGATCGTTGTGGCATGACCATGCTGATTGTAGGGTTCTACGTCTCTTGATTAAGTGCACGCTCATGGTACCAATGATGAAGATAACGAGGAGCAACATGATGCGTTATATCCCAAAGGTATGCTTCTGTCATTCTGTCATTGTTATGTGTTGCACCGATCAGCAGTACAAAGATGGCGCCTAGTCATAGGAGCTTCATAGGGGTTTTAGCCTATGGGGGTTTAGTGGCGATGACCCCAAGAATCTTAAACCCCCCTTTTGGCCTCCCATCACCTAAGGATGAGCGACTCTATCCCCTTGAATCGCAAGCAGCTGGATGTTCGGTCGCAGGCATGTGGGAATCTCCGAAAATCAGGGGTACCTTAATTTGGGATCCTTAATAATAATAATACTAATAATACTAATAATAATACTAATAGTAATAGTAATAGTAATAGTAATAGTAATAGTAATAGTAATAGTAATAGTAATAGTAATAGTAATAGTAATAGTAATAGTAATAGTAATAGTAATAGTAATAGTAATAGTAATAATAATAATAAGGATCCTACTACTTAGGGTCCTATATCAGAGTCCCGTAATGTCGGAAACTTCCATGTGGCATCCAATGTCTCAACTGTGGCAGCTCTTGACCCTCAAGCCAGACCCACTCGATCTTACGTAACCATGTTGAGTTGGGTTGTTGTCAGACTTAGGGTCCCTTTCTGAGTAATCTAGATGGTAGGTGTCGCTTGATATTAGGGAACCAAAACGGGACAATAATTTTGACAACCAGCCTTAAGCACAAAGTCGGGTTTCTATGAAAGGAACTATTACTATGTTTGGGGTCCGTATCCTCCATGCTATGGGTACTCATGATCCTTTGGCGCACAGGTGGGCTCGTAGCTTATTTTGGCAGTGCTCAGTATCATGTCTTTCACTCCCTATTCTTGTCTACTCCGTGTTGAGAATTGCCGTGTTCGTCAATATCCTTAGTCCAAGTATCTTCTGCACCCTCGAAGGCCTGCCGCAAAAAACACGACACTTACCCAACGGATTTGCCCAGCGCAAGCGTCATCGTGGCATCTTGGAAGCACTATGGCCCATTATTCTGATTCCCACAGATATTGCGAAGCGGGGTAGGGCTTGAATGATTTGGATCTTGTGTGCCAAAGCAGATTGAGCTACATGGGCTTTCATGATTGTTGAGTTGAGCTGTGTTGAGAGCGCCGTAACTGCAGAGAGTCGGCCAGTGTGCTCACTTTCAGTTCGGAATCACAATTTCTGGGGTCACTGCATGCTAAGCTGGACTTGGGAGAAACGTTAGTTTCTCGTATTGGCTTAGCATAGAGGCGCAATTTGAAATAAATTTGACTATTGTCATAGTCGACACCCCCTAAACCCTAAACCCTAAACGTAGTGAAGTGTACCGAGTCTAGCATATGGATATCGTTGCTCCGAGTTAGCCGGGCTGTCAGTTCCGAGCCGACACTCCCAAAGGGTCCCAGGTACTGTTCTGGGGGGGTACTTCCCCAAACCATGGTAATTCCTAATATAGAACCCCTACATTCTACTATAAAGGTGCTTTGGACCCTTTAGGATTATAATGCAATGATTCCGAGAATTATTGAAAGTGGATGAGGCTGGTGTCTTGCGGGGCACAAGCCTTGTTTCCTTATCGTAATCCCGAAGCTCGAAATCCTAAACTACCGTCTTTGAGTAAGTCCAAACCGTTCCAAACCTCAAGACTCTCAGCCACGAGCCCTAGCCCCAAATGCAGCCGCTTAATTAAGACTTTAGAGACCCGCCCGTCTCCCTCAGCAACCTACGACTCAGGTATTTCATAACGAGCACATCTCTGTTCTCCTCCGCACCCTGCACTCCATCTTGCAGCTGGGCTTCTGAGTCACTCAGAGTTCATAGCCTGGTAAAAGGATCTCACGAGGGCTTGTCGCTGTGCTTATAAGCATTGACTTACAGAGGTTCATGGATGACCGAGAGTCGTGTTGCAGCCTTGTGTTGCACTCTCATTTTATGCTGTTCATGTATGCTCGACTCAAGCCCTTGCTTGCCACTTCAATTCTGAAGCCTCGGACATCGCCCACAAAATGAGCGTATCCCCGGCCACTACAGAGGGCACCCTTGGTTTGGCAGCTGCAGCTGATCACAGGCGGCAGGGACAATGCTGTACAGTATGCCGTAGAGTGGTTGCATCCAGATGAGAAGCTGAGGAATCAGTCACCACCGCGATTGCTCGCGCAATTGCTGCTTGTTAGACTTAAGCTTCAGCTACAGCATAGAACTGCAGCACTTCTGGCGGTTTTCTGTGCAGTATGTTAGGCAACACATGCTATTGGAGTCTCCGAAAATATTTTGGGGTGCTCAAAAGAAGGATCCTACTATTAAGGGTACTACATCAGGGTCCCCTATTTCCGCAAACTCCCACATCAGGGTGCCCGGTTTGAGCACTTCCTTGTCCAGGTTGTTGCTTTCTCTCGACTTGAGACTCGTCTCTGGTTCATGTCGGAGGTACGTCCCGGTAATATAGGGCCCTGAACAATTACCTGTACTATTTTGGGTCCCCAAACCCTATTCTAATTATTAAGGCCCCTATAGTAGATGCTAACTGTTTCCTTATGTCTTACACTAGGGAGTATATAGATCTGCATATGAACTGCGCCATATGTGCGAATTGACCCATAGACTGTTCTAAAACCTGAACCCTAACTGAACCCTAAATCCGAAATCTCTTAAACCCAAAACCCAGAACCCCAATTAAACTTTAATCCCAAGCCTCATAAGTGATAATCCCAGGATCGTCGTGGACGATGCCAGCGTCCCCACTGATCGTTTCGACAGAGAACACTGGGAAGCTCTTCAAGCTCCGCTGGCCGAATATTGCGCCTTGGTCTCGGGTTTTGGGTTTACCTGTAGCCGAAAAGACCTACCTTTTTAGGGTTCCTTATTATGGTTTCTATGTATAGTTCCTGCAAAAGGTAGGTCTTTTCGGCTGCAGGTAGGTTTTATGGTAAAAACTTTAAAGTTGGAACATGATAGTCATTAATCCTGATGCCCTTAAGGTAAAGTAGAAGGTAGTGTAAGGGATCCCTAGCACTGATCATCCTAAACCTCGCGCTTGGGGTAGTGGATTCATATTGCTACTGTTTGGGTTTAGGCGTTTGGGGTTTAGGGTTTGGGAGTTTTGAGTGTAAGGGTTCAGAATTTAGGGCCTAGAGTTTCCGGGGAGTCAGGTTTAGGGTTTAGGAAACCCTAAACCTTAAACCCTAAACCCTAAACTCCAGGTTTAGGGTTTAGGGCTCGAATTCGGTGGCAGTCTGCTAGGGCTTTTGGTTTTCGTTGTGGTGGGGTTGGTTCTGGGGCACGGCTTTTCTCGGCGTAACGACGATTCCCAGAGCCTCCACAATCCCTGAATTAAGGAATACGCCGGTTAAATCTAATGAATTAATGTTTCCATGATAATTTAAGGTACCTTCCTCATTTATGGAGATTTGGAGGCTCTGGGTTCTGTGGCATCAAGGAAGCAAGGGTTGGGCCGAAATCTGGTCTAGTGAAGCACTGGGGCAAAACCTTTCTGACGGCTCAGGTGTTACCTAGATTGCTGGGTGCTTTTATTTGGGTTATTTATATAGTGCCTTAACAAGGAGGTCTAGGTAACGTTTCTATCTTCGTTCGTCTGTCGGCGAACTGAAGCAATCGACACAAGCTAGGCTAGGTTGGCACATCGCAAAACTCCGGTACGAGGTGCCTACCATTACGTATACTCCATCTAGGTGCAAGTCATAATAGACACACATATGCGCAATGCATGCGCGTACATACCTACATACCTACCTATTTACCTACATAGCTACATGTATACATATCATCGATCATGAAAGCCTATGCCTTCGCATGTCAGAACTTCTCATGTTTTACACACGGGCACAAGACACTAGCTAAATGCATGCCCGACTCTCAGGGTTTCGGGTACCTGAGTTCTGCCGTCCCCGGTTGTATCATCTTAGAATCTTAACTCATGAGTGAGGGTCGCTTTGGGTGCTCAGGGTCGCTTCGGGTGCTCGGCTTTATGGTGCGTAGCTTTGGGCTTCGATGTAACGTGCGCAAACTGATGGGTGAGGGTCGTTTGGGGGGGCAGGTTTTATAGTGTGTGGCTTTGGACCTCCTCAGCTATCCAAACTCCTAAAACCCTAAACCCTACCCCCCTACCCCCTAAACCCCTAAATCCTAAACCTTAAATGCCCTTCAAGCCCCTTTTTCTGAAGGTCAGCAGCTGCCAAAGACGCAGTTGGTTCGGCTGGCAGAACGGCGAGGGCTCATGGTTGCACGTGACCTGCTGGTTCAAAGGCTTTTGGAGTTGAAGTTCAAGGGTTGAAAATGAAGTCTCGCGGTGACGTTTAGCACATTTAGCTTAGAAGGTGCAGCGTATTCCGCTGAAGTTTCCAGCTGTTCCTTCGTTTTCCCATGTTATGTATACCCTTTCTACACTTTCTGTAAGTGTGCATATACATACAAGCATCGGACGATGTGCCGATATACCAGCGTGTCAAAAAACATCTGTGCATTGCTCTAAGTCACTTCTCCTCAAACCCTCAATCGAAGAGTTTTCGGGATTCCTTCAGGTATGGAGGGTGTGTGGAGGGCCACTGGTGACGTGGTGATCTTCCTAGAGACTTGGATTTGAGTCTGAACTTGTTTGAGGTGCGGGCTCCCCTTCTGTGTCCCAATCCCCAAACCCTAAACCTTGGAATGTTGGATTTCAGGAGTTTGGGGTAAACGTTGACGGTGCCACGTGCAGGTTTCACTTTTGGGGTTGTGCTACAGGGGCCGAAATAATTAACAATACTACTTTGGGGGTTCCCTAATACAATGGGCCCCGAAACCCTAATTATTCGGGATTTTTTGAGGGGAACTGGGGTGCTTTGAGTCAACCTTTGTGTACAAGATGCTACTATACAGGGGGCCTTAATCTTTGGAACATGATTTTCTGGGCTGTTGTTAAGGGATTATCTTAAGTTACCATAATGAAGAAACCATAGTATGTACTATAGATCCCTATTATTATGGTAAGGGAGATTGAACCCAGGATTTTGAGGCATAGTGCAGCAATGGTATATGAAGCTACCCTCGAGAAGAATATGCTATATTGCTAAGGCCCCTATACAATAGTTCATATGGGCGAAGCAACACCAGCCACTGATAGGAGGATGATACTGGGTCTCCCCGTTAGCCCTTTTTCACATTTGTATTCCGGCTTCTCCTTATTAAGATCGAATCGTAGGAAAAATGGTACCCTCGTGTTTACGTTGCTACTGGGGAACCTAGGATAGCTTCCCTCAGGCGGGCGGTTGGGGTCCCACCTGGGGGGACTTCAAGGTGTGGGGTCTGTGGTGCGGGAAGTTGGTTTGGGTATGGGGGGTTGTGTTTTGATTTCGCAGGCCCTGTGTCTTGACCCCTATATTACTTCTTTTCGATCTCCGGCCCCCAAAGACGTCTGCTTGAAAGGACAGCCACATCGAAGCCACCCCGGGTTGGATAGAACCCTTGCTGGCCCGCATCAAGGAGCCACACATACACAGTGTGTCTGAGGCCTCTATTGGACGTTAGACGCTATGTAATATGAGCCCAACATAGAGACCTTGATTTGGGAAGACGCTTGTGGATTTCCGAGCTTGGTTCTTTGAGTTTGGAACATTGGACTTATAGGACCGTGGCGGATGGCTTGGTCTCCCCACCCTTGGGGTTTAGGGTCATGAGGGCGCGTGTAAAGAGAATGATGCAGTTAAGTATGGATGCATATGGACGCTAAAGCCATTTTGGACTTGGGCTGTTAAGGGGTGGTGTGGTTGCAATAGCCAGATACTTGATCGACTTGATGACAACGTACACTCCAGCTAACTGGCGTGAGCAGAATTTCGGAGTGTTGTTAAGGAGCTTAGTAATCAGTCAGACACTTCCCCACCAAGCAGCCTGCAGAGATTTTTACAGACCATCAATAAATCGCTGAAATATTCCATGTCTATTCTGGTAACTACCTTATTGAGAACACAGTTACCCTCGGGCGCAAAATAGCCCCAAAGCCTTGCATAGTATGGTCTTCAAGCTATGACTCCTTGGAGCCTAACCCTAAATCCTAAACCCCAAACTCCTAACCCTACCCCCCTTAGGTTAGATTCGAAGTCGCAGGAGGACCCCAGAAAGGTGGTTCTGCCCAGAGTCGACACCATTGATGCAGACCTCGGGCTGGAAGCTATAGCACTATTCTCCTACCCTATGCTTCCAAGGACCTCTAATCAGGGCCCTAGACTCCTCAAGGACTCAATAATCAGGTCCCTGGAAGCCTAGTGCTCTTATTCTCAATCTTGGTACTATGAGTATTTAATGTTGTTAGTGTTCTTATTGCAATTATTGTTACATGTTGTGACGATTGTGGCTACTGCTACTATTGTTGTTACTTACCCCAAAAACCCTCTTTGAGTCCTATGTATATACTATACAGTACTATACAGTATATAGGACCCTTCGTGACTGCATTTTTGTTGTGCATAGGGGCATGCGGGGCGGTCCGGGTTCAGGATTTCTTGACTTGGACTTGCGATTGCAGCATGGCTTAGAGTTGCATGCGCCGCAGGCCCTAAAAGAAACCATGCCAGGGGATTCGGGGCCTGTGGAATTTTGCCTTGTTAGCATTTAGGGGGTCAGGGTTGTCAGGACTGTTAAGATAGTTGCAGCTCGTAGTTTGGAGCTGCTGATGGGGATTGGGAGCTTCGTGCTCATGATTCAAGGAGTGGGGCTTTGTGGGGTTTAGCAAGTTGGGCTGTGTGATCAACAACGAAGGATCTAAAGCTTGCCGCTTATCTCATGAACAACTTTTGCCTTATGTGTTCGTTGGGCTGGAGCATTTTGGGATCAGAGTTTCGGGATTGCATGTGTGCATGCATATTGGTCAGGCCCCTTGTGCAGTGCGTCGCAGATCAATAACTCAAGCCTCGAGTTAGAGGAGGGAAACACACATAATCACACCCATTGAAGCCTCCAAGGACACAGAAGGGCAGACAGTATGTTGCATAGTCTGGTGACCTGCTAATGGCATCTCGTGCTCTACCTGGACCCCCCAAAAGTAGGTACAAAAATAACCCAACTCCTGTATGCGCGGCTCACAAGCGAAAATCCTGAAGTAGGGATTGATTTTACGATTCCTAAACCTTAAACCCACAACCCCAAAACCTTAAACCCTAAACCCCAAAACCTTAAACCCTAAACCCCAAAACCTTAAACCCTAAACCACAAAACCTTAAACCCTAAACCCTAATGGTTTCACTGGAGGTTTTCATTCATCCCCCGGCGCCCCCACCCAGACCACGCCGACCCCGACCCCCCACTTCCGCTCAGGTAGTTGTCAAAATTATGGTCCTTTTTCCGGTACCCTAAATAATAGGTGCCGTATAGGGACCCCAAAAAAGGGACTATAATTTTGACCACCGCCCACCCGGAAAATTCTTCATTCTCGGACTCAAAGCAAGGAAACTTTTGAGTACTCGTCCTCAGAGAAAAGTGGCATCGGTGTCCTCGGCTGCTTGAATGTGTTTCTAGGTCTCAGGAAGCATGCCGTGTCAGATGGGGCTGCGAGCATAAGATTGTCTCCATGTTTATACAGTACCTATATATGTAACAGTAACCCGGTGGCAACAAGCACAAGGAGTCAGACTCGTGATCATGACAGAACAGGCAGTCGCGACAGTGATCACACGAGTAAGATCAATACTGCTGTGTGCATAGTGAGTGATGGCTTTCATCCTCGACATCACCCTGGTTCTCAGGACCGTGATTTTGATTATTTCGCTATCACCATCACCTGAACCTCAACAGTTAGTATCTTCAGTATGTTCAAAGCGAGAGTTCATTTCCATTCAGCTTTGTGCTTCGTATCCTGCTTCTTGGTCCTTCGTATCTCGCAGCCAGCTTGTTCCACAAACTCCCCAGCGCTGCCTCTCGTGTGGAGCCGTCGGATTGTTAGCAGCTGCTGTGCTCACGTGTTTCGTGATTCCTTTGCCTTATCGTCGTGTTCGTCGTGCAACTTTTACTCGTCTAGCGATGACCAGCGTCATTATGCCTACTTATAATGTCGTACTTATTGTCATCCTGCATTTTTATTGTCCACCCCGGACCGGATCGCCCTGAGGCTTCTCGTGGAGCCTCGGACAGCGGCAATGGCCCGTAGCAGACTACGGCCAGGATCGGCAAAGGGAAGAGGGTTTAGGGCCTCCTCAGGGTATTACGGGTAACCCTAAACCCTAATCCTAGCTTCGCGCTTCGAGTTCAGAGCTTCGACGATGAACGGGGGAACTTTAAACTTGTTGGCCTTATATATTAGCGAACTTTTTGGGGCCCGGTTGTTAAAGAAGAGAGAGAGTTCGAGGGCATTGGAGCTTATGAGTTTGGGCTTCTAGGAGGAGCCGGGGTCTACAGGAGCGGGGGACCGTTAAGCTGCTGCCCAGACCAGATCAGCCACAAAAGTGTTTAATGAGCACCTCCTTCATGCTCATCCGAAGACCCTAGAGACACCGAATCCTACGATCCCAACATAGGGGCCTTAATACTTACCATTACTTGTGGTTCCTTACTATAATTATAGTATACTGGGCCCCCAAACCTTATTTTAACTATCAAGGCCCCACCTCGCCAGCCTCATCCCCGATATCCCAAAGCAAAGCCGTATGTCCGATACGGGAAACCGAACCAGATAACCTCCAAAGTTTCCAAAGCTGTACCAGCCCATACGTATGGGTTGTTCTCAAAACTAGTGTCCCTTCTGGGTGTCCAAAGTAGGGGCGTCGAGTTAAGAGTAGAATTGTAGAGGGTCCCCCCAAGGGGCCATGATATTGACAGTTACCTATGTAAATCCCTGTTCATGGAGAACCCTTCCATACTTGCTACAAGTCGGAGTGTATCAAAATTCCTGCAGCTACTATCCAGTTTCATGGTAATTTACCTTACTACTGGACATTCGGTAGAGAGAAAACTCACGAAAGCTTGGATCCGCTTCGCCACCAAATGTCTGGGAAAGAGAGCTGCGAGTAGGGGACGATACTCACCCTCAGGGCTGATGTAGCTTAACCCTAGACCCTAAACCCACCAAAACGCGCTTGTTTTGTAGGGTTCCTATTATAAAGTCTTTATTAGGGTGTATCACGACCTGACAGAACAGTAGGTTTTGGTAGGTGAAGGTAAACCCTAATACCCTAAAGACGGTATCATGCCGCAAGGGTCTCAGAGAGGTCAGTATTATCAGGGTTGAGGGGTTTGGGCATAAGGGTCCATGTACTCAAATGCTAGGTACTTTGGACCCGAAGTCCCTATATATATATATATATATATAATATATATATATATATATATATATTATGTATATATATACATATTATATATATATATATATATATATATCCCAAGAATCTCTGAGTCCAGACACCGAAGCCGCAGGACGGCACGCAACCGGCGCCGTCGCCAATCATGCCAGGAGGACTCTTCGCAGCAGATCGCAAAGAGCGACTGGGCCACAGAGCCTGGGTTTTGAGGTTTTGGCTTGCGACCTTGGGTTTTAGAGGCATGTCGGGTCAGGACTTTGGATTTTAGATTGCAGTGTTTAGTTCGGGGTTCAGGTGTCGTTTGCATGAGGACGTTAACGATTCATCACTTTCCAGCGGACTATGGACAGCGGCAAGTTGCACTCAGTTCGGGACACGGTCTTATTCAAAGTTAAGTCTGGCGAATTTCCGAGCATTAAACTCATTGGACCATGTTTGCTGACCCCTACGCCTCCGTGCTGTTTCCTGACATCCTCTGTTCGAAGATGGGGAGCCATAAATGCAGAGGCATATTCTATATTCAGGGCGCAATAATTAGAAGCTTTTCGGGGTGTTTCATACTGTAGCTGTCAGAAGTGTTTTTCGTCTTCTGAAGGACTTTCAGGTTATCCCTGCTCAGGCCAGGGAGATGTACACTGGGCAACGCGGTCGTCCTCCGTTTGGTTACTGTAGCAGGTGTCATTAATCTCTTAAAGCACGCACAGAGGGACATGCCATGATTATGTACAAGTATACGCAAAGACTCAAGTATGCATATAAGTATATATATATATATATATATACATATCTACTGACATATGTTATTTATGCAAAATTTGTACATGCACATATACTGGTAGAGCATGTCAACAGATACGCAAACGCATGCACGTGTACCTACATGCGCACGGACATCCACACAGATGCAGGTTTGGCATGCAGGCAGACAGGCAGACAAGTATTCAAGCATGCGTACATGCCCGTGTGTGTATGTATATGTGTATATGTATCAGCTAGATGCAGGCCAAAGGGCCGCGTCACTTTGACACTACGCCCGAAACAGCAGAAACAGCAGTGTATATGTATGTGTGTGTATGTATACATATATATATATATATACACATCTTATTTTCTTTTTATTTATATTTATACATACGCAGGTGCACACACACACACACACACACACACACACGATCATACATCGATTTTGGGTATTTCGAGCGCATGCGCGTGTAATAGAGACTTCCCTCGTGTTCTTTATGTGCAATCGGACATCTTGAGGTTAGCTGGCCGCTATAAGGCCAGTAGAGCTGTCGGATGCCAAGGTTCTTGATGCTCGGAGGCTACGACCAGGCGAACCTGTACCACAGTTCGACCACTCAGGGTTTCGGATTGTCGGTTGGGGGGCTCAATTAAGGTTTAAGTTTAAGTTTTGGCGGAATTTGGCAACGGGGGTTCGGGTTGCAACCTTTGCCCCCTACCCTCTGCCCCCCCAGGCATTTGCCGTGCCGTGCAAACCTCCGAAGTTCCCGTTAACAAGAAGAGATCCGGCATCCCCCGCCTCCCCAACCAAAAGCCCTAAAACCCTAAGCACACAAGACTACACACTGCCTTCACCTGAAACCAGGAACTAACAATTCTCAGCCTTAGCTTCAGGTGTAGATCATATTTGGACTCCAACTACAATCTCCGGCAGATGAAGTCATGCGCAGGAGATGCGTCTCTACGGCGGCGAGGAGATGGAGCACTTTGGATTACCCTATTGGCTTTTAGGGTTGAAGGTTTGGAGTTTTGGGGTATAAAGTTCTAAAGAGTTTTCGAAGGTGTTCTGCCGGGGCCAAAACAGTTCGTAGTATTGTGCTATAAGGTTCCACAACACAACCGCAGTATATTGTACAATCAAAAACACTTCTAGTTCGTTTCCGTTGCCGGAGGATCGGGCTGATATGGGTGGTGATCAAAATTATGGTCCCTTTTGGGTACCCTAAATATTAGGTGCTATATTGTAATAAGGACCCAAAAAGGGACCCTAATTTTGACAGCCACCCATATAGAGGTTTCGAGCACTTCTTGGCGAGCGTGAGTTTCTCGTACAGGATAACGCCTACATCCTCCGACTAGGACTACCTGGACCCCAAAAGTATGTAGAGTAGCCTTTATGAAGGGTTTTGGGTTCAGGGTTTAGGGGTTTAGGGTTGAGGGTTTAGGGTTATAGGTTTTGGGCCATTATCTTAAGTCTTACCTACTTTGTGGGGACGAGGTATGTCGGTGGTATGAGGATCTGGGTTCTCGAGCCCTGGCTTCGAGATGTTGTGTCCTTTCGAGTTTCTACCGTTCCCCCAAAACTAATGTCGGAACCTGATGAAGAAACCTTGGCCCTTTATCAGGGTTCCTTCTATGAATCCTGCTATTTTGGGGGTATAAGCCCAGGGTTTCTGAGTCAAGTTCCTACATTACCAGGACCCCCCAAGGGCCCTTTAATAGAGTCCTTATGGCCCTTAATAGTGGGTATTTGGTGGATGTTAGAGGCTACTTGGAGGGTCTATGTAAACCTCATTTCTTCTGGTTCTTTTGCGGTACGCTGCAACGTCTTCAGCTTTAGGCTCCGGCGATAGCAAGCTCTGGACACTGTAGCTCTCTCGGTTTTATTTGCTTGTCCATAAGGGTCCAAGTAGTTCCTATTTATGGTTTTTGGTACCTAAAAAGGCCCTAAAGTCCTATAATCGGGAGTACTTGGACCCTCTGGGTGTCACATGGGCCAGAAATATGCTCCGTGACTGTCACAGTTGATGCTGCACCACCAGCAGCGCTGCAAGTGTCATCGGCATGTAGACATGGCTTGTTACAATCGCGAGAGTGCCAGGCTTGGCGCCCAAAGCTGAGCATACTTACGCGCATTGTATCCCTGGAGCGACAGATCAGAACTAGACAAACTTGGTTTCAGGGTTAGCAGCCTTTGCAAGGCAATTAAGAAAGCAAAGCAATCAAGAAAGGAAGTGCCTTTGAGGGCTTAGGTAAGCCCTGCCCATGAAGACCCAAATCCCAAACCGTAAACCTCCAGAAACTCTCCCACCCTTATTGCCTCTTAAGCCTTTCAAGCTTCGAGGATCAGTTTTCGGACCTGGATGTGTGGTGGGGCCATCGAACACGTGCCCTGCTCACGCGTGGGCCATGTGTTCCGGACTCCGAAGTACTGGCAAGGACAGGTTCGGGATTTTAGGCTCCTGCAAGCTATCCTTGGTCGTACTACTCCTGTTCAATTCACATCACTGTCACACAGGCTACCAGGATTGCCAATACCACTGCCGTGTGCAGCTATTGCTGCGCTCATGGCTACCTCTACAGCTACCGGCATATGAACTACTACAGTAGACGAAACAGATAAGTAAATCAACTAAGCGAGCATGCTTTGGGGCACGCAGGTTTCAATGAACACAGGCCGCAACATAGCCTCAATTGCCCTCGTCTGGAAAGTAGGACTCTTGTTAATTGTTGTGAAGACCCCAAAGAAGAACAAGTTTCTAAATCGCCGAGGGGTTTGCGAGGCAGTTGTAAGCAGGAGTAAGAATTTCGACTGCAGATCCTCTTGACACAAAGTCCTTCACACGAACCTGAGTTCTGGTTCACTAGGTGATCAATAGACTTTTCATGCTGATATCGATGAATGCTGAGTCCGGCCTATAGCCGCTGTTTGTCGCTGCAACCTAGAACAGGCATTGCATCCCACAGAATATGAAACCCAACATAACCCTGCTCACCTGTACGGCGGATGATATAAATCCTGCATTACCTTAAGGACCCTAAGCTATGGGAATTAATGTATATTCCTTATTATGGGTAGGGATTTATATCATCAACACTAGGAACTCGAAGCCTCTAAACCTAAAACCGCCGAAAACCCGAAACCCTAAACTTCAACCATCTTAAAGCCTAAAATGAACCTCAAAGTGGGGATCGGAGACTTGGGCAGGACAAGTCTACGAAGTGCCGGGCCAGGACTGACCACGGCAAGTCCGCTAGACGTCTCAACGACTTACTAGTAATGAGGAGACATAAGATTCCGTTACAATCCTTATCCACGTATATATATATACACATACATACATATATACATATATACATATGTGTATTTCAGGGTTTAGGGTTCAAACACACATGCATGTGCTAATTTGTTTTTCTCATGTTTTGCATATAACGGCCGGGAGATGCAGGTCCGTGGCTGAAGGGTCGGGGTTTCACGCTCAAGTTTTCTAGCTGCACCTAGACTCCGGATGGTAGCCTCATCTGTAGGTTATCTGGTTTATGGTTAAGTTAGGGCCCTATATACGACAACAATATCACGTTGAACGGACACCATCAGGCGAAGTTTTCAGTTCAGGGTAGGCATAGTAGGCATATGGTTGTTTGCAGTATGTGCTTGTACATATTTTATATATATGTCCATATATATATATACACACATACATGCATGCATAAGTTAAAGTACAATTCTGCGTATGTGGGTGTATGTATATGCATGTTTCTGTATATGTGCATACACGCTCGCTCTCCAGCCTGGGGATCCCGAAGCCTCGTGCCGACGGTCGCTGAACCGCTAGGTACACCCCAAGACAGCTCTTACCTATCATAGGAGGCCACAAGGGGTCTTAGCCTATGTGGGTTTAGTAGGGATTAGGGTTCCCATAACAGGGTTCATTTTAAGGAATCCTTCCCCCAAGAATCTTAAGCCCCCCTTTTGGCCTCCCATCAACCTAAATTCCGAAACTCCTCAGGGTTTGGGTTTGGTCACTCCTTAAGGCGTAGTTTAGGGTCTAGGGTTTGGGTTACAGGACAGCCCTCCTGAAAGAGCAAGGAACTACCTATAGTCTCCATTATAGTTCCTTTCTTTGGTTAACCAGTTTTATGGCTAGGATCCTATAATATAGAACTTGGTTAACCAAAAAAGAAACTAGAATGGAGACTATAGGTATACTGAAGACTTCTGGGCCATATAGAAGTTTTGGTAGAACCACAACTGAAATCTTACTATATGGACTATCAACACTCAAAGGCTGGGTTCAACCAAGTAACTACGTACACGCCCTGCTGTAGTAGGAGAAGTCGAAGGTTCTGAGACGGTATTGCTCGTCAGAACTATTGGCTTGAGAACCATCGACAATAAAACGGTTAGTGTGATTATTGGATTTCGTAACTACGCTGAATGCAATCAGTACGGTCTGGCTGTGCTCCTTTTCTTGTGTAATTACAATCCTGTGGGCAGGAGATTGCGCGAAACAAGCTACGTGCTGCGGAGGTTTGGATGGACGACTACAAGAAGTGTCTAGGCATGGCTGGATGGGCATTGATCTGACTTTGTGGCTCCAATGCAAGGGACTTTGGTCGATTTTGCCTGTGAGGGTATGTGCCTTGAGTGTAACCACAGCCCAAAGGACATCTCAATACAAGGCGCAGCAACCACGGAGTAGCCGAAGCCTTCCACAATCATAGGGTTTAGGGGCTTATAGGGTTTAGGGGAGATGCCATAAACACAGAATTCCTCAGGTTTCCTCATTGTAGTTAACCACAAACAAACCCCAAAACCCCATTCTAATCATGAAGACCCCCCCACATTACCTCAGCTTAAGGTTGTGAACTTATCTCAGGTTTCGGAGCCTCGGGATGACGGCAGAGGGTCAATGCTACAACTTCCAATGTTTGCGGTCGTCCGAAACCTCACCTAGTATTCAGAATGGCCTGCTAGCGTGTGTTCATGGAGGTGTCCGGAGTTTCTATACCCTAAGGATCCATGTACTCATATAGCATATACATTGGCCTTAAAGTACTCCCTATATAGATACATTGGGCCCAAAGTATATGCTATATGGGTACATGGACCCTCAGGGATAGCTGCACATCGAAGGTCTGTTGCACGGTAGTTCCTGCGAGTTTGTCTTGGTAAGGCTAATGCAATACGCCACTATGCTGCTTCCCCCGGAACTGTCCTTGGGCGACGTGTCAGCCGGGAGCCCAGTACCATCCACGCAATAGACCCGATCATTAGCCATCAACCCTAATCCTTGAAATATTAAGCTTTATAAGCACCGCAAACCCCCGAACCTGAGCCCCAATACTCCAAACCCGGACCTTTCCAACACCTTATCGTAAAGACCCGAAGTGGCAGTTCCTTTCTGAGGCAAGTTTCCTTTCCTATTTTAGGATCCGACAAGCATGTCTGGCTCATGTTTCCACGTCTTGGACCCGCTGCAGAGGGTTGCCCGGGGGCAGAATCAATTAGGCACACAGTAGCTGTATGTATGTAGGGATTACATGGGTCATTCCTGAAACTTGTTCCAACGGGTTCTGGCAGACGAGTCTTGCATTGTTACAGTGCGACTGGAATCTACGACCTCTGGCCTTAACCCTTGCGCCTTGGACCCATGGCCCAAAACCTCAAAGCCTCAACTCTGAACTGTTGAATTAAAGCAGAATCGAAGGGTATCGCTTGGGTACGGCCCCCACTCAGCAACAGTTGGATAATATTCATAATATAGGTATATTCGGACCCTAATAGTAGCCCTATTATAGATTGTTACCCAAGGTATCGCAACCAGAGAATCCCCCTGCTTGGTTTCCACATACCTGCTCGACCTGATCCTAACCCTTAACCCACCCAACCCTCTACCCGAAGCTTCTTAAGCCTTATTATCGCCTATATGTTGTACATACACATATATATATATAGAGAGAGAGAGAGAGAAACAAAAGTAGCTATGCATGTATGTATGTACTGATACTGGCTAAGATGGGGAAAGGGTAGGATTAGGATTTGATAGTATAGCAATGGATAGTAGCAGAAAAGTAGGTAAGGCAAGGTAAGGTAGAATTCGATCAGGACAACCAAAATGTGGGTAGTTCTGTAAATCAGGGCTCTCTTCTAAGGTACGTGGTACCAGGATGCCGCACTATTTGGAGACCGTAAACTCCCAAAATTAGAGAACGACGGGAAACTCTTGTAAGAACGAAACGGAGACATCGAGATTCAATTTGAGTAGGATCGAATAGCGCTTCGACATCGCCTGGGCTGCGCCGGCTTCGACTGGCGCGGTGCTGAGCATTTAGGGTTTGGGGTTCAGGGCTATAGAGTATATAAGTATAGGCTTAGGGTTTAGGGTTTAGGGTTAGGTATAGGCTAGGGTTTGCAGGGTGTAGAGTACAGAGTCCAGCACTTAGGGTTTAGAGTATAGGGTTCAGAGATCTAGGCTTCTCTCATGGATGGCAGCATCGCATGGCCCAGAGGAAAACACAGGAGCAGCGACAGAGCAGCCTTCCCGTCTTCACATCCCATGCCGTTCTTGGAGGTTCATGGGTAGTTACAAGTGGAGCTATAAGTAGGGTAGCTATAGTTATAACTGGGTTGTCCTTTGGGATTTTTTTGATTTCCCCTACTATTTCGCAGAGAACCATAGTGGTAAATAATTTTCAACGGGCTTAAAGGACAACTCAGATAACCCATATTAGGGGACTTCTCACTCCACTTATAATATCCCATGAACCTGCGAGTTGATGCCAGAGGCTGAGCTTTCATCCGACTTGTATAGTTGACGGTAGATAATTTCAGGTTCTTCTTGCTGCGATTCGGGTCTACCTAGACCCCCCAAAGCAGGCAAAATAATGGCCCTTCCCTACAAAAGGCTATTCTTCTACATTTTGGGGGGTCCAGATATATGTTTTTTGTGGCTCCTTTGCCCAAACTCCCAGAGTCACATGTTAGCATCAATCAAGGAGTGCATGAAGCGCCCTCTCCTTGCTTGAAGCGCATGCCCAGGTATCTCCAGACCGTGGCGCAAGGCCACCTGCAATGCCTACCTTCTTACTTGCAGATGTTTGGTTAATGCAGGAGGTGTCGTTAAAGGCTAGCAAGCAGCATTGCTCCGGTGAACTTGGTGAAAGGTAGTGCGTATGTGCGCCAGCATTTTTTGGAGCATTCTGTAGCCCTGATGAACAAGCCCCGTTTTTCCCAGGCCTTAAGATCTGCGCACCTCGAACCTACATTGCCTGCACCCTAAACTCTAAACCCTAACCCCTAAAACCAAACCCTAAACGCTTAACCCGAAACTTTAAACCCAAGCCCTCAAGCCCCAAAGCCCGAATCCTGAAAGGCAATGTCCACAATCCCACTCGTCAACAAAAGTTCCAAAACTGCCAGCCAGGCATGCATGTGCCAAACATCTCCGATGCTGCCCGTGTCGGGGCGCTGCAAAACAAGAGGCTTGGCATTTCCGTGCGTCTAAAGCCCTAAACCCTAAACCCTATCACCACTGACGATCTTTTGAGCTAAATTCGGGGACCCCGAAAGGGATATCCCTACCATATTCGGCTTCATTATAAGGGGGTATATGGGATATCCCTGTCCTTATTCTTGCTTATGTATTTTCTTTGGGCTCTGTCAATGTCGCAGGATGAATCGTTCAAGGCCTTGAGAACACTTTTGGAATCATGCATCCTATCCCATAAGCCCCACAGCATAAACCCTAAACACTAGACCACTAGTTGAGGGCCTACAGGCCAGTGTGTGGACGCGAGGAAAGGGCACATGTTAACTTAAACAAAAGACCTTAAGCCACCGGCGCTGAACCCTTAATCTTAATAGAAGCCCTTAACGGAACCCCTGAAGGAACCCTTGAAAGGAGGAGCCCAAAAGGAACTCTTAAAAGGAACCCTTAGGCAGAACCCTTAACAGGAACCCTCAAAAGGAACCCTTAAAGGAAGCCCACCGCAGGTATGGCGCCTGTCTGGACACTTTGGGCCACAGCGGCCATGGTGAGGAGATCGATCTCTTCACCTGCCACGGGCAGTCGCCGGGTCTTCATAGCGTTTTAGGGCCTTTTAGGGTTTTGGGTTTATAGGGCTTAGGGGTTAGGATGTTAGGGTTTCGGTTGCAGGGTTTAGGGCTTTAGGGTTTTAGGGCTGAGAGGTTTTAGGGCTCTCGGGTTTTTGGGGTTTTAGGGCTTTGTGGTTTTAGGTTTAGGGTTTTAGGGTTGTAGGGGTTTAGAGTTTAGGGTTTTAGAGTTTAGAGTTTTTAAGCTTTAGGGTTTTAGGGTTTAGCGATTTTTCTGTTTCAGGGTTTAGGGTTTTAGGGTTTAGGGTTTTAGGCTTTAGGGTTTGGGGGTTTGAAGGGTTTTAGTCATTAGGGCTCTACGGTTTTGTGGTTTTAGGGTTTGAGGTTTAGGCTTTTAGAGTTTTGAGGTTTAGGTCTTTTTAGGACATTCACTGCTTATAGAGCTGAGGGGGAAGACTCAGGGCACGGATATGGCTTTACAAAGAGCTGTTACAAACGGTGTTACGAACGGGGCTGCAAGGGTTCTTGTACAGTTGCATGAGGGTCTGGTCAGGTTCTTGTAGGTTTGCGCGCGCATTCACAGGCAAACGGGCTGAGAAACAACAGTCATCAGGGACGTGTGCAGGAGTTTCTTGGTCTGTACTTTGGGTTTTCTGTCGGCAGAGTCTGGCTTCGAATCAGGTGTGTTGTTCGTCCGATAAACAACTGCTCCGCATGTTGATTGTGATGCTATGACCTTCTTGATAGCACAACTAAATAGCTATATATATATATATATATATATATATATATATCGGGGATACTGGCCCAAACCATCATAGTAGTTCCTGTCGCAGACCTGTATCCCCGAACCCTACACAATAGTGGACGGTGAATTTTTGGATCCCCAGGGAGACTCTACATTCTACTACATAGGTGCTTAGGATCCTTTGGGGAAGGGATACTTCAGGGGCTCTGGTCAGGTCTACGACTGGGGAAACCTAACCCTAAGGCCCTGAGGGATCATGTATCCACATAGTAGCAAGCAGTATATACTGTGCCCCTATACAGGAACCTCTCCAAGGTCTATTTTTCAGTATACCGTTTATACACTGCATAGGAACATGAACCTTTATACTCATATCATATTATGCCCTGGACCCTGCACCCTTATGGTGCCTGCCGTGATAAAGCGCTTATGGTACCCTTCAAGGAACCCTTATACAGCCCTTATGGTACCCCTAAAGGAACCCTTATAGAGCCCTTATGGTACCCTTAAACGAACCCTTACGGTACATATGGGCCCTTGCTGTCTGATGCTTCGTGGGGAAGGGGGAATGGGTTATGGGGATTACTTTGGGGGACCGTAAGGGGCTCTCATAGGGATCCATTCCCCCCTTCCCTGCTAAGCACCAGACAGCTTAGGGTAGGCCTAAACCCTAAACCCTTAAAGGAACCCTTATAGAGCCCTTATGTTGCCCTTAAAGGAACCCTTACGGTACATGGACCCTTGGTTTACTGGGTTTGGAGTACCATACTTGAATACTGTTTCTTAAAGGAACCATTATGAAATACAAGTTTATACTATTTCTCCTTTGTTACTTAAACCCCCAGTTTAAGCATTTATACCTAAACCTCTTATAGCACCCTTCCCTTATAGAGCCGTTCTGAAACCTTACGGTACATGGACCCTTAGTCAAAGCATGCCGAGGAGGGGAGCCCAATCCTTCGTGATGGACGGAGATGGTTTGCTTCGACTTCCGCAGCTGCGCCGAGATCTGACGAGCCCCTAAGGGCCCTTTAAGGGTTCCTACGGAAAGGGCACATGTTCCCAGACCACAAAACTTAGGGGGTGCTTAGCAATTTTTTTAATTTGGGGTTATTATAATACCTAATTAACAGCTAAAATTGCAATTTTTGCTAGGGTTCTAAGTTCAGTATGGTAAAAGTAGGTAAACTAACGGCCCAAACCCTGTAAAAGGCTGTTATTCTTCTTTTTTTGGAGTCCAGGTAAGGGCCTTTAACGGTTCCGACGGTCGGTGACATAAATCCTGCATTACCCATAATACGTAACATCCAATACTACCCATAGTCTAGGGTCATTAAGGTAATGGGATGTATATCATCAACCGCATGATTGAGGGTTTCTTTATGGGATCTAGACGGGATGTCTTCTTCACTCCTGGATCCATCAGAGTCCAAGTATCATTATGGTATATACTTATGGGGTATTTTGGGGGTCCAAGTATATACCATAATGATACTTAGACCCTTTGGGTATCTTTCAGGGAGAGGGGAGGCGGGAGTGTAGGTTTCGTTTCTGTTGGTACCCGCTATTGGAGACTTTGGGGACTGGGGCTTTAGTATTTTGGGGCGTTTAGGGATTAGGGTTTTGGCGTTTTGTTTGGGATTTGTTCAGAGTTGGGGGGCTTTAGGGTTGGGAATTCCTGAGTTTGGCGCAGGGTTTTGGGGGAGCTTGGGTCTTTTCCCCTAAGGGTCCATGTGCTCATATAGCATATACATTGGCCTTAAAGTACTCCCTATATAGATACATTGCCTTAAGGCTCCTGGACCCTTGTAGTGAGATCCCGGACCCTAGCCCCCAAAGCCGAAACCCTCCCCCAGAAAGCCCAAGACCCTCTTAGGAGCCTCTAGGTGGGCCCAAAGTACATGCTATATGGGTACATGGACCCCCAGGTTTCGTAGCTTTTGAGCTTGGGCAGTGCAGTATAAAGGCCTGGCTAGGGTTTTAGGGTTCAGGGATTGGGGTCCTTACGCAATACTGCGATTAGTCCTGAAAGATATACCGCAATAGCTACCCCCCAAAACCCTCGCAGCATCATGATAGCTGCCCTTCCTAGAACCCTCAATAGAACCCTATTCTTGTCCAATCAGAAAGGCTCCTTTATGGGGTATGTATACCCTAAACTTTCTAAACCCTAAACCTTCAAGCAAGAATCCTGAGCCCTGTTCTCCGAGATCCCAATACCCTTTATGTAGTTAAAGAATATACTTTAAATCAGAAATAGTAAGCCCCCGATAATTTCAGGTATGTTCCTTCATTAAGGGGTACTGGGATCTCAGGGTTGCGGTGGTGAGACTCGTGGCTTCGGGTATGGGAGAGTTTTGGGTTGCCCTAAGGCTCCAAGTACCTAATTAATTACCTAGAGGCTCCTAAGAGGGTCTTGGGCTTTCTGGGGGAGGGTTTCGGCTTTGGGGGCTAGGGTCCGGGATCTCACTACAAGGGTCCAGGAGCCTTAAGGTATCATATACTCTCCTAAACAGTAACCTACGCAACTACTATTGCTATCCTAGACCCGAGTACCCACTTATTGGGTGCTTTGGACCCTCCGAGGCAGACGAACTATATCGGCTGCGTGGCCAAGAAAGACCAGAAGCTCATCATTGAGGCTTTTGAGTTTAATTTTTGTTGAGGCTTTGGGGTTTAATTTTTGTTGGGGCTTTGGGGTTTAGTGTGTTTGAGGTTTGGGGTTTTTGGGTTTGGGGAGTTGGGGGTTTAAGGGGTTTTGAGGGTTAGCAGTTGAGGGTCATTGAGGTTTGGAGAACTATGCCCCTTAAGCCTTTGTGCCGATTCCGACGACAACTATATGTTGGCATCTGCAGGTCTGCGATGCGCAGCTAAAGAGCGCGCGCAGCTTGGCCGCCCTTCGGTTCGCTCGCCGCCCCAGGGTGTAGGGTGTAGGGCAGCTAGGGTGTAAGATTTTTGCGGTTCAGGGCGCCAGGCATGTAGGGGGTAGTGCTTGCGGTATTTAGGGGTTTTAGGGTATTTAGAGTTTGGGGGTGCCGCATACCTGCATCCAGGGCTCACGGCTTATAGGGCTGTATATCATATGGGGCATTCAGAGAACGACGCGTTCTTGTCTAGAGATCATTTAGTAAGGATCTTGCTGCTCAGGATTCTATGTGAAATTCTCACACTCCTAGAAGGTAGAGTACAACTGGTCTTCTTCTTCTGTGGATCGTGGTCTACTCGCGGGCCCTCAACCCCAAATACTCTTACCTGAGCTGCCCTGAGCCATAAACCCTAGATAACCTACAAGCCTGAGTACTACAAACATTTTTCATTCCGACTACGGCTCCATATTGTATTTAATCATATTGTAACCATACTACAATCGTTACCCGAAACCCCCCTGAACTTGATGAGGCCCCTGCGTGACCCTCTCCTGAACTGCCACTGCTGATGCAGCTGTTCGAATTTAGGTTTTAGGGTTTACCTGGACCCGCAAAATATGTAGAATACATAGCCTGTTAGTGGTGTTCGGCCGTTTTTTTTTGGGGGGGGGGGGGGGTACAGGTAGGTTGAGGGTTCAGAGTCGTGTCTCTCCCGAGCACCACACTCGGGTTCCTGCTTGTCCGGTAGTCCTTCAACCCCAACTTTTAAACCGGAAACCCACGAACCCTTCGGCCCCACAGGTCTCAAAACCTCAAGCGCTATATCTATATCCTAAGACTGAAGCTGCAACTCCTTACAAACTCCCAATATCTCACAGTGTAGCAGTCAAACACATGAGACCTTGTAGTAGCCTTGTAGCACATCCAAAGCAAACCCTGAAGTCTCTAAGCCCTAAAACGCCACCGAAGCCCCTAACTCCTAAACTCCCTAAAATTCCTTTAACCCTAAATCCTAAACAGCCATCGAAGCCATTGCACTTTAAAGAAAAAAAAACAGCCATCGAAGCTTCATCTTCGAGCGGTTGCCGAGGATGGACCTGGGACACATCCACGTGGCAGTTCCGTCCCAGAGGGAAGTCGCAACTGGGCTCTCTAGTGGGTGGTTTTTCATATTAGGGCCCCGTTTTTGTCCTTCATACCGAGCAGCACCGAATATTTAGGGTACCCAGAAAAGGACCCTAATTTGGAGAACTACAGTCGCTAGTGGTAGTAGCCATTATACTAATTAACGACTATACTGCACCATCGAAAGGCTGGTTCAAGAACCAGGTTTGAGTGAGTTGTTTATGAGCTTGATACTGTCATTTCCTACTTGGCATGTGTTTGTTTCTTGAGGGTTTTTTCGTTCAGAAACTTAACTTTACGGTTCTTGCACTGTGTGGATTGTGTTGTTTCGAATCAGGGCCTTGATGTGGTTTGGCTTCTAGAGTTCTCTTTCAGAAGCTGAAGTTAAATTTGTGGTGCGTATAAGAATCCTTCAACTTGCGCCATATGTCAACTCATGTTCCGCATTGCATCGTCAGTGCTCAGCATCATGGCAGATCAAGTCAAGTTTATTGACAATCTTCCCAAACCCTTGTAAGACTTAAGCATACTGTAAGTATCAACAGTTGGTGCAACGTTTACTAAACGCTACACAACCACCATTGCCAAGAAGGCCTATAACACCCTAAACCGGACATCACCCTAAATCCCAGCACCGTACATACCCCGCACTATAGCCTAACAAAAAGCCTCTCTATGTCCTGAAATCCCACTAATTCAACCATAAACCCCAGACCTTCGAAGAGGGCATCAATGACAAGAGGGCATGAAGTGAGTCGGCGGACGTTGTGACACGTGCGCACCCAAGGGTGTGGGGCTGTGGCAAGCGCAAGTGCACGACAGGTCCATTGCACCTGAAATAGAACAAACCCTAAAACCTCAGCCCAAACCCCTAGAACCCTAGACCCTCTAAACCCTATAAACCCTATAAACCCTGAACCCTATGAACCCTAAACCCTCTGAACCCATGAACCCTAAACCCTCAACCACTTTTTACATTCAGGAAATGTCTCGAAGTGCGAGTGGGAGCTTCGAAGTACAAGCTGGGTCTCTCGGCGCCGGGAGCCTCTCTTTAGGCCCCCCCCTTAAGGGTTCTACGGTTGATGATAAAAATCCTGCATTACGTTAATAAGGACCCTAAACTATGGGAATTATGGTATATTCCTCATTATGGGTAATTTAGAGGGCTCCTTTTCAGGGTTCTAGTCTAGTAGGTTTAAGGAGGGTCTTTATGGGGCCTTAAGGGTAACTACAGGGGTTCCCTTGAGGGTTGAGGGCTTAGGCGCTCCTTTTGGGGCTTCCTTGTAGAGTGGGCTCCGTTCAGGGTTTGTCTTGGGCTTTAGGAGTGTTCCTGTAAGGCTAGCCATCCGTGTCATGTCCGCCCGAGAAACACACACATAATGGCATCTGATCCCTAAACCCGAAAACCATACATGCCTAAACCCAAAAACCTGAACCTCAGATCCTGCAACCCTAACGACCGGTACCTGAACAACCCTAAACCCTAAACTCCATTAACCATTGGTTCAAAGAACTTCAAAAGCTCTATTTCAAAAAAGACCGAAGGCCCCTAAATCGTGACGTCTAAGCCTTCAATCAAAAAGAGCAGGCGAAACCCTAATGTAGGGGCCTAAATCATTTCCTATACCATTTTGGGGGTTCCTCCTTATAGTTATGGTGTGATGTACCCCAAAACCCTATTCTAAGTATTACTGCCCCTGTATCAGACCATCTCTCACCTCTCTGGCACGATGCCCTAGGCTTCGCAAAGTGCCGCGAGCACCTGGGTTGCATTGCATTCCACGTGTTTTTTTCCGAGGATTTCCTAGACCCCCCTATAAAGTAGGTAGAATAATGGCCCAAAACCGATAAAAAGGCTACTAGTCTACATATACTTTTGGGGTCCAGGTTGTGCTCCTCGATCCGAACCCTACATGAAGTAGGACTCATGTTCTTTGACGATCGTCGGTAGGGTGCCTGCTTAGTGTTTTGGGTGCTAGTATGCCATTGCGCCGACTCTTCTATTATATGCAACAATAACCTCGTAGTCTAAGTAGAATAGATACCTTTATTTCTGCTGGACAACTACGATAATTACCTCTCTTGCTTCAGACCTTACGCGCTTGGCCCACACTCTGGGCAAGCCAAGGAACGCCCCCGAGCAGCAATGGTTCTGGGATGCCTGAAGCACACCTGGTTGAGGCTGCTGGAGAGACCAGGAGCCACAAGTAAACAAAACACCTATGAACCCGAATCGCCTACATTGTTTGCACCGACCCCTACCAGTAGCCGAAAAAACCTACAATTTGGAGTTCCGGGTTTTATGGTTTCTATACATAGTTCGCTTAACGGGTAGGTTTTCTTGGGCCAGAGGTACATCTTTGTACTAGAACCTGAACCCTTAGCCACGGAAGCCATAAACCTCGAACCTGGAACACCCTAAACCCTAAGTCCCAAAGCCTAAGCCCTAAACCCTAAGCCCAGCTCTACCTGAAGCGTTTTGAAGTCTGGATGAGCATAAACCCTGGGCTGTGGCTTTATCTGGACTCGAAAAATCCTTTTATGTTCTCAACAGTCATATAAAGACAGTACAAAAGGAGCTTTCAAAAGATTGTTCAACGTAAACTCTCCGAGGAGAACTTTAAATCCTAAGCCCTTAACCCTCTAAACCATCCTACACCCCAAATTCTACACCCCTACCCTAAGCGTCCTAACACTTAGGGAACCTCAAAATGTAGGATTTCTGAGACCCCCCAAGAGACCCAAAGGCTCTCCCTACGAGATTCCGACTTTCCTAAGGAGATACATAGACCCTTAGGGTAAACCCTAAACCCTGAAGCCTAAATCCTTCCCGCAGGGCTCAGAGATACGGGCTGCGATGGAAGCCAGGAAAAGGTCGCTGACGAGGATCCGCTCTCGGCTTTTCTCTGACCCTGGGAATTTAGGGTTTAGGGAATGTAGGGTTTAGGGAATTTAGGGATGTTACGAGACCTTAGGGACCGTGGCAATACCTATATGGATACTTTGGGGTCAAAGTATGTGCTATTTGGGTACGTGGACCCCTAACCCTCATTGGGCAGGCTAACCGCTACACCTTCAGACCTTCACCCGAAAATAAGCTGTTCTTAAAAGACTGTGCGCATGGCATCGCACGAGGATTTGAGCCTTCATCCTTGCCCGAGAAAGCTCTGCCTCATATTCTTGAGTTTGATCCGGGGGCTAGAAGCGTGAGGCTTGCCCAGACCCCAACTGTTGCTACTAGACTAAATAATCTTTGGGCTTAGGGTTGCATGTCCACGACGCGTGGGAGGACGATGCTAGCCGCTAGCCAGTCGTCATGGACAGCAACACGGGGACCACGACAGCTGGACCGTGCTCCGATCGATTGGAAAAAGCAAATCCCTGCCTGCCCAGAGACTCCCATATCCCTTAGTTAAGGAATATTCCTTAAATCATATAAGGGATCCTACTATAATTTATGGAATATTCCTTAATTAAGGGATATTGGAGTCTCTGGGTGGGCTTCCCATAGACAACCGAAGGCTCTTCTCTGGGGGCTCCCATCTTCCGGCTCGCGATACACTACGGTTGATGATATACATCCTGCATTAATTTAAGGACCCTAGACTATGGAAATTATGGTATATTCCTTATTATGGGTAATGCAGGGTTCATATCATCAACCGTATCTTCTCTCCATCTATCTGTTTACAGGCCTGCCTACCTACCTACCTACCTACCTGCCTATCTATCAATATCTCTCTGTGAGTGTTTGCATCTGGCTGTCTGTCTACCCGCTCTGTTTGTTTGTCTGCCTGGCTGTCTGTTCGTCTGCCTCTGTCTGTCTGTCCCTCTTTGTGTGTGTGTTTTTGGTCAAGGAATCTGTCAGTGAAGGCGTTCCTACTCGACTCTACTCGCGGGAACCGGCTCTCCTTAGCTTCAGGTCCGACCCGTAGCCTAAGCTATGGCAGCGTGCCGGGCAGGAGCACTCGTACCCCGAAGCAGATCTGCTGCAAGCAAGTACGACGAGTTGATTTCAGCTTCTGCTGCGTTCTTCGATCGTTCAGCATCCTCCGATGGCTCAATCTGTCAGCACAGTAATTAGCTTCCCGGCGGACATGTTTGGAGCTGGAGAAGTGTTCCCATCACACCACTGGTTGCGAGCTGCGGAATTGCACCAAGTTTCGGCACAGACGGGCCCGGCACAGTCCGACAAGCCTTTTCGACGAAAGCTGCGGGTTCGCTTCGCACTCGTGGTGTTCGGGTGTTCTATACCGGCCAGTCACTGCATCAGAGATGGGCATGATGTTTGGACGATGGAGCGCATGGCCCTTTTCAACAACCACTCGCGCAATGTGATCCCCGACTGGGGACCTCAAGCATACATCGACCAATCTGTGAACTTTGCAAACATGCTGCGGCGCTGTTTTTAAGCTGCACTACAGGCATCGTAGCAGGGTCAGAAATCGTGCCAGCCGGTAGTTTTAGTCGTCAACAGCACGTACACCGCTAGCTAACTCCTCCACTATAAGTCATACCCAACTGCATGCACAGCTTTCCGGCTTTTCGAGCATCGACGCCGCTTGGACTAAGGTAAGGGACTCGTCTCGCACGACTACATCTTGAAACAGGCGGGGCGGGGGGGGAGACAGCAACTTTCCTACTCTGCTGGGGGCCCGCATCTCGACCCCTACCTCAACCCGGAATAACCTACCTTCTTAGGGTTCCTTATTATGATTTCCTTTTGTAAGTCCTTAAAAAGGTAGGTTATTCCGGGTTAAGGTAAACCCTAGGCCCTAGGCCCTAGGCCTTAAACCTTAACCGATCTTGACCCGAAGTTGCCTCTCCTTCTGAGACGCTGCCTGTTTGGAGGTTGAATTGAAGGGTCAGGGTTTAGGGTTTAGGGGCAACCCTAAATCCCTCCCGCTAAGTAACGTTAGCCCGCGACCCTGCAACACAACTTCCTTTGCCAAGGTCTATAAACTCTAAGCCCAAGACTCTAAACCCTATACCCTAAACCATTAACGCTAAACCCGAAACCCCAAACCCTAAATCCGAAACCCCGGAGGTCGACTGGACGTCGTCTGGGCCGATCCTCCATGACGTCCTCGGCATCCTTGCGCTCCGATCCCTGGCGATCCTGGGCATGCGCAGGCTCTCAGGTTTCCCCGAGGGTGGGTTCTAGACTGGGGTTCCCTTAAGGGTCCAAAGAATAGTTAGGGCTCCTTTGAAGGTTTCTATAAGGAGTTTCGAGGATTTTACAGTAGGGTACAAGGATCCAACGAACCCAAGTTCAGGTACTCGGGTTTAGGATAATAGTTGTGTAGGTCACTATGTTGGAGAGTATATGAAAATTAGGTACTTAAACCCTAAACCCTAAACCCTAAACCCTTAGGGGTTGTGGGCTTTGAAGGGTTAGGCTTCAATCGTTCAGCTTTCGGGGGTCATAAGTTGAGTCATAAGGGTTTAAGGAGATTGTAGGACATGTTGCATCACTTGGAAGGGCAGGGGACTTAGTAAGTCGTTTACAAGTAGGGTTATAATTGGGGTAACTCCATTTAGGGTACTTATAACTCTACTTATAACCTACTTACTAAGTCCCCTGCCCCTCCAAGCAGGGTTTGGGGTTAAAGCGCCAGACCAGAAGCCGAAAATCCTGCACAGCGAAGCCATTGGCCCGAAATTGCAAGGTCGTACAGCAAGAGTGAGAGCCCAAAGGGTCCAAAGCACTTGCATAACTAGGATGCCCAGTAGTACCCTTATTCCCTTTTTGTAGTCCTAGGCCTAGGTTCCTTATAAAGTTACCCAATACCAAAAAGGGAGGCCTTTTTATTATAGGTTACTGGGTATCCTAGATAATGGAGTCATTACTACTAATTACGTATGGCTTGGGGAAGTATCCCCCATAACAGTACCTAGGACACTTCTACCCTAAACCCTTACAGAACCCTGAAATGAACCCTTATAGAACCCTTAAAGGACCCTTACGGTAACCCTTGTAGAACCCTTCAAGGACCCTTGAAGGAACCCTTATAGAACCCTGAGAGCACCCTTTGGGGAGGTTCGCATACCTGGAGATCGGGGGATCTCACCTGCGCCATTTCTTCGCGCAAACACGGCTTCTACAGGAACTTTGCAGCTCCTTCGATGAATGGGTTTAGGGTCTATAGGGTTTAGGATCAAGGGTTTAGGGTGCTTTTCCTCAGGTAGCAGCAGGGAGACGCCTTAAAGGGGACATTATATTCTTAAGCCTACTTCTGGCTCTCTTAGAAGCGACCTTATTGAAAGGGTCTATATTTTTAAGGGTCCATTTTACCCTAATTCCTGGTTTGGGCCAGTTCTGTAGGGGGTTACGGATTTAGGGTGTGGGGTTTAGGTTCTTGTGGACTTTGAGACTCTAGGCTTTAGAAGGGTGTATCTTCAATGCGTCATCCGATGCCCCAAGGGGCCAGGGCGATTCGGGCTCAGGTGTCGACCTTGTGCTCTAATTTAGAGTGCGCCTTGAAGCTCAAGTCCCTAACCTGACTCAAACCCTAAGCACAAGACTCAAACGCCCTCAGGCACGAAGCCTTACTCTGAAGACCTGTCTATAGTAGAAGCCAGAAAGTTGGAGCATGACTTAAGGAGGATTTGTGCTAGGATCCCTTATACTTTATCCTATAAGGACATGAGGATACTGATGTTCCAACTTCCTGGCTTCGACTATATCTTTGAGATGCCTCTTCAGGTGATCATGGATGGTTGGCTGTGGCCATGGATGTGGAGGTGGGAGTCTTTCCATGTGAGAAACACAGGAGATCTGATTCAGTCTTTTTTGTGACTCTTGTGTGTTCTAGGCATATGTAAGATCATATGTATGTACTATGTGTATGAGTATGTATATATATATATATATATATATAGATAGATATAAATATATGTCTGGATAGTAGCGAATTGCTTGGTGCATTTTGTACTGCAAACTTGACGGGGATGTGGAGCAAGGGTAGTCGCGCTGAGCCTCCTAGACACATGCCCGAACCCGAAACCTTGAACCATGAACCGTCACCCCTAAACCCTAACCCCAAAACCCTTCAAACCCCTAAACCCTAAACCAATAAACCCTAAACCCTAAATCCCATATTGCAAGCACGGAACCTGAGCAAACACTGCTCAAGGCCATCCTAGCCAGGAAAGCTTAGACCTTGGACGGCGAGGTCCTACAGACAAACCTCCGACAGCCGTGCTAAGCTTGAGCCGTCTTCTTTTAGCTTCTAAAGACCCCGCAACTTTTTGCACAAGTGATAATGCAAAAACCTCTTCAGCCTTGTGGGAGCCTTCTCACAACTCTGAAGTCGAGAACTCGAGAACCACTCCACTCTTGGCTTGGCTCAGAGGCGCCCAACCCGGCTGTGGAGCGACTGTGGTTTGGGAAACGCCCCACGGCAGCAGTGGGAGGGCTAGGGGAATCCCACAGGGCCATTTTTGGTTAACACAAGTTCAAGTTTGTGTGTGTGTGTGTGTGTGTGTGTATGTGCATATGTATGTGTGTATATATATATATACAATATCATATAAAATAATATATATATATATATATATATGTAGGTATATGATATATGAGGGCGTTTAGCAGGTCTTCGGGCCCAGGCTGGCGCCCAACAAAACATAAGTGCATATAAGATGTGTGTACATAGGCCGGGACTGCAAGGGTTTCGGCCGCGCTTGCAACGTAGGTTGTTGCATGTTGCACAGTTTACTAGAATGGCACAGGGCACCGGGACTTTGGAGTTGGGGCTTCAGTTGTTTTGCTTCAGGTGCGAAGTCACATCGCAGAGAGAGACAACAACCGCTCGCCCGGTAAGGTCACGAAGCCAGCTGGAGCAACGACTGGGCTTGCAGTTCAGAGAACTCGGAGAGCATGTTAGGGGCTCTTTCCTGTGGGCGGGACAGCTCTGAACATCTGTTTGCATATTGGCCTTGGTCTGGGTCTCGACAACAGCGCACCTGGGCTCCTGTTAAGGAGCTTGATTAGTTTGAACTACCATGATAATAGGGATCTACAGTAAATAATTAGGTCTCCTTATTTTGGTAACTTAGATCAAATCCCTCAACAAGAACCCAGGCTTGCAGAAGTTTGTGAAGAAGAACATCTCGCGCAGCATTTGGTATCTACAGGGAACGATTGTTGATGGACGTCAGGCAGACTTCCGTGACTGCATCCACCGGGTGTCCAAAGCACGTGCTGGCGATTGGAAGTGTTGCTATGCTTGAACCGCAGTCTTATACTCATCGCAAAGTCCTGTTAATAGCTCAGCCCTGGCACGGTCAGTGCCGTCACTGGTGTCCGCAGGTACTGGCAAAGTAGTGCTAACAGCTTTGAACCGTTTCCGATGTCACAGAGCCACTGCATGACCGGAGCATCATCCAACTTGCGACTCTAGGGCCATTAATGATTACCTACACTATTCTGAGGCTCCTACACTATTCTGAGGTTCCTTGTTATAACTATAGTATAATGGATCCCAAAACCCTATTCTAATTTGTAAGGCCCGTTTTTCAGCCGATAACTAAACCCTCAGCCGAGGCACTGCGAAAAGCCCAAAAGATCGGGTCACTACTTCTGGGATGCTGCTACCAAGCGTTGAAGACCAGGAAAATGTCTGGAGCATCCTGGGTCAACGCCTAGATACACAGAACTTGCGCCTCGCCCCGCTTAGGGTTTAGAAGTTAAAAAAAGGAGTTTATAGAGGTTTACAGTCCCTTAGGGTTTAGAAGTTTAGAAGGAGTTTATGGAGGCTTCTAGTGCTCATAGGGGCTTATAGGGGGTGATACGGTTGATGATATAAATCCTGCATTACTTTAAGGACCCTAAAATATGGGAACTGTGGTATATTCCCGATTATGCGTAATGCAGGATTGTTGTCATCAACCGTAGAGGTCATGGGTTTACGGTTCAGGGCGTCGACTTTCGGGTTTCGGGGCTCCCGGGCTAGCCGAGGCGTCTCTGGATGCTGGGAGTTAAATTAACCCCGAGGCTGCATGTACCTTTATAGTAGATACTTAAGCCTTGAAGGGGGTCCCTATGTGGGTACTTTAAAGCCTAAGTATATACTATATGGGCACATGGATCCTTAGGGTAAAGGGCTTCCCTAGCTCCATGTTAGTGTAAAACGGGGTTCTTGTATAGAAACTATAGTACAGTAACTTTAGGGCCAATATATATATATATACATATATATATATATATATATATATATATATATGCTGCATAGGTACATGGATCCTTAGGGTAGGGTTACTGTTCTTAACTCACTGTTTTTAACCTAGCAAGCGATAAAGCCCTGCCCTGTTACTTGGTTAAAACCTTGATCCCCAAACCCCAAACCATCGTCAGCAGTCGCAAAAAGGTGCTCAACAAAAACCAAAACCATCCTACCCCCAAGCGCCAACAGCAAAGTGCAACGCGGCACTCAGGAATCTGATCTTTTCCGATGCGGTCCACTCGCCCAATGCTGTGCATTTCGAGTATCGAGCCTTGACGAACGAGCACTCTCAACTTCTACCTAGACCCCCCAAAAGTAGGCACAATAATGGCCCAAAACCCATAAAAGGCTGTTATTCTACATATTTTGGGGGTCCAGGTAACGGTTGACGCATAAACGCGTACAACTACTTTCGTAAGTCAGTCTTTGGATCTGAGATCTTTTGCTTCAACTGTGTGCCGTGCTCCCGAGCGATTTAAACCGCGCTTAGACATGTATCATGTTTAAACACACTTGTTCTAAACGCACATTCAAATCGAACTTGCCTCGTGGAAACCTACAGAAAAGGCCTGAAATTGCAACCTTGTCAGCTTGTAAGGGCCGGTACAGCCTTGTAGAGTGTATGGTTCGCTAAACTCATTCTTAAACACTTAGGCCTAAGTATTTAGTCTCGTGTGTGATATAAACTGGCCTGAAAAAGGTTAAACGGTTTAGGCATGACCACGTGAGGCTTAAGCATAAGCCCTCAGCCCCTAAACCCAAAGCAGATGCCCCTAAACTGCCAAACCGTCGTGCAAACCCAAAAGTCCCAAAACGAACCCTAAGGCCGCTGATTGTGGCATCCCTTACAGCTGTCCCATGGTAGCCCTCGTCGTAACCTAAACCCTAAACCCAAATCCTATTCCCTAAACAGTAGTGGTTGGCAACTCGCTGGCCGGAAAAGAGGCGCTTACAAGCAACAAATACGGTTTCTTGGGTTTGGAAACCCTCAACAGACCTCAAGAACCCCTAAACCCTAAAGCCTAAATCTTAAACCCTAAACCCTATTATTTTTAGGGGTTTGGAGTTCGACTGAACGGCAGCAAAGGAATGTGGACGAAGTACGGCATGCTACCAGACCTGTGCTCCGGCAGAAAAGTTTCTTGCAGCATAGCACTAGGACCCAGGGTAGGCCCTTATTCCCTTTTTTAGGGTTTAGGTTCCCTTATAAACCCCCTTTAACCCAAAAAGGGCACCCTTTTTATTCCTAGGCTACTCTTAGGTCTAGAGCATTATGTAGTATACATTAGTATAGTTTTGTATCGTGTAGTCGAAAATAGCAGAATCATTGTGAGATAGTATAGTCTGATATAGGATCGTGAAGTGTAATATGGTTAAAATCGAGTACAGTATGGTACAGTACAGCGCAGTGTAATAATTACCTTTTAGTGGTTTTGGGGTGCCCCGCCCCCTTCCCCTTCGGCCTCCTGTCTTGCTCCTCTCTCGCGGGCAGAACATGAACGCCCTGTAATAGTGGTATAATAGGAATACAGCAGGGCCCTAATCTAATCCTTATAGTCACTATTACAGGGTGGGGGCAGCTTCTAACATGAATGTACCAACCCAGCCGGCCCCCAACGCGTTCCTAAACCCTAAAGCCCACCTTTTGCAGTATCTAGACCCTGTACTGTAGCAAGTCTGGTCCTAACCATGAAAATAAGAAGTTATCCGAAACAAAGTATTGCATTCTAGGGCCTAGGCATCATACGTCGAACTTTAGCTACGGACCTTGAACCCTTCATCAGGGCTCATCTGACTGACAAAGGCTGTCGCCGGAAGCCTGAATCCCCAATCGTACCTAAGCCAAAAAACCCATGGCAAAAACGCGAGTCATTCAACCGTAAGTTCCCATAGGACCCTCATAAAAACATATTGAAAAGTCTACAAGATTCAACCTGAGCCCTAAACCCCTAAATCCTAAACCCCCAAACCCCTAAACCCCTTAACCACCAAACCCCTAAACCCTAAACCCTTAAATTAAACCCTAAACCCTAAACCCTTAAACCCCTAAACCCCTAAACCCCTAAACCCCAACTCTAAACCCCTAAACCCTCTAAACCCCAACCCGAAACCCCCAAACCTCCGAGGAGAAACCGTCGAGAGAACCATGCACCACTGGCGGTGGTTTGGGACGACTGCCACCAAAATCAGCTTGCCTGCGCCATCCTCGAGGCTCCTTTAAAGGGGTTTAGGGTTTAGGGGTTTAGGGTTTAGGGTTTAGGGGTTTAGGGGTTGAGGGTTTAGTGGTTTAGAGTTTAGGGTTTAGGGTGTAGGGTTTTTGAAGGGCTCCTTTAAGGTTCCTTTAGGGTTCCTTTACAGGGTTCCTTAAAGGGCTCTATAGTAGGGTCCTTTACAGGGGTCTACAAGGGCAATTAGTTTAAGGATCTAGTATAGGGGCTTGGAGAAAACCTACATATAGTATAATGCTCATGATACCGAGATCGCGGTTTAGGGTTTAGGGGTTTAGGGTTTATGGGCTCGTAGGTTGCAGAGTTCTGAGCCAGAGATATCGGTTGCTCGTTGTGCAAAGATCCAAGTGCCATTGTAATAGGTACTTCGCAGATATGAGCCTCAAAAGTCAAGAGTGTAAATCATACCCCTCTGGGTATGATTCTGGCGGAGCTCCGAGAGGTTATTCAAAGTATTCTCTTTATGTTGGTTTCAAGGGATGTACCTTCCACGGCCTTGGATAGGGCATTCGGTATGTGTCTTGCTTCAGACTTGGGGAGTTTGGGCTTGCAAATCTTTACGGGTGTCCTCCATACCGCCGGTCCGTATCGAGTTCATGCCATACTTAAGCGAATCACTGGGATTCCTATACGCTCCTCTCCTCGGCCACGATACCTTCGCTTCACCCACAGGGCCCCAGTAAGCCGTGACTTGCCTATGTCGGGCTTTTTGCTAGGTCTGCTTGAACCTTAGACCCTGTAAGGCATAAGAGTAAAAAGTAAGAGTTTAGGGGTTTAGGGCAGTCAGGAGTCGCGAGCATGTTCACGTCATGGGCTGTCGAAGCGCCAGAAGCCTTAAATTGTGGTCCTATATCCCAAGCCGGTTTAGGGTTTGCAATAACTGCCAATGCTGCTCTTTTATGTGTATATATATATATGTACATGTACATATATTTTTACATATATATATATATATAAAAATATATATATATATATATATATAGGCGTGTGTGTGTATGTGTATGTGCATATATATATATATATGTATATGTATATATATATATATATAACCCGGATTATTGATGTGTTGGGCTTAAGGGTTAAAGGTTCGGGGGCACATGTTTGTTGTTTGCTCCTGGAGGTCATCCAGCAGCTGGTCACGGATACTCTTGACCACTTAAGCTTGGCTCTGGCACCTGCTTGGCTAACCGCCGCCTGGACTCCGAAAGTATGTAGAATTACTAAATGGCCCTTTGTTTTGCGAAATTGGAGGGGCTTAGGTACTCGTCTTGGGAATTTGGCTTCGAAAGTCTGAATCCGGTTTTAGAGCTTTAAAGCTCAGGATTTAGGACCTTAGGATGAGGGTTTAGGGATACAGGACTTCCTTTTGTTTTCTGCTTGCAGGCAGAATCTGTGCGACATGTACTTACATGTGCATCTATCTGTTCCGATGTGTGCCGTTGTACTTACATGTGAACTTCTGCTCCTGTTGGCATGTTGTGCAGCCTGTGTACAGGCAGGTTAGTTTGGACATCTCTTCTCCGACCGCTACCGTTCTGTCTCCCTTATGCGAACCGTAGCGTCGTAGCAAATAGCTGAGCGCCTGCAGCAGTCTATACCTAGACCCACAAAATAGGTAAAATAATGGCCCTTACAGTACAATATATATATATATATATATATATATATATATGTATATATATATATATATATATATAGGTACATGGACCCTTGCAGGAACACTTAACGGAAGCCTTGAAGGTCGGGGCGGGGGGGGGGGGCGCAGTATCTCGCCCAGGTTTGCCGTGGCCCTAAATCCCAAACCCCAAACTTAAACCCTGGACCTGAAACCCTGAACCCTAAACTTAAACCCTAAACCCTGAACCTTAAACCCCAAATCCTGAACTTCAAATCCTAAACTCATACCCTAAACTTAAACCCTGAACCCTAAACCCTATCGCCCACTCCTGGCCTACTGGCCTTCGTGCTTGCCGAATGCCTGGCGGACATTAAAGAGGATTTAAAACAAACAATCGCCCAGGTTTGCCTGGGCTCCTTTTCCATCCCGGGCTCCTGGGGTCCCGGCTACCGGAGCCACAAGGCGACTAAAAACGGAGGGTTCTGGAGTTGTAATGTAGGGCGAACCTTGAAAATCAGCTATCTTAGGATATAAAAAATTGTGCTATAATATACTGTATTAATCATACTGTGTGTGTGTGTGTGTGTCTCTCTCTCTCTCTCTCTCTCTCTCTCTCTCTCTCTCTCTCTCTATACATACATATGAATAAATAAATAAATAAATAAGTATATATATATATATATATACAACATACAGTGTGTGTTCATCATCATCGTCTGTCAGACATTTGTGCATATATATATATATATATATATACATATATATATATATACATATATATATATATACATATATATATATATATATATGTATAGTGGAATGGGGGTTGCAGTTATGTTCTAGCAGCATTCTATACTCAACCGCCATACCCGAGAAATACTAGTGCTTGCATGTTCACACTCGTGCCAGTAAAGCCTCGGCGATACACATGCGAGGTTAGCGGCGGGCTAGTTTGATGCTACATCACGCCCGATTTCTTTGTTCGGTCCTGTATAGGGTTTAGAGATAAACAGACGGGCTTGGTGTTACAGTTCCAAGAACGGGATAGTCTCCGTCTTCTCAGGTTCTTCGGTACTTCTGAATCAGGTCGGCATGGGGCATGTATTAAGTGCGCATCCCTGTGTCTAGCTGGATTCTGCTGCATTGTCCGTGCATGAACTGTGAGGCCTCGAAAGCCTAAGACTTGGTGTTGGAGTGTACCCTAAGGGTCCATGTACGCAATAGTATATACTTTGGCTTTAAAGTACTCCCAATACAGGTACATATAGAGCCTCCCGAACCCTGTTTCGACAACTGAGCCTCCTCTTTCATCAGGAAAGCGTAACTTTCGAGGGTCACTTTCTACCGCTTTTACTCGAGCCGAATTCTTGAGGCCACTAAGTTAGGTTTGTGTCGCAGTCACTGGTTCTCGGGTCCTTCGATTTAGTTCTCTCGCACTTGGCATTTTAGGGTTTAGGGTTTAGGACCATAGGGTAGGACTGCCTGTGTGTAGGAACGACATGCTTTGGGCCGGGTTGGGCTGCCAGGGTGTGTGGCATGTAAGGCTAAGTGAGATGCATGGGCCATCCCTCCGAGTCCATGTACCCCGATAGTATGTACTTTGGCCCTAAAATACCTATATAGGGACTAGTAGTAGGTAGTTGTAGTAGTAGTAGTAGCAGTAGTAGTAGTAGTAGCAGGAGGAGGAGGAGGAGTAGGAGTAGGAGGAGTAGGAGTCGAACTAGGAGTAGGAGCAGGAGTAGGAGCAGGAGTAGGAGTAAGAGTAGCAGCAGTGGCAGTAGCAATAGCAGAAGCAGCAGGAGCAGGAGCAGGAGTACTTGAAGGTCGAAGTAGATACTGCTTGGGTACATGGACCCTAAGGGTACTGCAGTGATCATACACCTCATGTGGCCCCCAGCCCCGTCCCCAATCAGTACATGCACTGCAGGTGTGTCTCTTCTCGAACTATGCGATCTTTGATGCTCCAGGAGCAGGGACAGGTCCCTTCGACCCACACGATCAAGCTACGACGCTCTGTCGACTTCTATGAGCATTACCAGTTCCCTTGGAGTAGAAAATTATAGAACCAGAACTGTCAGGATAGTTTGTTAGCTGCCATTTTATTACAGGATGGCTTTCAGTTGACAGACGTTTGCGCTGAGAGACGACTCAGTGTATGAGGACAGAGTCTTTTGCAGAGTAGGTGGTCCAAAAGCCGAGGCCCACAGAAGCGGCAAGCCTACTGCATACCACTCACCTTGAATCCGAAACCCCGAACCCCGAACCCCTGAACCCTAAATTCCATAATCGAAATTCCTAAAGCTGAACCCGATCGAATTTCAAGAATTCGAAAACCTTGGGCCCACTACGCTGTGAAGCATCCTCATGTGTAGCCGGCAAGCTTCGCATTACTTCAGGCTTGACGTTGGAGGCGATTTTCGGGCCTCCACAAGGGGTCCATAATGGGTTGGTTCTTTTGAGGCTTTTGGGTTTAGGTGTTGCGTTGTAGCCCCCAAAATTCCGCCTCTTGTTTACGGTTCCTTGGACATCCGTTTACATGTCCTGACAACGTTAGGTTTTCGGGTGTTGAGGCATGGCTGTCATAGACTGAAAGATTCTGATCGAGGGTTTGGGGTTTTGCAGGGTCATTATGTATACAGGGCCTATAGGCTAAACCCTATAAACCCTAAACCCTAGCTTCCGGTTTCGAGTTTAGGGTTCTTGAACCCTTGACCCAGGATTGGCGGCTGGATGGTATCTGACAATGATCTGGTCTGTTTCGCGCGGGGAGAATGGGCAGTACTCCAGGAACCCAGGCCCCCTGTTGCGGACTCGAACGCACGAAACATACGGGTATCTCTCAGGGTCGTTTTGCAGATTCACAAACTGGTACGGCGCTCTTATCAAAGGGGGCCTAAAATAGAGAACTACCCATATAGAGGTCTCAAAAGGTTCCCCTATCGTCGAAGCAACTACTTTCGAACATAATTTCCCCGAAATCGGCGAGAGCACTCTACTCGAGTCCTATTCGAATATTTTTCTGATGAACATGTAGCTTTCTGCGGGTCAGGGATAGTCAACAGGCTTGGCATCGTACCGACGTTGTCTCTACGCACTGGTTCTTCGAAGTGTTCTCCAAAAACTTCTGTCGATCAGCGTGCAGGATACCATGCGCCCTGAAACGCAGACCAAAACATTGCCAAGGCATGATCAACCATTTCCGAAGACCTCCTCAGCCGCAGGTTCTGGGAGAAGTTTGCGTCCGCAAGTGGCTGCGAAACTGCAAGCGGAGAAGAAAAGAACGGTCCCTTCGTGCACGATGGTTACACACATTGTTTGAGTAATTCTATCCCCTGTGATTTCGACCGCAACATGCCATCTACCACAGTCTGAGCTGAACACCCCGAGACCCTAGAGCAGGGAACCTAAGTTGGCCCCAGCCTATTTCCTTGCAAGAAGTGGAAACGCTTTCTGCATCAAAAGGCAAGCGATGTCTTCCCAGACGTAGACTTTTGATGGTCAGAAGTCATGGCCTAGGGGGTTGGTTTAAAATATAGGGAACTCCAGAAAGTTGGAATATGGATTAATGGTAGGATCTCCTATAGTTTACTTTAAAGGGGTTACGATAATGATATTCCAACTTTCTGGCTTCTACTGTAGGAGGTCAAAGTTGCAGGCGTTGAATGATGTAGTACAGTATTTATTGCTCGAAGTGGTTAACATCGAAGCCTGGAGAGCTCGAATCTGTTCCTCATACTTCGTTATGAAAGAATATACATAAGCCCGAAGCCCTGTTCAAGCTATTATTAAGGCCCCCCATGTTATTCCAAGCCTGATAATAGCCCTTATAGATACCCGTTTGAAGGAACCCTGGAAGGGAACTCTAAAAGGCAGTCTACGTATTCTATTTGTGCCCCGCGGTGTGCTTGATCTCGGATGCTGTGTGTTGCTCCAATATGACCTTTCCCTGGATTCGATGAGTTTCAGTTGCAATGATAAGGAATCTAATACAGTAGATAGCATCCCAAAAACCCTAAACCCTAAGCCGTAATTAAACCTTGAACCCTGAAGATGTTGACTTAAATCAAAAATACTGTGTTTGATTTTTCGTAAAACTGCAAATAATATGGGTTTCTTTTCATGGTACATCACTTAGCTAAATTCCGCAACCTCGAGTAACCTACCTGTTTAGGGACGTGTATAAGGAACTCACACTTCATAAGGAACACTGAAAATGGTAGGGTTTTTGCAGGGTTAGGGAATTCCTTCCCTAAGGATCCATGTACCCCAACAGTACATACATACTTTGGCCTTTATATGGGTACTTTAGGGCCGAATTATGTGCTATTTTGGTATATGGACCCTTATACCCTGAACCCTATGTAGAACCCTTAATTATAGTAACTGCTGAAGTGCATGCCACCTTTGCAGCTCATGCCGCATGCCAGTTGTACATGTTCATTTTTCCGTCGCTCTTTAGGCTATGCACAGGTTGAGCCTTGAGCACGCTTTTAAACAAAACACATGTACCATAGTTGTAGGTGCCACGCCCAACGTAGCACTAACTTCGGTCCTTTGCTTGCGTGTAAAAAATAACTCCGCCTACTGTGTGAGCCATGTCTGGGAGTTCTGGTGCAGGGGAATTGATCACTCCACTTGTATCTTATTCCCAGCCTGCTGGTTCACACCAGCAGGTTATGAGCCCAACGCTTGGGCAGGGCTATGGCACCACAGCACAGCAGCCATCCCCACCTCCCGGGAGGGATGGTATGCCAAATGTACCAGGTTCAACGCCGGCACTTGTACATGGCCAAACAGGTGGAATGGGCTTTGAACCTATGGCTACGGGAGGGGCACTTGGAGGCATAGACCAGACTGGGGTTTGCGCAGACTCAGGGGGAATGCCACAAGTGTCGACCGCCACTGAAGGCGGTGATGAGGTACAGATGGTTGTGCCGATACCGGGCAATGTTGCGCCGGGCGGGAGCCCAGGGCTAGAGGCCAGCACTGGCATGTTAGGTACCGCGAGTGGTGACGCAGAGCCAGGGGGTAGAGTAGTCGCTGGTGCTTCCACGGAGGGGTTTGTGACCCCACGATCGCAACAGGGATTGCCAACCATAGCTGAGATGGTTGAGGGCTTCCCTAGTACAGGGCTCCAGCTTATGACGCGAGTTGGGGATTTTTTCCGTGTAGCGCGCACTGAGGTGGTGCAGGTACCCGCAGTGGCGCAAGGCACACACGCCACACCACCACGAGCAATCACATCACAATCACGTGATAGTCCCAGCGGTGTTCCAAGGCAATTGGCTCTGGGAGAAGGGAGTTTGGGTTCGCAGAGTAGCTCGCCACCACAGTTGGGAGCGCATGGTACACCCACTTCCTTTGCACCGCCTCCTGGAAGGGATGGCTCCTTGTTGAGCGCGGACATGTTGCAGCGCATGCAAGCTTTAGAACAGAGGGCCCCCTTACTTTACGGTAGCCTGCCCGAAAAACCCCCATCGAGAACAGACTCATCGTCCCTGCCCCAAGAAGCGATTCAAGCTGAGGTTGCAAGGCAGCTAGCGGGGTTTGATCAACGGGCGCAGGCTCAGGACTTGGAAATACAGAGGATGCGGAGGCAACTGGAGGAGGCGGCCCAAAGGGAACAAGCTCTTAGGGAACAGGTAAGGAGAGAAGTGGCAATGACCAGTAAGTGCCCCAATGGCTCCAACGACACCCCTTGCTGAGGTTCCCAGGCCACCCCTTCAGGATGCGCAAGTGCGCACTCCAATAGCGTATCAGGTGCATGATGCTGCAGCGCAGGCGGTTGAGGCTTTGAGAGCGCCTGCTCAAACAGCAGCTTCAGCAACTTCAGGGTTATGGTCCAACTTTTGGTCGGGGTTGCAAGGTTCCCAAAGGTTACCTAGCAATGCAGCGCCACCCGGAAGGGTTGGGCAGCCAAGCAGCGCATTATCGGGTGTGCAAGGGGATTCCACCTCTTCTGGCCCAGACCCCCATTCTCGAGCCGAAAACCCGGGTTTGGGCCAGATCAGGGCTTCGGGCTCTGGTTTCCAGTCAGTTGCTGCCGCTAGTGCCCCAATTCCCCAGGCTTCAGCTGCTCAGGCCAGCACGGCGCCAGTAGGAGCAGCCAGTGTGTCGCCGGGGGGAACCCAAGGCCCTCCCACATCAGGTAACACCGTACTTGATGCCGTATTGTTGGGAGTGCAGCAACTGCAAACTTTGCAAGCCCAGCACCTTAGCAGTAGCAGGAAGGAGGATGCCCCGGAAACGGTGAAAACGGGCATTACAACCTTTCCCAAATTAGCCCCACCAGATCCCGCTGGAGGTTCGTTGGAATTCCAGGATTGGTTGCAGCTCATTGCGGGCTTGATGAGTGACTTTTCGGATTCCTCTCAACTTTGGTGGTCAGGGGTAGTCCAGGTAAGCAAAGATGCGTACGATAAGTGGGTCGTCGCTTCCCCCATCGAGCGCTTGACGGTTGAGCCTGATGAGAGGCCTGAGCTTACGGAAGGCAAATGGGGGAGAGTGAATGCCCGTGCATGCGCGATGCTCTTAGATGCCCTGGACCCCACGGTTAAATCCGATATCATAGCCCGTAAAGCGAATCAAGCTGCATCACAGATCTTGTTTAGGCTGTATACGACCTACCAGCCCGGGGGAACAGGGGAACGCAACCTGGTGTTGAGCAACTTGCAAAATCCCCATGTGGTGCAGGATGCAGCCTCAGGTGTGTCAGCATTGAGGGCGTGGGGACGGTGGTATCAAAGGTGCATAGACTTTGGTATGAGTTTGCCGGATCCAATGGTGTTGGTGGGAGGCCTAACCTCAATGACAAAGCCCGTCATCTCTAAGGAGCCGGAGGTTTCATGGCGAACCGAGATGGTGAAAAGTGCACTGCAGTTGCATGGTCGACCCTCGGAAGAGGCGGTCAAATCCTACCACAAACATTTGTTGGCCGAGTTTGAGACTTTGGCTGGAGCTCATGTTGCCAAAAAGGGTGGATCAGGTAACCTGGCATTGAAGGCAGCTGGTGTTGCTGGGGATAAGCCGGGAAAGGGGAGTGGAGGCAAGGGTGGAGGGAATGCCAACACATGCAAGTATTTCCTTTCGCCGAAGGGGTGTAGGTTTGGGTCCAAGTGCAAAAGCCAACACTCCATGAACGAGTTGTCTAAGGCGGAACGGTTTAAGAAGTGCTTGAATTGTGGTTCCGAGGAGCATCGCGCTAAGGATTGCAAGGCCGGTAAGGCGGAACCCAAAGCACCGGATCAAAAACCTTCCGTACAGGCAGCCTCATCCCCCACATCCTCGGGCCAACCCGTTGTCCAAGCCACGCCAGTGCTCAACATGGAAACCTTCATGCAACAGGCAGTCCAGGCTTTGAGGCAGTTGGAGGCCAATCCACCGTGCAGCGGCACCACGCCGCAAGCCCAGCCGCCTCAACCTCAGCCGGAAGGCTTGAGTACTGCATCGCAGCAGCCCTCAGTGCCACCGGCACCGGCTGCGCCCGCATCGTCTGCACCCAATCCTTCGGTGAAGAGGCTCACGATTCGCTCAGTCGTGCCCGCAAGCTGTTTCCCGGTTTCGGGTCTCCCAAACCGGGACTTCCAACCCCCCCATCAGGAGGCTCCAACTCGCGGGTTGGGAAATGCAAAAAATCAGGGTTTGGCAAACCCCCATTCTCGAGCCGAGAATGGGGGGTTGCTTGAGGCCCCCAAACCCATAGCATATGCGCTTTTGGACTCTGGGGCCACCCATGCCATGAGGCAGGCCATGGATGAGGAGGAGTGGGAGGCCGCATCGGAAGTACAGGTGAGCCTAGCCGGCGATACCACCACAACAATGCGGCTCACATCCTCAGGTACTTTGCTCCTGCCTCCCGGGAGGGATGGCCTAGTGCAGCCAATAGTCCCAATGGGCGCAATCATCGAGCAACTTGGGTATAAACTGGTTTGGTCAGCCGGTAGTTGCAAGCTGTATCCTCCCGATGGTAAGTCGTTGAGGCTTAGGGTCAAAAATGGTTGCCCGGAATTGGTAGAGAGCCAGGCCCTTCCGCTGATATCACGGTTGGAGGAACACAAAATGCAACAGGTTGAGGAGCTCAGGCGAAGAACGGATGAGGGGAAGGATCGCATCAGACAGGCGAAAATCGCGATGCAGCGCACATGGTGGGATCATTTGGTGGAGCATGTTAGCTCGTCAGCGCCAGCAGCGGGCCACATGGCAGTATCCACGGCGCCATTCTTTCAGGATGTGCCCGATCGTGCATTGTCAGGCCTACTCCCATCGGAAGATGTGGACTCCAAGACTTTGTGGAAAGCTCTTGAAGAAAGTATGCCAAACCTCAACCGGCGAAGGAGGAAGGCACTTCATCGAGCATCCAATTGGGTTGTTCACTTGTTTGCGGGCCCTGGCTCGCACAAGGCTTTCAAACGATTGGAGTCGCAGGATACAGTTGTTGTTGAGCTTGACATTTGCCGCTCAAGGAGCCAAGATCTTTACCATGATCCGCTTTGGACGCTTCTTGCTAAGGTTGCAAAGTTGGGACGAGTTGCGGCGGTCATTGGAGGTCCACCAACCCGCACGTGGTCCATGTCAGGGCACCGCGCCGATGGACCACATCCACTCCGCTCGCCCACTGAACCGTTTGGCCTGAGCACTCTCACCTCTGACGAGCGTGATCTCGTTGATCGTGATACGGGTTTGTATGCTCGCATGTTGTGGTTGCATGCACTTTCCACCGCCGGGAGGCGTGTGCACCCTAACCCGTCGGATGGAACATCCATGGTGGCATTCATGTTGGAGCAACCGTCGGTTGAACACCACATGGCTTCAAGCCATTCTGCTGTGGGTAGCGCCCCGTCGTTTTGGAATACCGCGCTGTGGCAAACTTACGCTGAAGAGGCTGGTTTGTTTGAGGTGCATTTCCGTCAAGGTCCGTTGGGGCACGCGGGCGATAAACCCACAACTGTTGGCACCAACTTGCCCGACCTTAGAGACTTGCAAGCGTTTCAGGGTGAGGTATCGCAGGTTTGTGGTAGCACCGACAGCCGTGTGTCTCCAGTGTGGGCGCCGGGGTTTGTGCAAGCCATCGTGTACGCACTCCAACGTTGGCCCTGTTACCGCATCATGAAATTCACCCAGGCGGATTGGGAACAGCATGTTGCGAACAATCACGTGCCGTACCGCCGTGATTGTGCAGTTTGCGTGCACGGTGCCGGAAACGGCCGCCGCCACCACGGTGTAGTTCACCCGGATGTGTATTGCATGTCAGCCGACATTGCGGGGCCCATCCGTGTGAAGGGCAAAGACCCAGAAAGCCGCAACCACCGACCAGCCACGTTCAAGTACTTCCTCGCTGTGTCGTACCGCTTCCCACGGCTCAAAGGAGTGAAGGAGGAGTCAGACCCCAGCCAAACCGAGGGGTTTGATGATGCAGCACTCCTCCCGGGAGGGACGGATGACCTTGCAGATGAGGCCTTTCCCGCAGCAGAAGGCCCCCCGCACGAGGATTACGAGGACTCCCTGTACGAGCCAAGTTTAGCGGAAGAAGAGGAGGAGGCGGAAGGTGAAGGAGTTGAAGGGCCGAGGGAGTTTGCAGCCAAAGTTGCCGAGGAGCATCCCTGGGAGTCAGCCAGGTGTGAACTCGAAACACCGCCTGACATGGCGAGGCTGGTGTTTGCAGTGCCACTTCACACAAACAAGGGTGATGATATCCTAAATGCCCTCCAACAGGTGTACATTTCCCTAAGGTCCCTAAACCTCCCCGTGCTTCGTTTCCACACAGACCGCAGTCGTGAGTTCTTCAACAAAAGGACTCGAGCTTGGTTTCACGAGCGTGGAGTCCGCACAACAACAACAGAAGGAAACGTTCCGCAGCAGAACGGCTCTGCTGAGAACACCGTGCGCTGGCTCAAAGCACGAGCACGAACCCTTCTCACCTCTGGCGAGGTCGACTCGTCCTTGTGGCCTTGTGCAATCATGACAGCTGCAGCTCAGCAACGGGCGCAGCAGCTGGGCATGAAGTCCAAGCTTGCCATCCATTTTGGAGGGAAGTGTTCCGTGAAGCGAAAGTTTTTTAGCAAGAAGGGTGATTTGGAGGATAGATGGGTTGAAGGTAAGTATATGGGGTTGTCACCATCTGTGAATGATGGTCACATCGTGTTGCGCAGCGATGGTGTTGGCAACGGCTTTGTGCAAACACTCCATGTTCGCACCCGCCTTGTTTCTCCGGATCCACCGCCCTTGCAGTTTGTAGGAGACTCGCTTGAGGAGGAGCACACACCACCTCCACGCAGGGTTCGCGGCAAGCGGTCTGCTGGTGTGAGACTTGACGACGTGTTTGCACTTGACCCGCCGCCTCCCTTGCCGCCGCCAGCAGAAGCTCCAAACCCGGAAGGGCCTGTGTCACCGGTTGAGGAGGAGTCTGCCCGTGTAGCGCGCTTGAGTCTGCAAGACCTCGAAGGTTTAGCTACGGAGCTTATCGAGGACGACTGGGACCTTGATGAAGCGTTGTGGGTGTTAGCCGAAGTGTGCAGAGCAGCGCCCCAGCTGCAACACAAAGCTGGGTTGTACCGTCACGGAGGTGTCGTAGGAGTTTTAGGGGGTACCACAGATAAGCCTTGGCTGACAGAGCTTATGAATATGGTGCTTTCCGCAGTTGCACCCACAGCTGAGTACACCTCGCTTTGGTTGTCTAATTCCACTGTTCAACCCGTGCACGCCGACCACCACAACCTGCAGGGATCCACAAATGTAGTCCTCCCTTTGAAGCTCCCGCCTAACGGAGGGGATTTGTGGATAGAACTCAAGCCTGGTGACCTAGTCAGTGGCCCTGTAGAGGAGCGGGTAGACGGCAAAGGTAGGCGCTGGTTAGGGACAACTCACAAGTTAGAGCGCGGTAAGCCCTTTTTCCTAGACCCTACTCGCCGCCACGCCACCACTCCCTGGAAGGGTGAGAGAGCAGTCCTTGTTGGCTACACTGTCAACACGTTAGGCAAAGAGCTTGAGCACGAGTTTCAAAGCCTTGAAGCTTTAGGTTTTCCACTCCCAGCGTCGGTACGTTTACCGCTGACTGAGCAGCAAGACGTGAGACGTCTAGACGCGTTTGACTGCTTCGAAGAAGAGCCCCTTCAGGAGACAAAGGCACGTCACCCTGACGGGAAGACTTCGGAGTTGGCGATTGGGACTGTGCTTGAAGGCGGAGGTTGGAAAGAAACCCAAGCCGTAGAAGCAGGTACTGTAGAGTTGGAGGTGTCGTGGAACCTGAAACACTCGCCGGACCAAAGGCGAACCCAGTCTGAGCACGCCCTGCTGGCTTGCCAACCAGACACCAAGACACAGGTTGAGGAGGAGGAGGAGGGCTTAAGCGAGGACTCCTTGCCGGAACAACCAGTGCTGTGGGAGTTGTGGGTTCCACACCCGCAGACAGGTGAGCAGCTGTGTGTTCTCAGGTCTGACGACTCGGACGCGAGTGAAGCTTGTGCCCTTTGCAAGTCTGAGCCGGTTTACACTACCAACGTAGAGCTGTTGCTTGACGGGTTGCAAGAACCACTGCAGGTAGTCCACACTGTAGACCCTCGGGATGCAGAGCAATGCATCGAGAAGTGGATGCCGTCCATTCACAAGGAGATCGGTGTCATTGGGAAGGCTGTGCGGCGACTGCCCCCTGCAGAGGTCCGTTCCGGAGGTTGGCTAAAGCGCAAGGAAGTGAAGGTGGTTCCGTCTAAGTTTGTGTTCACAGTCAAGCCACCAGACCCTGCTGAAGCCTCCCTCGCTACCCGGAAGGGTCAGGCTTACCACAAGCGCAAGGCTCGCCTGGTTGCTTGTGGCAACCACGCCCCAGGCACGGGGTCCGAAGTCTACGCTTCAGGTGCTGCTGCAGAGACACTCCGTTGTTTTGTAATCATCAGCTCCAAGAGGAATTGGTGCATCGGGTCTCTAGATGTCACCTCAGCTTTTCTGTTGACCCCAATCCCGCAAGGCAGAGGTTTTCCAGTGTTTGCTCTCACGCCGCCTAGGTTGCTAGTGAGACTAGGTTTGGCAGAGGAAGGGGAGCTTTGGATCCTCACGCACGCTGTGTACGGGTTGAGGGAGTCGCCTAAGCTTTGGTCGGACTTCAGGGACTGCCAACTTCGGGCGCTGAGGTGTGTTGTTGACGGAGTTGAGCTGCAGCTCCAGCAAGGAAGGTTGGACCCAAACTGGTGGCGTGTTGTTCGCACCTCTGACGGGGTAGTCGTAGGAGGGTTGCTCACTTACGTTGACGACTTTTTGCTTGCAGGCAGTAAAGAGGTGATCGAAGCCTTGGCTACGGCCATCCAGGGCATCTGGAAAACGACGCCTCTCGCACTTGCCACCGCAGAGCACCCGCTGAGGTTTTTAGGGGTTGAAATCCTAGTGCAAGGTTCCGGGTTTGTGTTGTCCCAGCAGGCTTACGCCGAAGAGCTGCTGCGTCTCAACGACGTGAAGCCCACTGCACTAGGTAAGGTCCCCTGTCCGCGTGACCTTGTTTCGTTTGACACTCTCCTGACGGACGAGTCCCCAACTGAGGAGACCGTTCGAACAGCGCAGAGACTGACTGGAGAAATCCTGTGGCTGAGCCAGCGCACCCGGCCTGACTTAGCTTTCACTGCTTGTGTGCTTGCCTCTCTCAGCACGAAGGCGCCGCAACGAGCCATCCGCATTGCAGAAAAGGCCCTTGCGTATGTGCAGCGTACCAAGGCGCTATCCCTCACCGCTGACGCGGATGACACAGGATTGATCGCGTATAGTGATGCCAGCTATGCGCCGGAAGGGAATCGTTCTCACACGGGGTGGGTGGTTTTCCTTCACGGGTCGCCGGTGTGCTGGCGTTCAGCACGACAGTCTTTTGTCACCCTCAGCACCGCAGAAGCCGAGCTTGTTGCTGGACTTGACGCTGTAGTTGCCCTTCAGTCAGCAGAGGCCATGCTGAGTGAGTTCGGGGTTTCTAGCTTCGACAAGACTTTGAGGGTTGACTCACAGTCTGCACTGGCCATCGCTATCGGTCACGGGTCTTGGCGAACCCGCCACCTGAGGGTGCGCGCCAACTACTTGCGCGAGCAGTATGAGGCAGGAGAAATCATCCCTGTTTACTGCCCAGGTGTTGAGCAGGCCGCAGATCTTCTGACGAAAGCACTGCCATCTGCGAGGATCCTTGAGCTCGCAGCCATCTGGGGTTTGCTTGAGCATGGCGTACCTCGCCGGGCGGAAGCTCAGGCCTACAGTGAAACTCAAGCTGTGGGCACTGGGACCGTGGCGCAGCAAGACCTGCAGCTGAGTGCCTTAGCTGTCCTGCTCGCCTTCTTTCAGGTCGTAGGTGCTGCCAGCCAGACAACGGACGAGGAAGAAGACTTGTCTCTCCCCGTGTCGCTTGATGCAGATTTGATGTTGGCAGTATCCATCATCTGCATTGGTATCTGCTTCATTGCAGTGTGGGAGTTCTTCAAGTGGTGCCTTCAAGGCATCATCTCCCGCCGAGAGGCAGGGACACCCGTGTTGTCTCTGAGCCCCCGCAAGGCGCGCAAGTTACAGCGCCTTCGAGATCAAACTGCGCAGGCCATCCAGGCCGAGATCTCTGCACGTGAGGAGGCAGCAAGCTCGCAGTCTGTTGCTGCAGCGCCCAGACGCCGCCCCTCACAAACAACTCGCACGCGTGAGCAGGCAGGTGGAGCACCAACGCGTTACTTTGCAACACCCGAAGGGACCAAGCTCCACCGCACTAAGACCTGTTCCACGCTCGCCCACTCGCACAGGTTTGTTGAGTTTCAAGTGTGCCAGCAGTGCCACGGGAGCGCTGCAGACCACACCCAGCACAGCACAGGGTAGGAACTACTCCACCCTAACGGGTTGGATCTCTCAGTGAGCTCATCCGTAGCTGTGTCTTTTTCCCACACGAGGTGCCTTGAGAGCCCTCGCATAGTGAGGGCAGTTGGCCCAGCTTTTGCCAGGTAGTTCAGGGTAGGTGTGTCGTCACCCTGACGGGTTGGACCTGCAGTAGCATGTAGGTCGCAGCTCCCTGGCGGGGCCGCGAAGGAGGAGTGCTGAAGTGCATGCCACCTTTGCAGCTCATGCCGCATGCCAGTTGTACATGTTCATTTTTCCGTCGCTCTTTAGGCTATGCACAGGTTGAGCCTTGAGCACGCTTTTAAACAAAACACATGTACCATAGTTGTAGGTGCCACGCCCAACGTAGCACTAACTTCGGTCCTTTGCTTGCGTGTAAAAAATAACTCCGCCTACTGTGTGAGCCATGTCTGGGAGTTCTGGTGCAGGGGAATTGATCACTCCACTTGTATCTTATTCCCAGCCTGCTGGTTCACACCAGCAGTAACCCTTAAAGGAATCCTTAAAGGATCCCTATTTGGGTACCTGGACCCTCAGGGCTGAACACCAACCGAAGCCCGAGCCAGGGCGGAGAAGCGAGAGCGCCTCGTTCGCGCGACCCTCAAGGCGCCCAGAGCTCGATTTGTTTCCTTAGGGTTTACCTTAAAACCACAGAAATGATACCTTTTTTAAGGATATATACGGGAATTAGAACAAGGAACCCAAAAAAGGCAGGTTTTGTGGGGTTAAGGTAGGGTTCAGGGTTTAGGGTGCCCTGCCAGAGCTCGCTCTTGTACTGTGGGATTTTTGGGTGTTCGAAGTGACGGACCGTTTAGGATTTAGGGTACCCAATTTTCTCTGTTTCCTGTAGGGCATGTGGAGTTTTGAGGTCCAAGTTAGGATATTTTAGGAGGTCTATGTTATCTTGTCCTTTCATCGTGGGAGTGTTCTGGTTTAGGTTCTTAGGCACTTAGAAATGACAGGGCTTCCGGACTGGCCGGCCCTGTTGGATAGTTTCGGAGTTTGGGTTCTGTTTGCAAGATTGCAGGCATGGCAGGGCTTACCTTAAATAACTCCAAAAAAACGTTCGGGGTTGTCCATCAGCAGCATCAGTGGCCACGGATACTGCGGCACCTAAAACCCAAGCCTTTTGGGGGGGCCGCAGCGGGGTCCTGCCAGGCGGCGTGGGCCAAGTTTGGTGTTCCGGACCTCGACGATGCGATCACTGAGTGCGACACTCCAGGGAGGGCTGCAGGGCCAAGAGTTCGGCGTGTGTATACATGCATGGGTGGTTGTCAAAATTAATTAGGAACCCCATTAAGGGATCTACTTCTTGGATTCTTTCGGGGGTCTGGGTCAGTAATGAAGGTCCCTTTTTGGGTACCCTAAATATTAGGTGCCGTATTATAAAGGACCCAAAAAGGGACCCTAATATTGACAACCACCCATACATATATACGTACACACATGCAGCAGAAACACTATGTTGCTTTACGTCTCCGGTGTAGTTTTCGGGCAGCACAAGCCGGTGCATGCATCGAAGGTTTTGCCGACCCAAGTCGGCAAGGTTCATGTTCATAGATTGTTATCCATTCTCCTACATTTACCTTCAAGCTGATTGCGGTGATTCTTGCAAAGATTTTTGCCAACTGTATGACCGTACTTACAGCCACCCAAGAGCTTCCCAGTAGATCGTCCTAGGTTGATGACCTCACCACACATAGTCCCACTAAATGCAAGACATGCGGGAGTCGTTTGGGCTTCCCCGGCCATATGATTGTCATCGTACCGTTTCTGAGGATTAATGTCATTGTTCGTGACTTTCGTAGTGCGGTTGTGTTCTGTCACTGTCCTGGTCAGAACATGCTCCCCCATACAATAAGTAGCGAGCATGCTTAGACTGATGATTCAGTAGACCTATCGCCAGCGCGACTGCTCGGGCGAGTGTGGACCATCTCTGCAGCAGCTTTGCTTGGAACTGGTCCTGCTGCGTCCCTTTGCCGAATTGAATGGGGGTGCCATGGGAGGTATTTGGTGAGCTCTGCCGTCACCGTGATCGCGGAGGCATCTTGTCTGTTCAGAAAAGAGTCGAACGGATGGCACTGGGGTACATCTTCAACCATGTCCTCAACCCTTAAACCCATGTTAGGGCTTAAACCCCCTAAGCCCTACACCCTCAACCCACAGCAAGACTGCACCCGGACTCTCAATGCAATCTAAATCGCACCGTGATCGCAACGAACTTCGGCCGGCTTAGAATGAACATGGAGTCACAGAACCCATCTCTACCTACAATGTTACGGGTGTAGTGGTCGGAATAAGTAGTACATGTATCCTCGTAGAGGGCCTATTCATACATGTAGTATGTTACACGCCAAGAAGCTCTTCTAATGAAGGCAGGGCAATCAGCCCTAAGCACGCATGTGGGAACTACTTTACGCTCTAAGTATATACGATATTGGAAAATCAAAATATTCGGACAGAACGAATGCGGACAATGCAAAATTGTGGAAACGCCCGCGCACAGCAGACAAAAATGCACGAATCCAAGTATTTGGACGGCAATATGCCATATCGCTTGGTCGCAGTGCCCGAAGTTGAGAGACGCCTCTCAGGGAAATGTGTGGAACATTCAGAGTTTCGGATGCGCACGCGCCCGCAGCAGCATAACTTAACAATGCAACATCCCAACATTCAGACGGAATAATGTGGATAGTTCAAGTTTGTTGATACATTCGCGTGCGCGCGCGTGAAAAGCATAGCAAAGAAAGCTATAACGAGGCACCCTCAAAAAGGTAGTTTGCTTTTAGGAGGGGGGCTTTAGGTAAACGCTAAATTCTGAAGGCGATTGAATGCTGCAGGCGCAGTCGCCGGGGGAGGCAGAGGATGAGCTGCGACTTGGTGCAATCGTCTGAGTCTAACCCTGACCGTAGGGTTTTCGGTTTAGGGTTCAGGGTTTTCGATTTAGGGTTCAGGTTCAACTCAAACTCCAATCCGTTCGGGGCTTGTTTATAAGCCCTTGGGGGCTCATATATACCCAGTCCTACGTATGAGTTCCTGTCTGGTTGAAGCAGGGGTTGCAGCCGACGAGCTAATCCGCAATGTCCTGGCCGTGCACACTCTAAGCCTGCTCGCGGTATGGTTCAGGGTTTAGGGTTTAGGGTTTGCGGTGGGTCGTGATACTATTCCCTTTAATAATGTCATATCCGCTATTTATAGTCATACCCGAGGTTAGCCAAGTAAATAGGCGCCCATGAAACAGTTTAAACGTTAAACACAACCGTGCTTCGGCGACGACCCGGTTGTTCCGTAGACAGGAGCTGTTGTGGCGAAACCTTCGGAAAGCCCTAAACCATGCACAAATCTCAGATCGCGAAGCCCAGAGTCCCGCCCAATCCCTTCACCCTAAAACTCAGTCCTGGAGTCCTTCGGGAACCTTAATTACCCAGGGGCCCCAAAGTAGTTCCTTTTTGGGTGTGTCCTCTTTTTTGATTAGGGACTCTAATATACTACCCAAAAAGGAACTACTTTGGGGCCCCTGGGTAATTTCCAGAAACCATGAGTCCCAGGCCTAGGGAAGCCGTTTGTTGCTTTGGGGGAGAGGGGTTCAACAGTGTGCAGGGAGCATGTCGATGATTACCCTGGAAGTGTCATTGCTCAGCGGCAAGACAGCAACTGTGCAAGCAGGCCTGGATGAAACTGTGGAGACGTTGACGCAACGGGCACAGATCGCACTTGGAGTCGGGAAAGGGCGACTACTGGACTCCTCGGGAGTCCTTCTGGACGGATGTGAGGAGACAAAGAGACCCCGGATTCAGAACGGCGACTCACTGACCTTCCATGTAAACGGAGTTCAAATCCAGTCCACGTCTTCTGCCTTTGCTGCCCTTCTTGGCGATGGATCAGTTGTGACCTGGGGTGATGCTTACTTTGGCGGCGACAGTGGTGCAGTGCAGGGCCAGCTGCAGAACGTGCAGCAGATCCAAGCCTCTGTCGGTGCTTTGGCTGCCATTCTTGGCGATGGATCCGTTGTGACCTGGGGCGCTGCTGCCAGTGGTGGCGACTGCAGCGCTGTGCAGGGTCAGCTGAAGACGGTGCAGCAGATCCAAGCCTCTGAAAGTTCTTTTGCTGCCATTCTTGGCGATGGATCCGTTGTGACCTGGGGTGCTGCTGCCAGTGGTGGCGACAGTAGCACTGTGGAGGGTCAGCTGAATAATGTGCAGCAGATCCAAGCCTCTTATGCTGCTTTTGCTGCCATTCTTGACGGTGGATCTGTTGTGACCTGGGGTGATGCTGACTCTGGGGGCGACAGCAGTGCTGTGCAGCATCAGTTGAGCAATGTGAAGCAGATCCAAGCTCGCGGCGGCGCGTTTGCTGCCATTGTTGGGGATGGATCTGTTGTGACCTGGGGTGATATTAGGTGTGGCGGCGACACTAGTTCGTTGCAGGGCCAGCTGACGAATGTGCAGCAGATCCAAGCCGCTCGCAGTGCTTTTGCTGCCATTCTTGACGATGGATCAGTTGTGACCTGGGGTGATGCTTATTTTGGCGGCGACAGTGGTGCAGTGCAGGGCCAGCTGCAGAATGTGCAGCAGATCCAAGCCTCTGTCGGTGCTTTTGCTGCCATTCTTGGCGATGGATCCGTTGTGACCTGGGGTGCTGCTGCCAGTGGTGGCGACTGCAGCGCTGTGCAGGGTCAGCTGAAGACGGTGCAGCAGATCCAAGCCTCTGGCAGTGCTTTTGCTGCCATTCTTAGCGACGGAACCGTTGTGACCTGGGGAAATGCTGCCACTGGCGGCGACAGTCGTGCTGTACAGCAGCAGTTGAAACGTGTGCAGCACATCCAATCCTCTGGCGGTGCTTTTGCTGCCATTCTTGGCGATGGCTCGGTGGTGACCTGGGGTCATGCTGGCCGAGGCGGCGACAGTAGTGCTGTGCAAGGTCAGCTGAAGACTGTGTAGCAGCTCTAAGTCTCCGCACCGGCTTTTCCTGCCATTTTTGCTGACGGTGGCGATAGGAGATAGCAGCAGTGGACAGGACCGGATGAAGACTGATCGATAGATGCGGGTCTGCTTGTCGGCCGGTGAGTTTAGGGTTTAGGGGTTTAGGGTTTAGGGTGTGTAAGAAAGATGTGGTGCATAGATGATGCATGGACTTGCTGACTGCCCGCTCTGGCAGCTTGTGTGGGTTCCGAAGCCAACCCCGATCGCCAAATGCCCGAAAAGCTTTAGGGTCTAGGGACCCGAAACGCTAATCCTCTAATTACCTTCGAATCCCATCACCGTTTCACCCAAAACACCCTAAGCCCAAACCCCAGCCCACACAATGTTGAGAACCTGTACTCTAAACCAGCGCTTGTCAAGTTTTAATAGTTGCATGGGGCTGGTGCGATTCTGCGATTCGGACTTCGTATACTGCCGCAAAAACTCCTCATGGGCGGATTCCGATTAGAGTAGCCTAGAAGGACTGGTAATTTTAACAGCCTGCAATCTCAGGACGAAGGAGCCCCAACCCCCAAAACCTAAACCCCAGTGCCTAACCATTTTGTATACTATAAATCCCCATTATCGTAACGTACCTTTCTTGGCCCAACGTGCCGAGGCATGGTGTGCACTTTGGGGGCCCAAATATCTACCAGTCTATTAGGTAGCCATAGTATATTGGTACTTGGACCCTTTGGGTTGCAGAGAACCAAGGCAACCGAACCCTAAGGCTCAAAACAGCCTCAAGGCCTTATATAGTATGGTCTTTGGGCCCTAAAGCCTTAAGACAAGAGTCCTTGGATCCCTAAGCCCTATAGATCCCTTTAAAGGACCCCTTTAATCCCCTTTACAGATCCCCTTTAAGGGAACCCTATAATTATATGAGTCCTTAGAGCCTACGGGGGAAAGGTCTCACAGCTTACGCCTGATCGGCCGAGGCTTCTGCACTTGGGTGTCATCTTGAAGGCGCAGGCAGCTCCGGGGTTTCCTAGGGTTTAGGGTTTCCTAGGGTTTCCTATGGTTTAGGGTTTAGGGACCCCCCAACTACCCTCTAAGATACCCTAAATACCCACTATTAAGGGCCATAAGGTCTCTATTAAGGGGCACTGGGGGGTCCTGGTTCGGTTGAAGGAATCCGGGGTTTAGGGTTTTTTGTTTTTGGGTTTGTGTAGGGTTTACGGTTTGGGGCGTACATTAGGGTTTAGGGGTTTGGGGTTTAGGGTTGAACGCAATATTCACCTCTAAACCCTACATCGTTATCTAGCCCACAAGCCCTGAAGTTGGGGTTTTGGAGGAGCCCGAGGCTCTGAACCTACCGGAGCTCCCTCCCTTATCTGTTCGTAGGCTCCTTCGGGCTTGGTGTTTTTGGAGCTTTTGGGCAGCGTCTGGTCTTTGGTTTAGGTTTTCTGTGAAGTCAGGTTGGGATCGAGGTGCATCGCGCCTTTGGGGTTTCCGTCTTGATGGGGGTCCTTTTTGTTGTATGGGTGCTGTACCAGAAAGGGACCTAAAAAAGGAACAAACTTTTAGAAAGTTTAGAAAGTTTAGAGAGCTATCCATATACTCGCCGCCCCACCACACCAACCATGACAATTCTCACTGCTGCCGCCCGCACATAGCATAATCGCGACGATAGCTAGTACAACGACGACTACTGCTGCTATTGCTGCCTGACTGATCGCTCCGCCGTCCCCAACGCCTGATAAGCGGCCTTCTTGCGTGCCTTGTCCCGACAGGTTAAGGCCCGTTTCGAAAGATATTAGCCCAACCAGCACTAACGAGATTGAAAGCATCTTCTTGATTTCAGAAACCTCAGCCAGAATTCCAAAGGGCTCAGCTGAACAGTAAACCCTAAGTTGATGGTATGGTCGAGTGATACGATTCGGTTCAGGGTGTAAGGTTCAGGGTTGAGGGAAGCCATAAAGATTGTGAATTTGGCGGCCCGGGTAGGGCGTGCTGTATGTTCACAATTCTGACGTTCCAGGTAACTACTATCCTAAGCCCAAGTACCCGATTATTGCGTCTTTGGGGCCCTTAGGGATACACAGGTTACCTACGAGTCCAAGAAGTCCTTACTTGTGGGTTTGCTTGAATCCAAGGATAAAAGGAGGGACCCTTAAAAAGGACCCCTGGGAACACACCCTTAATATAGCTATTCTATACCCATTATATAGCCCATTATAGGGTAGGAGGTCCCCATTAAGGGTCCCTCCTTTGCCCCTTTGATTGCTTAAAAAGGCCTCAAAGTCTCCTTTACGGCCCTCTCTGGGTTACGGTACGGCCCAGTGGAGCTCAGGAGTTGAAGGACAAGTACGTCGTAGCCCTGCCGGGCGCTGAGATCATCGCTTTCTGGGAGCCTTAAATGGGAGATTCCGAAAATTACGGGTACCGTATTTCAAACTCCTTATAATAAGGATCCTACTACTTCGGGTTACTATATTAGGGCCCCTATTTTCGGAAACTCCCAAAAGGAAGGAAAGCAAGGGAGTCCGAAGGGTTTAGGGTTTAGGTTTTTGGGTTTCAGGCCAGTTTAGGGCTCAGGGTTTGTAGGGCTTATACATCTAGTATCTGAGTTCTGTAGTACATACCCGGAGGGCCCATGTACCCAACATCTATATACTTTGAGGCTACCTAGATGGGGACTTCTTTACGGCGAAAGTATATACTATTTTATTTGGGTTCATGGACCATGAAAAACACTTTAATACTCGTACAGGGGGACGGCGCACCTTGCAAGAACCAGTACGAAATAAACGTTTGTACTTGTGTTTCTCCCGGGTTACTCCAAAGCCCAGGTATGGAATTAGACCACAACAGACCATTCTAGTCATGTTTTTGGTGGCCTAATTCCATAGTAGTAGTGTGCAGAAGGACCCTCTGGGAAAGACCTCGGCTTTGCACCAGAAGCTTCATGGCTTGCGGGTATCGCTGGTGACTCTAATCAAGCATCGAACCCTGAACCCCTAATCTAAGACGTATAGTAAACCCCATAAAGTTGGAAACCTGATTAAGGCCAAAATAGTGCAGGGATTCCCTATACGATACTCGTAAGGATGGAGTCTATTGGGTTTCCAACTTTTGGGCTTTTACTGTAAACCCTAGACCCTCGACCCCCATACCCCCACCACCCCACGCCCTCAACTCTGGTTCCACAGCCCTGAACCCTAAGTTAAACACTAACAACCCTAAACCCCAAACTCTGCCTGTAGCCGAAAAGACCTCCCCTTTCTAAGGAACTATATATATATATATATATATATATATATATATATATATATATATATATATATATATATATATATATATATATATATATATATATATATATACATATACATACATATATATATATATATATGTATATATACAGAAACCATAATCGGGAACCCTAAAAGGGTCGGTTGTTTCGGCTACAGGTGGTTCCGCAGGCCCCAGCTGCGGGGATCCCGGATCGTTCCTTCCCGCTTTCGTCTTGCAGTCGCTATGAATCGCATGTCGCCCCCCCAAATGGTCCATGTACCTTTGTAGCCCTGAGACTCCATGTGCCCATATAGTAGGTACTTAGGCCTTAAAGGGGTCTCTATATAGGTACTTTAAGGCCTAAGTATCTACAAGATGGATACACGGAGCCGGAGCCTTTGGGTAGTGTTGGGTTTAGGGCATAGGGCAGTCCAAGTATGGACATATTCTGGCCCTAGCAAAGGAGAGGAGCCCCTTTCGCGTATTAAGTCTTATGTAGCTACTCTCTAGGTCCACAGACCCTTATAGGGTTTAGGGTTTAGGGGTTTAGGGTTTAGGGTTACAGTAACGGTTTTACTTGAGCCCTCAACCCTCAAAGCTCGGGCCTTGTGCACCTCAGTAGACTACTCCATGTCTGGTCCCATATATAGTTCCTTTTGGGGGTCCATATATAGAATCCTTTAGGGTAATCCCAAAAAGGAACTACTATCTCTGGGGAGTGAGAAGCCCAGCCTGAGCTCCGTTGCTTGCGGGTCTTTGGGTTGGTTTGTCGCTCAGCGCGTACACCTTGCTGCGGCATCCGGTCATCTCAACCACCCCAAACCCTGCACGCTAAATACTTAACCATTAACCCTGAAACCCCTAACCTCAACCCTACACCCGTAGCAGAAGCAGAAACTGAGGTGTGTGTTGCTGACCCTAAACCCTGAACTCCCTAAACCTGCTAAACACCGTAAACCCGAAAACCCCTACATCCTAAACCCTAAGCACAGACGTGAGGTGCAGGGCTTTGGCCGGGACGGTCTCCGAAACGTCCAAAGAGGCGTGTTGGCACTTAATGCAAAGATCCTGTGAGGTCCAAAAGGAAGGGTCCGTGTACTCATATTATATATTCTATATGCATATTTACATTACATACTTCGGCCTTGAAGTAGTAGCTATATGGGCACTTCGGCGCCTGTTTAAAGGTTCATGGGACACTATGGGATTGGGTTCCTATTATGCTTCTTCTGCGTAGAGTATAGCCCCAAACGCTACCGGTATCCCCAAACCCTACGAAATAGTCGGTAGTGACAACCCTTAAACAGTAGGTTTTTGGATCCCCAGGTATTCTAGCTGCTGACTCCTGTATATAGGAAGTGCTACGCTGGAGTGGACGTTAACATGGGAAGGATCCGAAAAGCCTTCCAAGGATCTTCGGTATACATAGGTGTTTAAAAACCTTATAATTATAGGCTCCCAGCGCTATATCATGAGGCTTGGGCTTAAAGATCATGCTTTCGAAGGCTGTTGGTTTGCTTGAAGCCTGAGGGTAAGGATCCTGTTGCCAAGGTATACACTATACATATTTGGGTAGAAGACTTTGCAGGAATCGGATTTGCGTTGGATTCATGTAGAGCTTGAGAGTGACGACCTGCTCGCGCGTTATGTGGCCTTACATTAGCTCGAAGAGGGTGTAATCAGGGTTTAGGGGCTGATCCGGGGCAAGATCGTTTCCGGATTTACACGAGTCCGATGAAAATGGCGAAGTTTGGTCCCGAAATTGGTTACTTCAATGTCTTGATGTCATTGCAACCCTTAACCCCAAACCCGAAACCCCTAAACCGTTAACCTCCCAAACTGCACTATACATACATGAATTCTTTTGATGTCCTTGCAACCCACCAGTTTCCACTGGGAGGTCGATGAGGACGATGTCCCGCGGGACGGGGAGGTGCATAGCTCCAGGGTTGTAGGACATTTGGTGTCGGGTTTAGCCTTTATGGTTGATTATAGATGGGAGTTTCCCAAAATAGGGGATCCAACCTAAATAATAGGATCCTTATTATGCGGACCCCAAATAAGGTGCCCCTAATTTTCGGAGTAATGCTGGGAGGATCGAAACCAACACCGCCAACCCTAACACCATGAGTGCTGAATGCAGCACCTCAACCCCAACTTTAACCCCGAATAACCCTTCATAACCTACCCGTTTAAGGACTCATATAAGGAAATCATAATAAGGAACCCTAAGAACGTAGGTTTTTTGGGGTCCAGGAATATCATGAACCCTGCGAAACGGGAAATACGTAAACCTAAACCCTGAACCCTGAAGCAGGTAGTAGACACAATGGAGGCGCTAGTTTTTTTTGCATATCGGGTCTCAGAGCCTTGTAATTCCTAAGCCCTAAGCCCCTACTTGGAGGTTCATGTGTAGTTATAAGTGGGGGTATAAGTATGGTAGCAATGATGACCCATATTTGGGGACTTATAACTCCACTATAATTACCCATGAATCTCCAAGTAAGCTCTTAGAGCGTGTAAACACTATGCTTTAGTTAACGAATATGCCTTATATCATATTAAGGGTCCTACTATGACTTGCGGTATATTCCTTAGGTCTGGGTTTCGGATTTTCGTGGCTTTGGGGCGGATCTTCGCCCGCGGTTTGCGAGCCTGGCTATACTCTAAACCCTAAAGCCCTAAACCCTAACCCCTAAACCCTAAACCCCTAAACCCTAAACCGTTATAGGCACCCTTAAATGGACCCCCTGTAGATCCCTTTACAGGGATATTGGAGTCTCTGGGAAGCCGGAGGTTTGGGGATCGGTTTAGGGTAAAGGGTTTGGGATTTAGAAGGGTGGCGGGCTTGAGGTTTAGAGTTTAGGGTTCGGCTTAGGGTTTAGGCATTCGGGGAGGGTTTAGAGTTTAGGTTTCAGTTTAAATGCTTATCTTTCTTAGTTTCTAGTGTTTCCGAGATGAAAGGTTCTGGGTTATCGTCTTAACGGCCCTGTTTAGTTTGTTGTTGATCCTGTTTTGCGTGTGTTGATTCTGCTGTTTCAATTTTTTGATAGTAACTTATGTTTGGTGATCACCACCCACTATCAATGGATTACTGAGGAACCTAGTCATCGTAATGCTAGTACGAGCTGTGTATTAAGACGATACTAACTGTAGTTGAAATCTGCAAAAGACAAGGGGGCAGGTAGTACTAATACTATCATAACTGTAGCTAATACTATCTGCATCTATTGACTATTATCCGTCATTGCTATTACTTTAATATTGACAGTCTTTGTCATAGCTAGGCAGCTGCAGACCGAACTCCCTAAGGGTGCATGTACCCGTATGGCATATATTGTTGCCCTCAAGTACCCTTGAGTATAAGGACTACATTAAGTACATACTACATACCCGAAAGCTTGAATCCTCATGGTACCTAACCGTAGAGAGCCCTTATGGTGGCCGTAAGGGATCGAACCTTTAAGGTGCATGAACCCCTTGGGCATGGATCCTAACTATACGGCTGAGAATAGCCCGAAAGCCTTACATAGTATGGTCTTTGGCCCCAAAAGCCTTAAAATGTGAGCCCTTAGAGCCTAAGGGTAAGAGACTGCGTGTTGATTTGGCATACTTCGGACGATGTAAAGTTCATACCCCCGGCCCGCCGCGTAAGCTCTGGAGGTTTGGGGCAGCTTAGACGTTAGGGGTTTTAGGGTTTAGGCTTTGGGGTTCAGAGAGTAAGGTTTCAAAGGTTTAGGGTCCTGAAGCCTCGACCCCTGCTAGTGCAAGAAGCAACAGACCCGCCAGGGAGAGCTACTCTGTAGATGCAAAGATATGATCCTCATGTACATGGGCAGCACCGACTTCCTTCTGAAGGACCCAGCTAAGGGGGGTCTATCCATCAGGGTTCCTTCAAAAGGAGCAAAAAGGCTTCCTTTAAAGGGATCTATAAGGGTTCCTTTAAGGGGGTGTATAAGGGTTCCTTTAAAGGGATCTATACAGATTCCATAGGGGGTTTAGTGTTTTTGACTTCCTTCTGAAGGACGCGGCTCATGGGATCCTCGAGTTGGGATTCTCTATCTCTACCTTCACCTACCAAAACCCACTGTTTTGCAGCTCCTTAATATAACTCCACACATATAGACTGTGTAGGGACCCGAGAAGAAGTAGGTCTTGATGGGTTTAAGGTGAGCCCTAAACCCTAAACCCCAAAGCCCCACAACTTCAAGACTCTCATCCCCACCCGCGCAAGTCGGGCTCTCGTCTCTCTGACCTTCCCTGTCAAACTCGAGGGTTGTGGGTCTCGGTTTGAGTTTTAGACCCGAGCTTGGACCCTGTACCGTTTTGGGTTTGGGGTTGAGTTTCGTGCGGAGAGTGTGGGATGGGAGAGGTTTGAGGCTCTACTCGAAGCTTCATCGATAGTTTCAACAATTTTGATTTGGTAGGCTGGTTGCGCCGGGTCGTATCTACTTCAAAATACATACAGATTTAATGTCTGCGCCGTCGAAGACTCTGCTTATGAAAGCCCGGACAATCTTGCAAGTAACACCCTGCGCGCTAAATTTCAATCCCAAGCTATATGTCCTATGGTTATGTTCGCAAGCCGAAACCCTACATGCCTACATGGGTAATTCTCTAAATTATATAGGGTCCCTTTTGGAACTGCCTGACATAAGGGTTCGGCTGGAGAAGTGGCAGGGGTGATCTTCTCTCGGGTTGAAGAAGTTAGGGCTTCGAGTCCAGAGAGAGTGCACGGTTTCTTGTTTACTTAGAGGGTCGGGGGACTTAGTAACTGGTTATTTTAGGGACTTGTAAGTACCATAACCCCAATTAGGGTCCCTTTTAGGGTACTTATAAGTCTACTTACTACCTACTTACTAAGTCCACCGACCCTCCAAGTAGGGGGATTAAGGTTTCCTTCGAGGCTTTCTGGGTGCAGGGTGTGTGACTATGACTAAATCAGGGTTTAAGGTTTAGGGTTTAGGGGTATTTACGGCATAGGGCATGCGTGGCATAAGGTTTCTCTTTGCTGTGCCCCAGGCAAGCATGAAACAATCAACATGCGGAATCCTAAGGAGCGTTGCTTGGAGGTTCATGGGGTAGTTATGAGGGTTCCTTTAAGGGCCCCTTTAGAAGGTTCTCTACATATAACTCCTCTTACAACTACCCATGAACCTCCAAGTTGCTGTTCAAGCTTTCGGCTGCGGCAAGGCCGTTCTCAACGCTAGACTGCTGGGAAGAGAACCAGGGTCTTGCGTGGTGTTCCAGTGTGTTCGACATTTTGCAAGCCGAAAAGCTGAGTCTTCGAACCCTCTAAACCCTGACGCCCCCCAATAAACCCTTCACTCTGAAGGAAACTTCCCCGGTATTTTGAAGAGCTGCCTTCGAAAAAGCCGTGCACCAGGACACCACGTTCGAGTTACGGAAGGTTAGTGCCTGAGTCGGTACCCAGACCCCCGGGAGGATCCAGAAAGTAGATCCCCTAATCTGGGGCCCTATATACTACGAAGGGTACTTTATAGGAACCCCCATTAAGGGATCTACTTTTTGGATCTTCGCGGGGGTCTGGGTAAGTATCCTGCATGGGTTTGGGTTGTCATCTCTTCTGATACAGGGTTGGGCTAAGGGTTTAATTAGTGTTTAGGATTCCGAGTTCTAACCATAAAACCGGTTTAACAAACACTTACTACAGCATCCTACCTAAGCCATTCATGTCGCCTTTTCTGATACCTGAGTTTGTTCTGGTACAGTACCCTAGCCTTAAGACTGGTTATCCTCGAAGCTACTACAGTTCAGGATCTACCCAGGGGCCCCAAAGTAGTTCCTTTTTGGGTGTGTCCTCTGTTTTGATTAGGGACTCTAATATACTACCCAAACAGGAACTACTTTGGGGCCCCTGGGTAGGTGCTTCACTGTCGGGTGGAGGATGTGGGCTTTCGCGTGTCAGACACACCAGAGTTCGAGGCTGCAAATCTGGCAGCAAAGCCTCGAGGTGCTATATACCCTAAGGGGCCCAAAAGGCCCAGTAGTCAGGTACTGGGGTTTAGGATAGTAGTTTTGTAGGTTACTATTTGGGAGATTGTATAATGATTAGGTACTTGGACCCTTATGGTAAACAGTTAAACCAAGTTCGTTGGGCCAGGCCCCACACCGCAAAATTGGTGGTATAGTGGAGGGTGTACCAAGAGCTTAATTTGCATGATTCACGGCTTGTGGGCACGATTGCTTGTGAGTGCATGCTAGCCAGTACCCGAAATCCACACATCAAATATGCTTAAGTGTTACATGAAGCTGCGCAGCACTCAAAGGCTTTAGCTGCGCGTGCCCAGTTCGGAATCGCAGCTATAATCAGCAATCAGCTACACAAGTCTTCGGGATTACCCTTTCATGTCATCTCTGGCCAGGATGAGTGGGTTTCCACTCAACATTATGGCCTTTCGTTGGCTGTTGCTTCTTCATAACATGCACTAAAGGTTCTCATGCTCTTGGCATTACAGGGCCAACTAACTACCTGCCAAAATGCAGGTTGTGCTAATTAGGAACCTGATTCAGAAACCCTGGGCCTATAACCCCCAAATTAGTAGGATTCACACAAGGAAAAAGGCCCAAGGTTTCTTAATCAGGTTAGGACCCCGAAGCCTCTAGTGTGTTTAGGAGGGGGGGGGCCCGAATAGTTACCTATAATTACAATTTTTTTGGGGGGGTCCCTTCGTGTAGTTATAGAATAATATACCCCCAAACTCTAGTTTAATTAGGGTTCAGGCTTTCCTTGAGAAAGAAAATCGCAGAGTATGTTATCCTGCGCTGCGCCGAGGGCCATCGCTACGGCATCGTGGGCTCCAACGGCACAGGCAGTGGTTCAGGGTTTAAGGGTTTAGGGTTCAAAAAATCGTTTGGTGAGGGCTTGGCTTGAGTTTTCGTCTATTCTGAAAGTGCTGTGCGAGCGATGGATCCAGTAGTTTTCTTTTGCAAAAGGTTGTGGATAACCCCAAGGGTCCAAGTACACGATAGTCATATACTCTCCAAAGTCCTAACCTACATACCTATTATCCTCGAACCGAATACCTAGCTATTGGGTCCTTTGGACCCTTGGGGCAATGTATGAATAGGACTGCCTTCGACCTGGAAGTTTCTCAGGGATCGGGCCTTCTGCTTACCCTTGGTTAGTAGGGAATGGAAGAATAGTAGTAATGGTAGTTATAATTTGTACCCCATTCCTCCATTCCCTCCTAACCAACGGTAAGTCTGCTCCTGTCACAAACGAACCCAAGTGTGACCCTAAACACCGTGCCATGCAAGGCCCAACAGCAAGCGCTCCTCCGTCAATGTGAGACAAATGGGATTCTGGCCTGGCATGAATCTCGTAACCGTCCTCGTCGTCGTCGTCCTTGTTGTTCCTGTTGGTGCTTCAGCTGCCGTTTCTGCTGCTGTTACTGTTGCTGCTGGTGCTACCGTGGCATCATGTGCAGTATCAGTTTGGGGGGGCAGCGCTATCTCATGACGTGCAGGCAAAACCACGCTGATGGAACGCATCGCAGATGGTGCTATTGCAGCTGGATTCCCAGCGCCCTTCTGATGCGAGTACAGAACTTCTATGATTTGTGTTCGGTTTCGGCTTTGGCTAAATCAGTTGTGAGTTGTGACTGTAGCGATTTCCAGCTGTTTGAAGGGCCGTAATATAATAGGGGCCCAAAAAGGCGTAATATAATAGGGGCCCAAAAAGGGACCATAATTTTGACAACCACCCATCTGGGTTCAGAGCCCTGTGTTCTGGAGTTAAGATCGCCCGTAGCCTGGGAGCCGACAGTTCCCAGATCAACCAAAATCCCTTACTTAGGGAATGTACATTTAATCATTGCAAGGTTCCTGCCATAATTTAAGGTAAAGATATTCCTGATTAAATGAAGGGGTATGGGAAGATCAGGGGCATAATCATATATCATATACTCTTGAACTCAAGCTCCTGTGGGGATATCATCATAAAAAAAGAGTCATGTTCAAGTGCACTTCGGGGGTCAAACACCCTCAAGCCGAGACCTTCCTAATTAGACTAGAGTAGCCCAGACCTTCCAAAACCCCTTGATTAAGGAATATACCTTAAGTCATAGTAGGACCCTTCATATGATTTAAGGCATATTCCTCAACTCAGGGATTTTGGAAGGTCTGGGAAGATACGGTTTAGGGTTCAGAAAAAGCCGCAAAGTCCTCAAACCAGGAGCTTCCGACCCTTACAGCCTCAAAGCCAAAGACTGAAGTGGGAGTTTCCGAAAATTCGGGGTACCTTATTTGGGGGTCCTTGTTATAAGGATCCTACGATTTAGGGTGCTATATTAATATTAGGGTCCCCTATTTTCGGAAACCCCCAAGTCCTCAAGACCAGGAACTCTCTTTCACTTCCCTGCGCTTTGCAGCTTGCTCAGCAATCCCATGGTCTAACCCTAAGGGTCCAAGTATATAATGATCATATACTCTCTTGAATAATGAGCTACATAACTACTATCCTAAACCCAAGTACCTGATTATTGGGTCCTTTGGACCCTTAGGGTAAGAGGGCCCTTGTTCAGTTAGGCTTCATGGGCCTTAGAGTGTCGGACTCATGGTAGGGTTCGGGTTTAATATGGATCCTACTGCTTAAGGTACTATACTTTGGGGTCCTTATAATAAGGATCCTATTACTTAAGGTACTATATTTTGGGGTCCTTATAATAAGACTCATGGCAGGGTTTGGGGATCGGGGCTTTGTCTTTAGGGGTTGGGGATCGGGGCTTCCATAGTTGGGCATGCGATTAGAATGCCTTGCAGGAGGTTCTTCTGATTGGATGTTACGAGCTTCGTCGAATGCATGTACTTACAAAACGCCGCAGGACCGCACATAGAAGCACTGCACTCTAATACGTTTGGAATTCCAAGCGCATGCCTGAGCATTGTAGAAGAGCGTTCCATGGATCGAAGCTCATTCATGGGTGGGCTGTAAGTACCTCAGAAGGAAGCCCCACTATTCTTTACAACACCTGTCGTAGAAATCTGTCAAGAAGGAGTAAGTCAGAGAACCTGCCGGAAGCGCTAAATTCTCCTCAAAACTCTTAGCCTGAGCTCTGAGGTCCCAACAAGCGAACATTGTGGGTTGTTATTAATCGACTAGCCTGAAAGTAGTCCCTAGATAGGTACTTTCGGCCTTAAAGTATCTATTATCTTGGGTACATGGACCCTGCAAAAGTCCCGGGTTCCTTGATGCCAAGTAGGCTTTGGGAGGTTGGGTTTAGGGTGTCATGATGGTTTAGGGTTTAGGGCAGCTTAGGGTTTAGGGTTTCATGACGGTTTAGAATTTCGGGCAGCTTAGGGTTCAGAGGGGTAAGGGTCATAGGGTTTGACGAGGGTTTAGGGTTTAGGGTTTATCGGGCGTGGGGTTTAGCAAGGGCTTAATACAGGAGGGTTTACAGGGGGGGGTTGTTGAAGAAAGTTTCCCCTGTTGATCCCTGCTTCTCCGGAAGCTTTCATCTGGGGTTGTTCGTGGCTGAATCAGGGTCCACGACTTCTGGGGTGTAGTGTTTGTGAGGACCCAGCGAGCCTAAATCCCCGGCCCCAACCTTAATCCTAACTACCTCATCAATTCGTCCTCGTCCCAAATCCCTAATCCCAAAAGACTGACAATGTGACAAGGTACATATTCACCACGAGTCGCTCAGTGAATGCACGAGCCTCGGGATCTTGAGGGGTGAGGAGCCTGGGGGCTTGCAGGATCTTCCGAGACCTTCCGAAATCCCTTAATCAAGGAACATATCTTAATTCATACTAGGGATCCGATTGTAATTTAAAATACAATCCTTAATTAAGGGATTTTCGACGGTTTGGGTTTACATTATAACGGCTGATGTTTTAGGGCTTTTGTTTTGGTATCTGGGCGTTCAAGCTGAGAGTAGGTAGGTAGGGATTAGCCTTACAAGATCCCGAGGGCTAAAGAAAGGGAGGGGTAGATAGGTTTTTATAGTGTTCCAAAAGCATTCTAGAAGCATTCCTGAAAAACGTGCGGAAAGCATTCTGATTTTGATGCAGAGCTGAGCAGTTTTCCAAAATGCGTTCCACGGGGACCCTCTGACCAAAAAGTGTTCCAAAAAGCATTCCAACGGAGCGCTTTGCAGAACACTTTCCGGAACACTTTTTTGGAACGCTTTTTGGAATGCTTTTGACCTGGATCTGGAGAGGACGGGCCCCCGAAAAGGCATTCCAAAAAGCATTCCAAAAAGCGTTCTCAAAAAAGCGTTCCGCCAATGACCTGCTGCTGAAAAAGTATTCCAAAAAGTGTTCCAAGATGTGTTTCCAGCCGGAAGCTTTCAGATTCAAGGGTGCTCTCTCGGAATGCTTTTCGGAACACTGTCGAGTCTGGAACACTATTCCCCACGCTTTTCTGGAACACATTCGGAATGCTTTTTGGAACACTATTAATCAATAATCAGGATTCAGGCCTTTGGCTCCTGGGGGATCTTGTAAGATTAGCCATGATCGGATTCACCGGTGTAGCCGCTGTCTCTGGGGGTGCCCCTTCAGTTTGCCAGAACCCAAGTGTTTGTAGGGTCCTTGTACTTTCTATAAAAGGGCTTACATGAGTAACCTAAACCAACCTTTAACATAAACTCTAAACTCTAAACCCCAAAGCCTTAACCCTCAGCCCAACCATTAACCTAATTAAGGGAACCCTTAAAGGAATGCTTAAACGAACCCTAAATCCTAAACAGGTATGGACAAGTCACTGACAGCTGCGGCTTACGCAAGGGAGGCCGGGGTCAGCTTGTTGCCCAGTGCAACCCCCGCCCCCCTCCAGGGTTTAGGGTTTAGGGTCTAGGGTTTAGGGATAAGGGTGGGGATTAGGGTTTAGGGTCTAGGGTTCAGGGATTATTGTTTAGGGTTCAGGTTTTAGGGCTAGCCGGAACCCCTAAACCCGAAACCCACAAAGCCGGAACCTTATAAATCCGAAGCCCTTATGACATCCTGGATGCTAAGCTATGCGCTCGAACCTTTAAGCATACCTTAAGCCCGGATAGAAACCATATAAAACTGCTGAATCCCATAAGAACTGTAGTAGAAACTCCTGAGCCTGAAACCCTGAACATGTGTAATGAATGCCCTAATTGTATGTAAAAACGAAATTTAGGTGTATACCTAGAGTAACCAAGGTATCTAAAATGTGTACTTGTACCAGCTGTTTAGCGTCATATTCCTTTTGCAATGGTGCATTGGTTGCTTTCGGTCGATTGTAGGGTTGTGTGGGTTTGGCTTAGCGGGCTCAGGGGCAGCATTTGGGTGGTTGACAAAATTATGGCCCCTTTTTGGGTACGTACCCTAAATATTCGGTGCCCCACTATACTAGGGACCCAAAATTTTTGGTCCTTTTTTAAAAAGGACCATAAACCCATTTAGGAGTTTCGATTCGGATTGAGGGCTGAAGGTTCAGAGGGAGGCTCCTTGGGGCTTACCCTTAGGGTCCAAGTGCCTAATTAACTTATACTATCCCAATGGCAACCTACAGAACTACTACCCCCAAAGCTAAGTACCTAATCATTGGGTCCTTTCGACCCTTAGGGTGTGTAGTGTTTACAGGCCCCCTACTTTTTCCGGGGGATTTTACCCCAAGGCAACCCTCTGAGCCAGCCCTAATCCTGAACCTCCCCGCCTAAACCCCTCAACCCGAAAACCCAAACCCTAGTCGTTATGAAGGTTGTGGGTCCAGAAATCCCGATCCACTCCGCCTTGACCGAGGTGGGAGGGGATCCGTCCTGGAAATCCACAGCTTATTGCTTGATGTATAGTTTAAAGGATTTCAAAGGTCGTACAAAAGATGTTTAAGACTTGACAATTGGATCGGTGTTTGTTAGTGCTGGGGAATAGGCAGGTAACCGAGTTCTTGACATCTTGAAAGGGTTGTGGGGATCTATAAGGTGTTGTAGTGGCTGTACAGGTCTTTATACTGGTACACTGGGGTACTGGCTTACAAACTTTGTGTCGTTGACGATGGACGGGTTCCGAGAGGTTTTTTGACGATGGACGGGTCCCGAAAGGACAGGTGTTGGGGCCCACTGCGACCTTGCAGCCCAGGAATCTGTTACAAGGTCCAGGATTTAGTGTCTCGGGTTTTCCATACCGTGGCTGCGCCTTGCTGCAGCATCATGCCTTTTGGCGACAGCATGTTGAGGGCAGCGCAGGGTTGCAGCCAGGCGATGGGCGTGGACGTGAAGGATAAATCTCGAGAACCACATGCCCCGGATCGTTCTCATGGAACACGTGTCAACAAACTGGTCAAATGCTTCGAGGAGGAGGGTTATGTCTTTGTGAACCAGGACAGTCCAAGGGTAGACAGCCTGATCACGGTGTACCCGAGAAGCAGTGTCGTCTTCTGCTTGCTGGCCGCTGGCCTCTACCATGGCGCATGCCACGTGTGCTGCCGTGATGTGCACTGAATGAGCTTCTGCAGTTCTCCCCCTCCTCTCTGTAGCAGGAGGCGCGAGCGGTGTTGGGTTTAAGGTGCAGGGGCTGAGGCGTATCCCCAAACCCTACGAAATGGTCGGTAGCGACCCCTTAATAAGAGGGTTTAGAGTTAAGGTTTTAGGGCTGAGGGTTTCCCTTAAAACAGTAGGTTTTTGGATCCGCAGGCAAGGGTTACCTCACCCCGCCAGGCATACAATGCAAGGAGTCCTGAAGCATCATTAATCAGATGTAGTATGTCGCGGCCAATTGTAAATCCGAAAAGCCGAAGCAGAAACCATACAGCCTCATGAAACCCTAAACCCTAAAGGCCCAAGCTCTCAAAGCCCCAACTCCTGCATCCTTAAAACGTTAGTAGATCCTTGTCGAATTCCTTTGCAACAACCTCGTAAACACGGGACCCCTCTATGAAGCCCTATAGAAGCCTAACCCTAAAGCCAAACCTCAATACCCAACAGAACCCCAAATCCTTTATGAAGCCTAAACCCAAAATCTTACAGCACCCCTAGAACCCTAAGCCCTAAACCGAACCCTAAGCCTGCACCTCAAACCCTATAGCACCCTAAACCCTAAACCCTAAGCCCTAACCCTAACCCTAAAACTTGCACACCATGAGTCGCTTGACGCGAACCTCCGGGTTGCGCTCCCCTAACTTCTCACCCAGGTCGGCTTCACGAACGCGAGAAGCTGAGATTCGCAGCATTTGCTTCTGTGTTCTTATTGTTCTTAGTGGGGTTTAGGGTTCAGGGTTCAGGTTGTTGTTAAAAGTTTAAGCGGCTAAGGGGTTGTGTTGTTTTTTTTCGGGGGGAGGGAGGGTGGGTTCAGGAGCGTTGCTGTAAGTGTCTGACACGGCCACTTTGTAGGCTTATGCGGCTTTTATAAGGGTTGTACCAGGACTTTGTTTGGGCTTGACAAACACTTCACGGGGCGGGTGTTTAAAGGGAGGATAGGGTTTTTTGTAGAGTTGTGGCCAACAAACCCCTCTCCGAGTTATGCAGGATCCTACATTCGAACCCGATCATAGGTCTCTTTTAGCACCTTTTTTTTAACGGAACCCCAAAACCCTATTCTAGTCAAAAGGCCCCTACATTACCCTTATATAGAACCTTTGAAGGCTCAGGGCTCCACAGTGGCTCTGCCCAGCCTCCTCCTTGGTTTGCGACCTGAAAGCTCGAAAGCTACGGTTCAATGTTAGGCTTTGCTGAAAGGGTTTAGAGTTTAATGTTTAGGGTCAGTTTAGGCTTCCGGGTTTAGGTTTAGGGTCAGTTGAGGGTTTAGGGTGTAGGAATTCAGGTTCAGGGTTCAATGTAGGACCCTCACCTTCGGCCCCAGGCGCTGAAATCTAAGCCTGTCTGTGAGCTGTCCGGAGGCAGGGCTGGACAGTGCTTCTTAGATATCCAATATCTAACCGTTAAAATTTCTGTGGTCTTCTGGTTTAGTAGGAATCAGAAAGTTTGACCTTTTATCGCTGTGGCCTATTGGGGTTTTGGTTCGGTTGGGAGCAACTGGGAGGAGAGGGGTTGGGGGTAAGGTCTGCTCTGTGTCCCAAAGGGTCCAAGTATCATTATGAAATATTCTTATAGGGTATTTTGAGGTTTAAGCATATACCATAATAATACTTGGACCCTTTGGGTATGAGTACGGCAATGATTACGGGTTGGGCTTCGGAATATGAGCAAAAGTTGTAGCTGGAACGTTCTGGTTAAGTTGTTTGCTTTGTCGCCCTGTTGCGTGTCATGTTTGTGTTGTTTGCTGTTGTAGTCATTAATGTAGTCTACACTTAGTGCAATATCTATGAATGCTGGTGTTTGCAAGCTCCAAATAAAGTCAGTGGCCTCCACTAATTAGGCATTTCAGATGGCTTTTTCCGCACGGGAGGTTCGTTACCCTAAACCTTAAGAAGGGTCCTAGACCCTATACCGTAAACCTCACTGAAGTTAGGGCCTGCCGGTTGACGGCTTAAAGAGGCTCCCTAACAGGGTCGAGGGCTCAGGGCCCATACCCGAAGCAAATACACCCGAAAAGCCTTACCGTTCAATCACCCGCTCTTAAGGGCTTACATGGAAGCAACACGGCCGGTTTTGTGACGGCACTGCGTGAACTTCAGTCCACCACTTGATTTTGTGTTTTTAACGCTTTTCTTGTCTCACTCTTTGTGCCCTCTATAGTGGGCGTTTCCTCACTCCGTTGTTTTTTGTAAGCCCCGATGTTTCATCCTTGTCAAGGTTTGTTTGACTTTTCGGTTCCCTCCGTTTTTGCATTGCTCTTTCCACATCCTGGCTTCATCTGGCTTCTTCAACTCTATGGGAATTGGCCATATGGCACATGTGAAGCAGACCTTTCAAGTTAGTTTCAAGGCACGGGTGCAATGTTGCGTTCCTGCATTTGCCGAATTGGTGGTCTTCTTGTTTGCTTCGTCCTGTAGAAAGCAGGGGCATCGCAGCCTGAAGTGCTTGGCATGATTCGCGGCATGATTGTTGCCGATTGACAAGCTGTTGGCTTTCGTGCTGGCATCTCTGCATTTTGCTGTTGCGTCCCTCGCTAGAGTTGTCATCATGGACGCTGCACTCAATGGAGCAGTTGACAAAGCCGTCAACGTGTTCATGGACCTGGACCTGGGGGACGGCGGTCTCCCCCCTCCAGCTCCTCGACGAGCACGGGGTCCTTGGGCCTTCCTTCACGGAGGGTGCCAGGCTTAGGAGGCCAATCGGGGGGCTTAGGCCCCCCACCGGGCGTGCTGCGGCACGCCCACCACGCGCTCAATCTTCTGGTTGGGCACACTACACGCAGTTGCTGTCATTGAGTTCTTGCTGGTGGAGCTGTTTCGGCCTGCTGGCCCTCATGGCACTGCAGTTAGTATCGCCTTGGGCCGGCTGAGAAAGCTGCAGGCGCTAGAGGTGCTGGCAACTGCTGCCCATGCTGTTTGGTGTAGACCTGGCAGTTTGCTCGGATCCCCGTCAGGGGTTTGGGGCAGCGGGGGAAGGAAGTCTTGGCACATTGGTATTTACGACAATCTCAGCGACTACTTGATCTGTCAGGTTGCCTGTACAGCGCGAGCCCCTGATGATCATACAACTCGCCACCAAGTTCTTTGTGCAGGGTGGTTTGGTGCTACAGTCGCCTCATACTCTCACTGGTTGTTCTTCCCCGCGAAGAAGACATCCTTTTGTCATGGGGCCCATTCTGGAACGGCATTGTTTCGTACAGCGCTGTCTGGAGGATGGCCCTACCACGCGCTACTGTGAATCGATTTCATCAGTCGCTTTTTTCAACGCGAGGCTGTTGGTTGCGACGACCTCTAAGCTGGTTGGGTGCTGCTCGCGCTATGGCACTCCACACCAGTTCCATCTTACCTTGCAAGTCCTTCGCTGTCTGCTTGAGGGGTTTGTGATACCGAAACGCCTGGACTATTTCTGGTCCTTCCATATATTGCCATTTTGGCCGCCGTGATGGCTCTTGCGTCTATCCCACCAGCCAGGATGGCGCATTTACATCAAAATAATATGGACCTGGACCTGGTCTTCCAGCTGTTCGCCTCCAAGATGGCGAAGACGGGACTCGGAGAGTTGCGAAGGAACAGCGCACTGCAACTGAGTTGCTTCTTTGCACTAATAGTGGTTTTGCTTAGTGTGGCTAGAGTGCTCGTGTGTGGCGTGGCCCATGCCAGAATAGCACTCTCGATCTTGCTTGCAGTTGCGAGTGCCAGTGTCAGCATTGTCCTCCGAAGATGCTGGCCAGCAGATGTGAATGATTCCAAGAAGCGCTTCAGAAGAAGAAGTTTTGTCCAAGCAGGACCTAGGCTCACAGGGCCTGTCTTAGAAAATATGAAATGCACTGTTAGTACGGCGCGCAGGGCCGGTAGTAGGCGCCTCTTGGGCGCTTTCCGGCGCGGCTTGTTTCTTCAGTGGCAGTGGGCCAACTACAGGTTGCAACTTGCAGCGCTGCCTCTGAGCGGCGGTGGAGGTGGTGGTGCTAGAGCTACCGACAGAAAACGCAATGAGAAAATTGCTACGCTCGCCAACGCTGTTGGTGAGCTCGCTAGCCAGGTGCGCATGTTGCAGCAGCAGGTTAGCGGTTCTAACAATCCCAGGGGCCCTCCCCCTGTGCCACCCAAGAAAAAGAAGAAGAAAAGGAAGCAAAAGTCTTCCTTGCTGCAGGAGCTGCTTGATGCCTTCCGCATCATGCAAGGCTCTGGTAAGAAGCCGACGGAAAGTCAAACTAGAGACTTCCTCAAGCAACTCCTTGAAAAGCACGTTTCTGCTGCGGACCGAGGGACCCCAGGAGGCCAGGAGCCACGTGCTCCACAGCAGGCTCCTAAACCTCCTCCCGAGGGTCCGAGCAAGTGGAGTGACCTTTTTAAGTCCCCTAAGGCCCCTAAGCCGCCCTCTCCCGACCCTACGAAGGCCAAGCCCGAAGGGTTACGGTTGTACGGTCCTGCCTGGACTGCGCCTGTCGTGGCAGCTAAGCAGGTGAAAACCCACGCTCTAGGCTCTGACTTGGTAGTTGCCTGTCAGGACGAGAAGGAAAAAGCTGCCGCACAAGAGTGGCTGAAGGCACGCGGTTGCACTCACAAAGTTTCTTTTGTGACTTTCCGTGATGCTGATGCCAAGGATGCTGTGTTGGTACACGGCAAAAGCGGCCCGTACTCTGTTCAGGCCCACGTTGACAAGTCTCACGCTGATGCCCCGTCCCTTAAAGGGTTACCGCAGCAGCTTAAAGACGACGAGAAACCTCAAGCCAAGGGAAGCGAGCCTCGCACTACGTTGATGCGAGTTACCATCGCCCGTGATTAATTTTGCTGATCAGCAGATGGTAGGTAAGGTTTTGGACAAGCCACACTGTTTGCCTGCTGTTGCTTTCCCTACACTCAAGCACCTTGTTTTGCAGACAAGAGCTGCACTCTCTTACGAAAAAGAGACCACGTGCCTCATGCTAGTCAAAGCGGAGCAGACTGAGCAGTTCCTCAAGGCAACTCTGCCTAACGGAGTTTTCTGCAACTTGCACAAAACCGACAAAACGCCGGTGTGGTTCGCTAGGAAGAAAGAGGAGTCTTCCTCTGACTACTGGTTGCGAGTGTGCCAGCAACGAACCTCTCAGGGAGGCAGGCTTGTGTACCGTAGCTCGACCAACGCCCCCTTGGGCCTCCTTGAGCCCGCCAAGCACGTGCCGGAAGGTATCGCACCTCGGTGGTATCTTTCAAATGCTCCTCAGGAATGGGGAGAAGATGATGCCAAGTCCTGGATTTCCGAGCGGGGCTTCACGGAAACCTCGATGCTTCGCCGGCAAGGACGCAAAAACTGGTACTTCAGATCGAGGGCATGCTCCTGGGGGCACGTCCACTGTTCAGCAAGCTTTTGTGTTCAAGAGCGACATCTCCATCGGTCTTGCTGCTAACATTAAGAGTGCCAAAACTACAACGACTACTGCTGACAAGCAAGCACGCAGTGTTTGGGGCGCCCCTGAGCCCCCCAAGCCTAGACTTGAAAAACCGCCCACCGCTGATGAAGCCGACGCTAGCCCGACTGCTGAGACCAAGACCACCACGGACATGGAGGTTGAAACTGAGGGCAAGCAGCTTCACACGCCTCCTAAAGCCTCTGCGTCTGGGGTAGCGAAGAAGGCCAGGAAAGACACTGATGCGACTCCTCCCTGGAACCACCATTTTGTGGCTGTTCCGAACGGCGGAGAAGGAGATTGTGGCTTTATCTCCATTGCTCAGGCCCTGCAAGCAAAGTCAGGCGTCCAGCATAAGGCTGGTGACTTCGACCCGAAAGGCCGGCTGCAGGCTCAGCTTCGAGTCTTGGCCTCTGCTGAGATGAAGAGAAACACGCTCATGTATGATCTTGACGAAGACAGCAAGCTTGCGGAAGCCACTCTGCAGGCTGGCACGTACGCTGAAGCACACTCTCTTCAGGCTCTCTGTAACACTTCGTATCTTGATCTTAGGATTTGGGGGTACGACAATAAGCTCAAGCAATGGGATTTTTACCAGCTTGCCCCCAGTAAGTCACTCCCGGGTAAAACCCCCAGTGTAATCTACCTTAAGCTTGAAGCCAGTCACTATGAGTGGCTCAAGCCCAACGGTGAGATCCCAGGCAACGTTGCTGACAAGTGGCTAAGGACTGCCAGGTCCAAGCCCCCTTCTTTGAACGGAGGAGGAAAGTCCCAGCACGACAAAGAGGCCTTGGCGGTGCTAGGCTTAGAGCAAAGCGACGCTGCTAGTGCTTCCAGCAGAAACGCGCTGTCGGTTTTAGGCCTAAAGTCCGTCAAGAGTAAAGCTAAGACTGCTGCGGCTTCTTCCAGGCCCAGAAGCACCGCAGGCAGGTCCGCGAGATCTGTCCTTGGCTTAAAGACTAGTGCCGCTTCGGC